GAGGAGCCTGTCTTGGCCGCCCTCGTTAGTTTTGCGCAAGTCATTAATGAACTTCACCGGGTTCAAAACAGCGATGAATTTACAGTGCATGACTTGTTACAATCTTCAGACAAAGCACAGAAACTCCTCACAAGGCTTGCTAACACATTGTATGGATTTAGCTCTGGAGGATCACTACAAGATGAAACAAGGCAAACAACATCTTATCTGCTGCTAATATGTAATTTTTCCCGTCTCGTTCTCTCCTTGGGTTGATTGACACTTGTCGGCTGGCGCTAATGTCAGTCTAGTGTATCATTACGCTATGCTCGTGGCACACCGTCCATTCCTAGCGTTATTGGACAGAAGTAAAGGCCAGTCTCAGAGCACGGAATACCAAAATGGAGCTTTCGAGGCTTGGGATATTTCGAACAGCTCGTGGCTCTTAGACGGTGTTGAAAAAGCCGTCTCATCCGCAAAAATGATCATATCGTTACTCGAAGATATTTGCAAGTCCGGGTCGATACTCAAGGTATTTATATCTTTCATCACCCTCGAGACTGCTAGCTAATCCTTGCAGGACTCTTCCAACAATATTTCATTCATTGAAAGCGCTTGCTTGGCTCTAGGCTACCACTGTCTTTTAGATGAGAATGCCTCTTTGAGCAATGCATCCTACATTCATGCCGGCATACAAACCATGCGAGATATTGCTTGTCAGAACGTCGTTTCCGATCGGCTATTAGCTATGGAGAATGTGCTTGCCATCATTGATTCTCACGGCACAATACATCTACCTAGTGCCATACTAAATGTATGAACGATGAATTACACAAACTGTCCGGTTTTATTTGAAAACCAGTTCCTTCAATTGCATATCACTACTTCCAAGGTTGGCATGCTATCATCTTATCACAATACCCTCATACCAGCTTTGTTAGAAACGATGGGGACACGGGAGACATCATTGGTTGAAACAATATCGCGTGTCACTGAATTTGTGGAGTTACATATATAATTGCATGATATTGTACTGTGTGCATACACTGCTACGAGCATTTCTTTATTGGAATACTTACCTAAGTGGGCAAAGTTCCTCTCTCGGCGTACCCAACTTTTTATCCACTTCCAAGATTCAAAGATTCTTACTTCTCAGTTTACAGCAAGGGTCGGTGGACATGAACCTTGGAAGAGTTGTAAACACTATCCGGGTTTGTACGATGCTTGTCGCTATGGTTGACTGCGTCATATTTGCGAAACCTACAGAATTTCACAGGTTTAGACCGAATATGGCACCCCGCGAAGGGAATCATTGAAGTAGTGAGGAATGCTTGTTCTAGTTGGATGCGCTTCCGATCGGCTGGAAGGCCGGCGATCGTATTTGCACGTGCGCATTTGGTAAATCTGTTCGCTACATATTGTAGTGGGGGACATAGTTCTCACTACATAACAGCCTTGCCTCCCTTTCTTTGGCACAGCGGTTATGTAAATCGGCTTTTGCTTAATAGTCTCAAAGCGTGAAGGTAGACGGGCGATAAAGTCATACGCCCAGTTTTTTCCGAGCATGCGGGTGCGTTCATGACGTCGAACAATTTGTAGAGTAGCAGCCTGAATTTGCCCTGCGGTCGGGGGAGAATCGGCCGGGTCTAAGGTATCAATCCATAGAAGTAACGAATTCTCTTGCTCCGGGTCTAGTGCTTTGTTGGTTGGGATGTGATCGTGCCTAGTCTTACGACCTTTCAGGCGGCCCGGAGAAAAGTGAGATCACGCCCAGGAACCCACCCTGACACCGCCTGGTGGCCGCGTTCGACCACCCGATTAGCAGATAGCTACAGATTAAGAATACACACTCCTACACCTCCCTGAATTCACTTCCTGGATTGACATACCAGTTGTTCTTGTATGCCCTGGTTGGTATGAAGAGCAATTACGAGTGCTGAATTGACCCGTATGCCAGAAGAGCATACTGTCTTGAGCGTTTCCCTCTTCAATATGTATAGGTATCTTACATGTCATGCCTTCCCAAATCAAATAACTTTGCTAGTGACGAAGAGCCAGCAAATTGGTGCTAAGCTTGGAATAATTCTTTAGATTGAGCGAAGTATCTATATCAAAGTGAATTATTGAAGAGAAAAAGAATAGCGGATAATTTCACCAGCTGCAAAACCTGCCAGGTGAGGCTGTCAAGACTGTCAGAACGAATGATCTCTCCGCCAACAGGAAAATGGAGACCATGAAACAGACGAAGATCAAAGAGGCACTGAATCATCGACCGAGGATGTCACGTTCAGTGGAACAAGCAGGTAGCTATCGTATTGGCCACCAACGTGGAACAAGTGGGTGCCATTGTTGCGGCTTGTTGGCGTCGCAACGCGCTGAGCGGCAATATTGTCCGGTAATTTGCTTGACCCACCAAGGACCTTCAAAGTGGTGTTCGATGCAGCGGGGAATGTGCCCCCTGCAGCAGGTACGGGAACGGCGGAAATGCCAAAGCCAGACTCGGTGTCGGAACGAACAACTGTGTTTGCCGCGACTGTCAAGCGCAGATGCTCCCCAGGGTGGAATCGTAGACCAATTGACCAAAGACTGATTTCGACAGGAACAATCTCATTAACGCTCAGGGGCTGCTCCCGATCAAAGGTTTGGTAGGGCTCAAGGGGTGTAGACTGTGCTTCATCCAGGTGGCGAGCGGAGACGCGCAAGTATCCCGTGGACGAAACAATGTCCGATGTCTCGCTGCCCCCTGTGACTATGTAGGAATCGCCGTTGGCATCAGTCTTCTCTAAGGTGATGGCCAGTTCCATGTCGTCCGAGCCATCAGCCTGCACCCATAAACGCAGCTTAGTATATCCAATCAACTCGGTCACTTCTTCAAAGGGCAAAGGCCATGTCAAATTACTTGAGGTACCACCAACTTTGTATCCAACTGTGGCAGCTGAGGCAGGAGCCTGGGTATCAAGAGAGCCGTTCGCTTGCAAGTAGAGCGATCGGGTTTCGAGACCAGAGACAGGCCACTCTGACTGAGGACGGTTGAGCTCATCCTGGTGGCCAGGGTCAAGGATAGCAAGGCGGACGGACGGTGTCTGTTTCCAGCCGTTGTGTTTCTCTTCTTTGAGATAATGATCAAAGAAACGATTAAGATCATGCACATGGGCGGTTTCATAGTAGTCCGGCCACTCTGAGGTGTTATGAACACGGAGCCACTTCTCCTGGCTTTGAATGCGGCGGAAGGCCTCAAAGGAGCCATGAGTATGCACAGCGTTGGTGTAACTAGCAACAATGTAGGCTGGGACCTTGATTCGGTCGAGTCGTACTATCTTGTCTTGCCAGTAGTGATTCATGAGCTGCTGGTTAACGGTCATGCGTGGCACATCTTCGATCCAATTGGGACCCGAGAAAGTTGTGATGATTTCTTCGTTGAATGCAGCCGCCGCGATGCCGCCTCTGTTGCTCGAGTCACGGAACATATCAGTGAGACCCTCCCAGGGCGCGATGGCTGCTAGATGGGGTGGCTGCTCGGCAGCAATGAACCATTGTGAAACCGCCAGCCACGAGTTTCCTGACATGGAAACCTTGCCAGTACACCACGGCTGCTCTGCGGTCCATTCGACGAAGTCATAGCCATCTTCCGCGAGCTGGCGTCCCCAAAAGGTGATGTTTCCTTCAGAGGAACCAGCACCTCTGGCATCGGGGTTTAACACAGCATAGCCCTGTGCAACCCAATACGCGGGATCAGGGCCCTCGAACTTTTGAAGCTCGGATACCTCCGAAAGCGGGACGCCGGATCGGTCAGTGACATCATCAAGCCATTGACCGCCGACTTCTTTGCCGTAGGGACTCCAGGCAATAATGGCTGGAACTGGGTAATTGCCAACAGGGCGGAAGACATCGGTATATATTGTGGTTCCGTCCCGCAACTTCATGGGTACGTCGCGTTCAAAGAGTATATCACTGACTAGGGCCTTGGCTCCGTGGCGGCGGATAGACCCTTTCTTGAGCACCTCTGTCGACTGATTGAATCCAGTATATCTGGAACGAGCGGCTGAGGGGTCCATGGCTCGTCGGAAGGCAACTGACGCGGTATCATCGCCGTAGATTGGCATTGAGCCGCTGGCAATTTCTGCGGCATCATTCGAGCCTAGAGCCGTGGCAAGGGGAATGGCTCCCAGGGTCAGGAACCCGAGGAGAGTAGGGAACTTCATGAGGAAGAGCACTGAAATATGTGAAGATTGCTGTCAGGAGCAATTATCTAATGATCGCCGACTTTGGGTAGATATGATGGATGCCATGGAAGAAACAGGGAAGCATGCCACTATTTATAGCGATCATAAACAGCTGCAGAGCGGCCAACAGAATTTGGACTCTTCGAAGATGCCGGACAGACGGACAGACCCAAATACCCCCTTTTTCTCCTTCCATTTTGAGAGTTGAATCCACGTTTCTTTTGGGCAAACGTTGGTGGGTCCTTGTCGCAATGTATTGAGGAACGTTCCGATTATAAACTCGCGGCAAAATGGCCGGAGCCAGCGGCTGTCACAACCGCTGAGTAAGTATATACAGGGGTTCCCGGAGCCGGAGGATGGAAATATTTGAAACCAACCCATATTTGGAAGGTCTACAGAAGCCAATAACTGAATACAATCATGGTTGAAAGTAGATTCGATATCACGATGATGTGCCAAGCCGGAGTTTCGTGGGGCCACCCGGAGCCTTGTGGGGCCTGACGATGAGGAGACACTCAATTAGAGTTGATTTTTTGGCCTAGAACTTACGCAGCTTCATCCAGACTAGGTAATACAGAAGGGCAATCTTCATCCTCTTGAAGATCACTATTAGACTAATTGTTCGGGTTTTTGGTGCGATATTAAGAAGATTGAGAAAGGTGTTTTCATGGTTGAACAAGGATTTCTGAGCCTTGTACATATATAAATGAGCATTAAAACACCAAGTTCTTCAGTTTCTCTTTCACCTCTGAGGAGCCTTCCGTCAATACCGAGCTCCTTATCCTTATCTACATCATTATGAAGCCATTTTGGGGGCTTTATCTGATCCCGGTTCTGAGTGCGATTGCACTATCCCTGACAGACAAGACGCCAACCTCGGCATTGCTCTCGTCAGGTACCGTCAAGCTGGGATTGTATGGAACTGCCTACGAGAAAGCCAAATCACTTGTTTCATCCCTCAACAACACCGAGAAAGTTACGATCATCACGGGAGGCTCAATTGATGGAGTGTGGACAGCACTCGAAGGTAAAGATGGAGTCAACGGTGTGGATCTTAACTACTTTGTCTCCGGTTTCCCTGGTGCCAATGCCTTGTCGATGACCTGGGATCGTAATCTTGCATATGAACAATTCTTGGCCACCGGCAAAGAATTCTATGGCATGGGGTATAACTTGGTCTACGGGCCGGAGTGTGGTCCATTAGGTCGCAGCCCTTGGGGTGGTCGTCAGGCCGAGGCATTTTCTCCCGATCCTTATCTGAGTGGCATTTTCATGGAAAAATCCATATCTGGTCAAAATGCAGCCGGGGTGATCGCCACTGGCCGCCACTACCTCCTGTACGAGCAGGAGACAAATCGATCCAGAACCCTCAGTCCTGGGGCTACTCAAGCGTACTCCTCCAACGCTGATGACAAAACAATACATGAGGTGTATCTTTGGCCGTTTGCAGATGCAATAAAGGCTGGCATGGGCGCTGTGATGTGCGCGATGAACAGAATCAACGGCACGCTATCTTGCGAGAACGAAGTCGCCCTCAGCAAACTCCTTAAGTCCGAACTAGGTTTCCCTGGAGTTGTTGTTCCTGATGTTGGCTCTCAAGAGACTTCTTTCAATTCGGCCAATGCTGGATTGGACTTTGGGTCTAGTTCACTTTGGTCCGAGAGCATCATCACAGCTGGTATCCGGAACGGGTCGTTAACACAGGCGAGATTGGACGACATGGCGATCCGCAATGTTATTGGCTATTTTTACGTTGGGCTTGACAACAGGAAGCAGCCTTCTGTGGCGGATTCCACAGAGTACCGCGATGTGCGCGGTAATCATTCCTCCCTGATCCGTCAGATTGCCGCTGAGTCGTTGGTGCTACTCAAAAACAACATATCTGGTGGTCGCGGTCTTCCATTGAATAGACCACACACTCTGGCTGCCTTTGGTGCACATGCTGGTCCTACGATAGCCGGCCCGAACCACGCCTTTACTATTACTGGCTCCGGTAGCGATACGTATCAAGGTCATCTGGTATCTCCCTCGGGCTCCGGTTCTGGGTCCTTTGCTTATGTTGTTGACCCCCACATGGCTCTTACCTCTCGTCAAGTCGAAAATGGCGGCATGTTTTGGTGGCTCATGAATGATACCTATGCTTTAACAAGCAACAGCAACACAGCAGGTGCAGTCGGTGGTGGTGGTGAGGGGACATCCATGTCGTACTCCTACTCTAACTACGCACAGAATGCTGAAGTCTGTCTCGTCTTTTTGAACACCTACTCGGGTGAAGGTGCGGATCGCGGTGAGCTATCAAACACAGACCAGGACTCAATGGTGAAGCGCGTGGCGGCACAGTGCAAGAATACCATTGTTGTCATCAACACTGTTGGCCCGCGTCCTGTGGAATCTTGGATAGACCATGAGAACGTGACTGCTGTCCTCTACGGTGGCATGCTTGGCCAGGAGTCTGGTCACTCAATTGTCGATGTTCTCTATGGTGATGTAAACCCCAGTGGTAAACTAGTTCACACCATCGGTCGTAATGCCAGTGATTATCCTGCCTCCGTATGCTATGCAGCCGACTGCAGTTTTTCCGAGGGAGCTTATATCGACTACAGGTGGTTTGATAACAAGGTTAGAAAATTCATTCAGCCTCCACGGTAGCTGAGGACAGTGCCTTTGGTGGATTTTGCGAGCTAATATTTCTTCTCGAGCAGAATGTCACTGCACGTTATGAGTTTGGCCACGGTCTTTCGTATACCACATTCAAATTTGGCACCGTGACCGCTGAAGTGACTAACCCCTCAGCCTTGGCCTCCCGCTACCCAACCGGTAGTCTCGGCCTCGGCGGCCACCAAGACTTGTGGGAAGAAGTTATCCAGATAACAACTGAAATTCAGAATACAGGTAGCGTCGCTGGGGCTGAGGTTGCTCAACTTTATCTCAGCTTCCCCGCCGAAGCAGCGCAACCAAAGCGTGTACTACGGGGCTTTGAGAAGGTCAATATCTCTCCTGGCGCTTCTACCAGTGTCACCATGAGCATCCGTAGGAGGGATATCAGCTACTGGGATACCATGGGTCAGAAGTGGGCGATTGCGAAAGGCCGATACCTGTTCTCTGTTGGATCCAGCTCAGAGAAAATTACGGGCACTGTGATTCTGAATATCTAATATATGATAGAAGGTGTTATATTACTAGCATCTATGTTGGAAGTATCAGACTGTATTGAAATGATGAAGAGAGAAAAAGTTGGCGCGACCTAGGTTTGCCATGTTATCGAATATGCAAGACTTCGCCGTGACCGGTCGGCCCAGCTACAGAATATTGTAAAATATTTGATGTATTTGTTGCCTCAGCCTATCTCCAGGGGATATAATCAGACTTAGTTCATGTTGTGAACCCAAAATTCTGTAGCTCGGTGCAAAGTTGATGCATTTTGCTTAATCCTCATTTTGCTCACGATGGCTTCCACCTTTCCAATGCAGCAGTGCTACCGGAATAATAGCTACTGCAATGATAAGACTAACCATGAGGCCCGCAGAACCGCGTAATCCGAGGGTGGCGAACATGTCCGGGTACCAGAAGGGACCCAGGAAGCCCCATAATTGGCGTACGAGACTGACGAAGACGCCAATAGAGGCGGATTGGTCCGGATGGCAGTCTATACAGTCTTTACCCCTTTTTATTAGTGGTTTCTTTGAAAACGAATACAGAGACAGAGCAATGAGGGGGAAATGGACGTACAGATGATCAAAACTGTGGTGATGACTTGGTTACCAAATGCAGCAATCCCAAGACCAATGATGAAAGTTACGTTCCAATGCATCGGTGGTGCACGATCCAACTGCACACAAAACACCGTTACACCAATTATTGCACATAAATATCCTAAATAGCTCCCCCATAATCGGAACTCGAGAGGGGGGAGACGACCCCCTCGGGCTTTGGCGCCACATCGCATAACTAGATCAGAAAGATTCCCACCCATTAGCTCACCCGTTAGGGTCCCGATAATGACTCCGAGGAACTGCAATCCGATTTCTTGTGAGTTGAAGCCGAACTTCAGTCCTAAAAGCCCCGGAATCTCGACAGTGCTCATGACAGAACAGAAGCCGAACACCATAGCGTAGCTAACCACAGGTGTCATGATTTCGAGGTATCGTACTAATAAGATAGGTTGGTAGAACTCAAACAGAGTAAAGGGTTTTGGGTCGATACGACGAAAGTGTAGGTATTCGACTTGGGTTTGGGATACGCCCAAAGGGTGGTGACGCATATAACGAGTTTCGGGGCCGAGAAACAGATAAAGAATAAATTGGAGAGCGTTGATTATTGCGAAGATCCAGTACATCCATTGCCATCCGATATGGTAGGTGACGAATCCCATTACAAATGGGCCGCATGGAGGACCGAGTGTGACAAAGAGTCTGTTTGTTCAAAAGCATGTCAGTAAATCATCAAAGGGGGTGTTTTTGAACGAATACCCACGCCCAAATTCCCATTTTCCGACCACGCTCATGTTGAAAAAATACCTCCATTACAACAGCAGTCCCAATAGCAAGGGGAGGACTGATGAAAGTGGCAGTCAAGATACGACACAGCATCATAGTTCCGTAGCTAGTGCACTTCGCGCAACCGACGTTGCATATCAAAGCACCCAGGGTTGACACTAGCCACACGGGACGACGGCCAAACCGGTCTGAGAGAGGTTTCCAGAATAGCGGGGTGATGCCAGTGAAAAGAATCTAATAAGGGTGAAGATATGATGAGAATTCTGTATCATCGGACATTGTTCGGCTGTAAACATACCACAACAGATGTATAATAACTGGCATCCTGAACTGACACATCGAATATATCGGCGAAGGTGTCATAGGCAGGAATCACGCCAGCTCCAATGAAATTGGCCATGAAGGAGTGAAATGCCACCAGCAGCAAGGTGGTATGTTTCTAGGAATAACACATGAGCAGTTGCTAAAGTTGTGCTGAAATTGCCGGATCTCACGTACCTTCCAGCTGGGCCAGTTTAAAGGATCAGCCCGGTCATCCGATGGCAAGGGATTTAACTTAAGCGTTCCATGACGCCGAAGCAGATATTCGCGGTGCTCTCGAGATATTTCAGGTCTCGAGTTATCCTCAACATGCATCGCTTGCTCTTTTGGTAAGACATCATCCATGTCTCCGGTGTTGTTCGGGGTCATGGTCACTTTGTGCCTGCTTCTCTTCGGGCGGTTGCTTTGAGGAAATCCCTAAGGTAAAGTACAGAATTCAGAGACAGCGTAATCTCTAACCACGACGAGATAGGGAAGTTGCTAGTACTAGTAGGAGCAAATAGCCACCTCTAGGATTCTTACGAAGCTAATTCACGCGCATTATTTACATCCGTGAGTTCGTTTTCTACTAGCACCCCCCTTGTTTTGGACTAGTCTAGATTCCCACCCACAGAGCAAGCGAGTTCCCCACAGTTATAAACAGGCTTTATTCGTCCGCAGAATTGAGGACAAACCACACGCGTAGTCCTTGCCTCCTTGTCAAAATCTTGCACTTATTTAAAATGCCTTACAAGCGGATTATTGATAATTAAAACCCTTAAAAAAGAAAATTTTACCTACCCTGGGACCTAAGAGATTCACTGTTTCTTGTTTGTGGGGAATGACAGGCTATGGGGTGGTTGATTCTGCAAGGGATCAGGTGAATGATGAAGTGGGGAAATACGGCAGTGGGGGAGTGGGGGAGTCTTTATGACGAAGAGGCAAAGGGAGAACCAGGCATGTATCATCCACACTAGCTGCTGAACAGACATAACAAGAAGAAGAGAGATGTACAGAGAGACAGATGTCCCAGGCCGCAAACTCTTTACAACATGGCAACCAAGCCTCTCGAGGCAAGGCATAGTGGGCTAAAGCCCTGGAGTTGGGATGGGGTTCAGGACATCATCGCATAATCGCATCTTCCATTACTATCTGGACAATGGCAGGAGTTGTATTCCAGTGGAAATATCAACTATTGACTAAGTCATCTAATTTCTTTTGTGTTGCAACCCAGATATTCCAAAGCATCTCGTAGGATCAATCGATGGAAATGCAATCTCTTAAGTTGAGATAATGGGGACAGCCCTTGTGGATTTAGCAAGCTAATTTGGGCCCCATCAATGTGAATCCTACATCCGCTGAATAACACTTCACACTGAGTCGTTGATTAGACGTTTGGCAAAGCTTTCAAAGCCATGCCAATCCGGAGTTATGTGGGGATATCCGGATCAATGTGGGTTCTCATGCGAGAGAGAAGCAGCCAATAAACATCTCCGGTCACCTGCTCAGGGGCAATATCTTCATTACGGTGACGAGGCCACATCCAAGTATCCTCCATAAACGCCTTGAATTATAATGTTCACATGGTGATTATGGGCCTGTTCCCTCCAATTGCAACTTTGTGCACAATACCATTTTGTTTTATTTTTAAGTATCTTCGTATCTTCTATTCAGGGCTCACGAATAAAAGGTACAAGCTAAACTCCTAACATACATAATGCACATGCCTGTTTGTAGGGAGTCCACCTTGCCCAGGTGGACTCCTTACTCGGTGCCGAGAAAGTAATGAAAAACAGGTATCGATTTATCTTTCATCTTTCATCTACAGCCTTGGTTCATGGCAGTCTATTGTTTGACTTGAGCGTTCGTTCCCGGGTAGTACCCTCTACCTAGGTAGAGTTGGGAATGGAGTTGCAAATTCCTTGATCTATTTGTGCAGGTTTTAAGCCAATTGGTACTAGGAGAAACAAGAAAAGGCTGTTGGAATAACCACTAACCCCATAGAGATATGTCAAAACCCGGTGACATTAGAACAATCTCAAGAGTTGAACATACCATATGGCTCAAGGAATGAAAGGAAGAGGGGAAGTTCAAAATACACCATATCTACAACAGATATTCAACCGCTCTCGCATGCAGCAAATATAAAATTATTCTATCCCAATTTGTCTGGTTTTTGATCCACGTTGAAGAACAGGCCCGAATAATTGTTACTACTCATTGGCTTCATACATACATCCGTATGCATGCCAATCATCGCGGCTTGGGAAACTTATGACGTTGTAAATGTTTGCCAATCCTATAGGGACCAAAACGCGTAATCGTCCATAGTCATCAAGTCCATCTCGATGAGCGTGCTGAGCTGAACTTGACCGATTCTACTTGTTGATGCTCAAGTAGCTCGGCATATCTATTTGATATACCTATGAGTTAGTAAGAATACGTGACACGTGATTAACAATGAGGTGAACGCTATCCTTACCCTTTGGTGCATACTTTATTATTGCTCTTCCGTCTCTTCCCAAATACGCGGATGGCATTGTTTGTCTGACATCGTGAACATGGACTATCTCCATCACACAGAGTTCGATAAGATCAGTTTGGTCCTAGATTCTTGCACTTCATTTTTTGACGGTAGGATGCATACTTTGCTTTTTTTAGGCGAAATCGATCACATGCTGTGTATACTCTCTTCCGTTCCATGGAATCCGATTTCAAATGTACAGCCGTTGAATTTTCTCTGAACGCTGCTATAGCGCTTTTTAACGCAAGTGGAAGACTAAGGAGACAAAACTTTTCAAATGGTCAATGAGAAGAGAATTTAAATAGTTACTATAATTTCATTATTTGATATACTTCATGTCTACTCCTTGAATGCAAAGATAATAAAGCTAACCAATAAGCAGTGACACGCAACACTCATGAAAAAATTGGCCATTATGGGAAACTTGAATGGACACATCTTGCGTAGGTGATTTGATAGAGATAAAGCTGCATGCCGCAGGCTTTATGTTCGATTCGACCTGAAAATCAAGGCACGAATCCTCTGTAACTGTCAAACAGATTTTGAACAGAAGTCCCTGTTTTCTGTCCAGAATACAGTCCCACCTAGAGTTCGGAAGTGATTTAGGAACCTGAGATACTGCTCTGAACCGGACCTGGCCTAGCTCGCTGGGGCATTTATTATAGTGGCTTTACTGTCCCATCTCGGCCTCTCCACCTAATTCAAGGGTATAATTGGGGCGAAGGGCTTGTTGGTTCCTCGCAATTCGGGGGTCTAATTAATTCCTCCAGCTACGTAATTAATGCTAATGCATGTAAAATCGAGAGGCCCTAGTGAAAGGTATTTATCTTCGAGATCTAGAGCGCTTTTGCTTCTTCTTCTTCTTCTTCTTCTTCTTCTTCTTCTTCTTCTCGTTTATAACTCGTGTTCGTTTACTTTTTTTCCAGAAAAGCAGCTGACTCTATTATGACTTAGCACGCCTTTTGAAACCTGATTTGTCGTATTCATTAACTTTTATCTAGACTCGGAGGGCTCCGGGATCTCGTACGTAAGAATCTTTAATTAATAAAGCTTACTTCAGTAAATATCTATGTTTTCAGTATATTTTTGGGTTCTAATCACTTTCCCAGACTCGAACCTTGGAAGGGGCGTCGGACTATCAAAGATACAATAAATATACGGGTATATAGATTATGAAGGTGCAAGTAGCAAGGGATATAGACCGTCTTTCTGCGTTTTTTTAATAGCTTATCTATCTAGTAATATCCTTCCATCTTCTTCTGCTAAAAATCTAACGCGAGTTAGTGGCATAGTGGGTGGTTGAATTGAGTAAGTGCTAATTAATGGACGCGCTTTCGACTGGTGGCCAACCTTCCTACTTACGGATTAGGGCGTGGAATTTGATGCCTTAGTAACAAGGCATCAATTACATGTCGGATTGGTCTGTATTGTAAATGTAGGGGTCCAATCAGTGGTATTCAACTCTCTGTATTTCTATATCGGCTCTTGGTACAATTTATATGGAGCCATGATTATATAACATTAATTACAAAAATGTGTAGGATTAATAAATCCCCCGGTATGCCGGTCGTCATGCTCCGACATTACATCAAGTGCAACGTCGATTGGCCAGTATTCTCAAAAGTGTATTGACTAGCGTCGCTGAACGGAAGGGGGGCTTCGGTTCCTGCGGATATACATGGTTCCTCACATAAGCATCTATTCCTCCCGAGGTCTCCCAACCCAATCCTTTGTTTTTCTCTCCCACTTCCCATACCCCACATCCCACCTGATCCTCTCCTGACGAATATGGGCTCCCCTCCAGTTACAAGAAGGGCTAAATTCCCCACCAATCAGAATAAATTTCGATGTAGCGTGTGCGATAAGACCTACACCAAATTAGAGCATCTCACAGTACGTTGGCTTCAATGTGCATTACATCATACCACGAGGCTGACAAAACCGTAGAGACATGAAAGAACACGTCAGTAGTCACCACAATTACCAGCACAGCAATAGGCAGAAGTCCTTTTTTAAAAAACGAAAGTAGCTAATAGAAAACAGATACAAATTTGAAGCCTTTTCGCTGCATGCATTGCAACAAATACTTCGGCAGACAGGATGTGCTGAGCCGGCACGTGAAGCTGCATGCGAAAGGGCCCACTGCCACAGTTGCACAGCAGCGGCAAACTGCGACCGCCGTTGCAGTACTTCCAACGGTACCAGCATTCTCGCCAACTTCCTTGGGGCCGGCGGCAACCTCGATAGAGCAACCCAGGATCTTTGACCAATCTCTTCTTGCCAGCCCCTATACACTTGAATCGGGAAATCCGTTTGATTGGCTGATACCAGATGTACCAAACGATCCATCGCTATTCTTGCCCATGGCAGATTACCTCAATGATTCCCATCAAATGATCTCGGCTTTGAGCAGTTTACACTCAATTCCTCCCGCTGATGGCCAGGAGAGTGCTGGCCAGCATGCGTTGCATCAGCTTCACAAGCTCATCGATGATCTTTCTAGGAGACTTAATAATGATTTGCAAAACACGGGAGTCACCACGCCGTTCGTTGATGCATGTTTGAGAGAATACTTCGGGCGAGTATCGCCATGTTTTCCGATAATCCACGAGCCTACGTTCTCTACGCAGGACTGTATCTCCCCTCTGCTGTTAAATATGATTGCTTTGGGTTCACTATTTGTATGTCTCCCCGATGCCGCCCAGAAAGGAGAGATCCTATGGCAACTGGGGCATACAGCGGTTGCAACCTCCTGGCAGAGCTTGATCGAGTTGCGAGGGCCACGTGACCAGTGCAATGGCATCCAGCTAGTTTCAACGGCTCTTCTGGGACAAACGTACGCATTACTTTCCAGTAATACCAAAATTCGATCAACCGCATTTGTCTTCCACGGATTAGGGTTCCATTGGGCAAGGATATCTGGTATGTACCCAGTGGGTGCTCTGCAGCCAGGGGCCATACCGGACTTGGAAGCAGACCCAGCTGTTAAGGACGCCGCCTGGCGGACGTGGGTGGCCACAGAAGTTCAACGCCGAGCAACACTCGGACACTATATTTTAGACGGACTCATTTCGCAGGCATCAGGCTGTACTACTAGCGCTCGGCATCTCACTAATGAAGTCGAGGCCGTATGTTATGATGCTGCATTTACCGCTGAAACGGCGGATGAATGGATCATTCGAATGCCACGGCTAGACCGTATGCAGATCCCATTTTCAGAGCTATTCATTAAAGTGTGCTCGAAGGATCATATTCAGACACCATTACAACTCTCGCGGGTCTCTATTGCGGTCTTACTCGAAGGCCTGCAATCATCAATTGCTGAGTTACATGATATCAGGGGCCCTGCTTTGGGGACCGTTTCATGCTCGCAGATCATCCAAGGTCTCATAAACATATACAAAAACAATCTTTCTACAGCCCACAACGTCGAGTCCCTCCAAACCCTCATTCGCTGGCATGCAGTATGCATCGAGCTTTCCACCCCCACCATATTTCTCTACCGCCGCATCTGCGAGGCGTACAACTTACCGCAGGTCTTAAGTGGTATTCCTGTCACAGGCTGGGCACGCCCCTTCAACTTCACCATCTGGGCCCAAAGCGTCGAGGCCTTTCGCGCCACTCTCCACGCAGTTTCCATCATACGTATCCTCGATGAGATCCCCAACGGTCGCACTCACGAAATCCATATCCCCGGCTGTCTCTTCGCCTCCGCCGTGATTCTAGTTGCCATTTACCTTTGGAACAATAAGACAATCAAGATCCCCAAAAGCCACCGCTGGCATGAGGTCTGGGCTGCTGTCATCACGCAAAATTCTTCGACCGACAAAACCCAATTACCTGAGAACGTGGAATATGTACCTGCTTCATCTTCATCTTCAGATTCTCCTTCAGCTTCTCCTACTACCTCTGCTTCATTTATCCCCTCCGTTAACTTTGCCGGGGCCGAGGAACTAGTCAACGCGCTGAATCCAAGTGGCGCGGATGATGCAATGACCTCAGTAAGTTTGCTACACGAGTTGAACTCATTGCAGATTGGTCTGAAAACGGCTGCCTCTCGGTGGTTGATTTCGACGCAGATGGAAGAGATCATTGGGCGATTGAGAATGCTTCCTAGGCAGCAATTGTCAACATGACTAGTCAGTAGGCATGAAACACGGTGCGATCTATTTTTAATTAGGTATTGAAGTACTATTGAGTAAGATATTAATGTTAGCACGTTGACTCGGTAGCACGCATCGCCTTTTCTATGGCTGTCTTGCTTCCTCCTTCTTTGGAATTTTCTCCTTTCTTGTTTGAATTTGATGTTTGATGTTCAGAATTATTTTTTGATTGCTGTATTCAATTCGTGCTTGCGAAAAAAGGGCATTGTTACAGGGGACCACGCCCCTGGATGACGGGATCTCTTTGCGTGGTTAAACGATTCAGGTCTAGGTAATTAGCTCATGGACACTTTTGGGGTAAGGTGTGCCACTGGATGACGTGCACCGCTCGTCTACCGATTATTTTGAGTTTCTAGTTATCAAAGCGAGGTTGTGTCTGTAACAATCCCCTCAAAAAAACGTCCGTATACTCAAAAATCGAAAGCAAAAATTCAGCAATTACTCTCGATCCGTCGATTTTACATCACATCTACCATACCTTGGTAGTGATGGTGCAGCCACTATATTACCTATCTACCAAGCTAAATGACCCCTCAAAGCCTCTACAATGTGACCTGCGCTGGCATTCCGATCCAAAACAGCTAGAATGTGTTGATCTGGACGCACCAGCACAACCTGTCCCTGCTTCAACGACACCACATTATCCCACTTATCCTGGCCAGGCTGTAGCACGAAGTCAACCCCCTGGATTGCCACCCGCAGCGATAAGGGAGAGGCCAAACTTGCAGGCACTTGTTTTAGTGCCTCTTGCACGGCGGATTGAATCTGTGAGCTGAAAGTCTCGTAGACCAGGAGAGTGAAGGCGTCAAACCGACAGAGATTCAGGGTAGAGTAGGTCATTTCCGCCGCTTTCTGTGCTTCGCCACCAACATATGATGAGTCAATTTTAGGAAGCTGCACCTTCTCGGGGACAGCAAGCTTGATCCAAGCATGGGGCAGACGAGCTCCAGGCACGCAGACGGGCTCATATACGGATGCGTTTTCGGGGATGTGCTTGTTGCCGTAAATGTAACCGATGTGCAGGCCTAGGTTGTCAAAATGCTCGCGCTGATCCTCAATGCCCCTGTGGATTTCAATCATGGCTTTTTCATCACAGATCTTGTGATATAGGTTGTGCCGAGCAACGTCAACATCAGGATCGGTTGTGCCAAGTGTCTTCAGCAATCTAAAAATCTTATTCCCATTCTTCACACTCTGTTTCGAGTTTACCAAGGCAACCTGACGACGCTCGGCTTCATATGTCTCCAGCAAAGCGTCCTTGGCGGATCCATGATGGACGGCAGCCAGCTTATAAGCCAGGTTGTGAACGTCACTCAGCCCTGAGTTCAAGCCCAGGCCTCCAGTGGGGGGAAGGAATGAGCGGCATCACCAGCGCTGGAAACAATCTTAGCGATTTCACACAGGAGCAAGGGAAACACAAAATTTGCAAAGGATACTGACAGGAAGACCCGGCTATCACGGTAGAACTTGGCAACCTTTCGACTCAAGATCCAAGGACGGAAACTGAGAATGTCATACTTCACAGTCGCACCGATCGCCGCGTCGACGACCTTGCGGCAGTACTCTTCATTCCATGAGTCGATCGGACATTTTTTGGACTAAAAAGAAATGTATTAGTGCCAATTTAGAGAGGAGGTTAGAAATTTAAAACACACGTCAAAGTTGCAGATCAGAACTTGGTTTCCGGACAAGTCATAGGCAATAATGAATCCAGATACCAGCGGATCCATAACCCAGTGGAGCATACCGACCTGCTCTTGAAGAATGGGACGTAAATCCGCGTTGAAGTGGATCGTCATCATTGTTTCGTCTATATGAGATCTTTAGTATCTAATTCATTGCAATCCTAAAAGGAGACTGCAGACTTACAAGAATCCTCGCCTTCGCTCTCGATACCAAGAAAGTTGCGCACTGCACTTTTTGCACCGTCACAGGCAACCACATGCTTCGAGCGGACTTGGTATGTTTCTTTTGAAACACGGTCCTCGATTGTTGTGATAACCTGTTCATCAAACTGATTTCATTAGAAGTTACTACATGGAAAACATATGCCTAGGTACATATATTGGACAAAGGTTCTCACCTGTTTCAAGCTGACAAAGCTATGGCTCTTGCGAATCTCGACCAGTCTACTATTGGATAGCCTCTGGGCAATCAACTCTTCGAAAGCAGGCTGCGGGATATTATGAATCATCTAATTGCGATATTAGTGTTGGGAAGGTTCCAAATATGGCTTCATCAGGAACTAACAGTAGGGGTGCTGTTTAAGACTTCAGCGTCCATGCGCTCGTAGGGCAATTTGCCGACATGCTTGCAAGCCAAACTTGTGATGAAGTTCACCCAATAGGCATCCTTACGACTGGTTCCGACTTTGCGAATTTCATTCACATCTAATCCAAATTGGCGACACATCTCCAATGAACGAGGACTCAGGGCGTGGGCCTTGGGGGCAGCCAATCTGGCCGCATATCTTTCAGCAATCAAAGACCTGACTACCATACCGTTAATATGTAAACTTATGGCATGGCACCTTATCCTAGAAGAGAGGGGGCATACAGACCACCGAGTTGCTCCAACATGAACGCCAAGAATAGACCTGACGGGCCACCACCGATAATCAGGATCGGAACATCCTCGTCAAAGATTTCGTTCCGAAGAATCGAAGGTGACATTGTGTGCTATCGTTCTGAGGTTTGTGTTTCTTTGTGAAGTCTGTCTTTGTCAAGTAAGGCTAATAATTTGCTTTGACTTCATTTAGCTCCACCTGGACAATTTATTGAATTCAACGTAGATACATGAAGAAGAGATCAAAGTATTTAAACCGGGGTAGAAGAAACAGTCAATCGTTCTTTCCCCACATATTTTGTGGAGGTAATAATGAAAGTGGGAAATTATTCGCATTCGATGAGCAACCACAGGCGACCGGATATTTCGGATAATGACTTGGAATGAACAAGAGCTCCTCAAATGGATTCCTGGTCATCTGTTTCTGCTCATCCTTAGGCCGCCATCATAATTGAAATCATACTATCCCCACAATCTGATATGAAGACTCACAGATCCTATCATCTCAATGCGTTTCAAGCATTTTATTATCATTACTATATGATCTCTTAGACTTCAATTACTAACTGGAAATAACGACCTCGGGAGTACGAGTAAATAAAATATATGCGGTGTGCAGAAGGTCAATCCAGGCCACTTGGAGACTGGTTTGATGTGATGTGAATTGATAATGGGTTGACGAGCCCGAAATTTCCCCGCTTATTCATAAGAACTTCCTTAATAATGAAGAACCAAAATTGTTTGCTCTAGCTTGAATCTCCGATAGTTCAAATGTATCGGTTCAAGCATTTTGTTCAGGCATTTCCCAGGAGGGAAAACCTCAAGGGAAGGGTGTGATTCGTGTCAGAAAGTACCTCTTGTGGGAAAGAAAGGTGAGTGAGGAAGAGTAAGTGGGAAAGAAGAGTAAGTGGGAAAGAAGAGTAAGTGGGAAAGAAGAGTAAGTGGGAAAGAAGAGTAAGTGGGAAAGAAGAGTAAGTGGGAAAGAAATGTAAGTGCGGAGTCGTTTCCTACTCTTGGCAATGTTAACCATTTAGGGATTTTGCCATACTTGTGATCGAGTACCAACAACGTTTGGAACGGGTGTTCCAGTCTCAATTCGCTTACTTTCAACTTTTCCGGTAGGCTCGATTTAGACCTTGCCAACTCCCATAGGACTAAGAGAATTTTGGTCCTATATCCTGGTCCCATCTAGATCTGGCAGTGACCCTCCGGGTGGTCCATGATCTTAGACCCTCCACCCGACCCGTAGTGACCCTCGGATGTATAAATTTCGAGCGCTAAGCCTAATTAAGGCAGATAAAACTACTCACTAGACTGCGACATCGCCCGTCCACGGTGGGCCTTGGGCTATTTGGATTTTCGAGTGCCCGTCCATAACGCCCAAGGCTCACGGGTATGCCCACGGCGGGCATGCCCACGATGCCCACCATTATATAAAGTTGTCTTAAATATATATAAAAATTAGATATATAGTAAATTATGGTATATATATTTATATATATCTTATTAAAAATCCGGAATTATGATTGTAAATATATAAAAAATATAAATTTAGTTGAAATATTTTGAAATCTGTCAATTAAAATCACGTGTTGCGCTAATTTTGCTTACTAAAAAGGCCCACGGGCGCCCACGGTGTCCATGGACAATGGGCCCTAAGGTAGGGCCCGTCCATGGGCGTATTGATAGTGCCCATCGCCCGCTTACATAAGGCCCGTGGGCACTGCCCACCCGCCCGTCCATGGGCGATGTCGCAGTCTAGTCTATATCGTAGTAGAAATATATATTGTAGATATATATCTATACATATGATACTGCTTAAAACCAGTATATTTTATTTCAATACTGTAGGTATAAGACAATTATATTTAAATTAGTTTAGAAGGGTTATAAAATAGTATAATATAGTATTATTTTTCTATCCCAGGGGGGGAGGTGGACGACCGATCTATTAGCCGAATACAGGTACATATTAGAACCTCTCTATAATGATATTCACATATTTTTTATTTTTTAGACCTACTTATAGTATATATTAACTTAAATGTGAAACCCGCTTATTCTTATCTAATTTATCTAATTTGTTATAGGGGGTTGAAGTTTGTCAACTGGATCGGTAGCCTTAGTTCAAAATTCCGAATCGGGTTAGCGTTGAGTCGAAAATTCCTAAAAGGGAAGCTTTAGTCGAAAATATAGAAGTCGTTTATATTTTAGACTATCCCCTTCTCCTATATTTTCAACTAAACCGAACTTTTATATTTCCGACTATCGCCTATTCCTAGAAACTCGACTACACTATATATTTCAGATATGAACCTAGTATATTCACTACAACATCAGCTTGATCTACTATGCTTACTAATAATACTGTTTTAGTGAAAATCATTCTGTACTAGACTGCGCCAAAACCCGCAAACCCGCAAACCCGAAAAAACCCAACCCCCAAATGGGTCGGGTTTCGGGTCGACTTTCATAACCCGCAATGGGTTTCGGGTTTGCTTGGGTAACCCGCGCGGGTTTGCGGGTTACCCATGCGGGTTACCCATGCGGGTTACCCATGCGGGTTACTAAACAGTGCAAACATAGGAAGAGTCGTATCTACATAAATTATGCATTTCTTACCTGTATCTTGTTGTATTTCCTTTTCACCTCAAGGGGGTAAAAGCTCCTACAGCCCGCTCTAATTCCAATACACCACTACTATTTCTAACGGCTGTCAGAAATTACTTATGCGTGAAAAGCCACTTTGCCTATACTATTTCTAACCGCGGTCAGAGATAGTAGTAGTCTGAAGGGAGTTTTCAATGTATAGATAATTTCTGACCGCGGTCAGAGATAGCAGTAGTCTGAAGGGAGTTTTCAATATATAGATAATTTCTGACCGCGGTCAGAAATAGCAGTAGTCGAAGGGTGCCTTAGACGTATAAACAAAACCGCCGTAGATTACTGTATTTTATTAGTATAAATCAGCATTTTTATACACTTCGCCATGGCTTAATTGGGAAAATTATGCAGCCGCGGGTTTTTGCGGGAACCCGCGCGGGTTGCGGGGCGGGTTGCGGGTTGGTCGAGTCTACCTATCGGGTTTGCGGGTTCGGGTTGCGGGTCGACTTCTCTTACCCATTCTCGGGTTTTGGCGCAGTCTATTCTGTACACACACCATGCGGGAGGCACACCATGCGGGAGGCACACCATGCGGGAGGCACACTATGCGGGAGGCACACTATGCGGGAGGCACATTATGCGGGAGGCACACTATGTGGGAGGCTAGTGATCAGTGACACTTTTATCAGACAATATCCCTGGTTTAAGCGAAAATTGCGTGATAGTGTGTATACGGCATGAAAGGCCAAATCTGCGCCATATAGATCAAAAGTTCTGATTTTAACGATTAATAAACTGCCATAGTAAAGTTGATATATATATAATAGGAAGAGTATGCCTAACGTTGTTGAGTAAGTCTTTAAGTAGATATTGATACACCAAAAAATAGTAGGCATATTTTTTAACTACTCGCCCCTATACAGCAAAAGACCACAAAGTTTATATTATGATATTTATGGAGAATGAGATAAACCACATCTGTTGTAAACCACATCTGTTGTTACTCTTAGCTCTGATACGTCTAGGCCAAGTGTAATTAAATCCCCTAGATTGTAATAACATCTGGTAACTAGTCATCAACGCACGCTTAGTATAAGGATGGCCTGGAGGAATATGGCAATTTATTGACTTAGGTACTGGAAGCAACATAAGCTCCTCAGACATAATACATGAATTGACACGCTTCGAATCAATCTTAGACCTCGCCTTAGCGTGTTCGGGTAGTGTTATTCATCCCAGGGCCATACTGACTGACAAATTGAGGCAAGGTGAAAGAACGAACGTCTTACGGGCTAAATTGTATAGTGGCTTCTTTCTTTGAAAAGACCGTTGACTGGATCTTTGATAACTTTCCGCTCCCTAGCATTGGGATTTACGTTCGGCGCAAATGTTCTAATTCATTATAGTCCTTTAAGAACTTATTGGATGATATGCCTTATATTGGTTCGGGATTAGGAGCGTAGCTTGCCCGATGAAGTCGTCTGGGTAGCGCAGCTTCGAAAGCTGAAATAGGGACTGGGTGGAAACGTAACAGGATATAAAGGCTTGGGTGGAACTCCAACACCCGTCGTGGAGTGATTCCGTTTTTTGAGTACCATATTCTTTGAGGCTATGGCCAGAATGCCATTTAACAAAATATATAGGAAAAAAGAATGAAGATTGGAAAAGCTAAGGTCTTCTAGGAAAATAGCCGGGTGGAAAATAGCCGGGGCTCGAAAAATAAGAGATCGCTGATAAGAAAAGTGGACAGAGAATGAATAGACAGACAGCGAATTTAATTTCCTGGATCTTGATAATTGAACCTTTCAGCTGCTAAGACTACTGGCATGTTTTCCCTTGTAATGCCTCTGAAGGTTGTCTTTCCGCGTGAATTTCGTCGGGCATGCGGAACAGGCGAACGATTCTATAGGCCCACAAAGGTCTTCAGCCAGTCTCGGGTGAGCAACCTTTAAGTGTCGGATAATGTCACTTCGTTCAGCTGCTGCATATGAACACTTAAAACATTTCAGAGGCAGAGTATGTGTCCGAATATGTTTTCTGAAATCATTAGAAAAAATAGAAACTAGAGTTAGACGTGAAACATACCTCAGCTGACATTTATGAGTAAAGCCCTCCGCCCTTTTACATCCCGTATATTGGCAGTAGTACAATCTATTATCCGGCGAAAAAGCGATGAAAATGTCTGAAGGCATCTCAGCTTCTTCAGATTGCCAACCGCCTGTTTTCGCCGTGTTATAGGCCACCGCCCCACTATGGTTCGTATTGATCACCGAGCCAGATCTGTCAACAAAAGTTTTAGAAGAAGAATGATCACGTAGTCTGTCTTCGCTAGCCATGAAATTGTCGCATAAAGTTCTCTACAGAGAATCATTTTTATCGACGACTTCCTGAAGAGACGGAGACAAGGTATCAGATATATCTTCATGGTCAGGCTTTGCGGCAAAAACTTGTTGCTGTTGATCCTGGCCGGTGGTGTAGGAGTTGGAGGCGTCTAATATGGCGTTGCTGCCTAGTGACCACGGCTCCATGGTCGAATAGGGGCGGGGCGGGGTGTCAAATGGGAGATGAAAAAGTGCAATCTTAGCAACTTGGCTTTCCGGAAGCCAGGAATAAATAGTCTATACTGACGAGAGACCTACTATCCCCGTTATCTCCCCGTGAGTCAGGAACAACCTTCGGGCGAAGAAAGGGAATCTGTGGCGGAGAACGCATACTACAGCCTCCAATCAAATTTCACCTGTCAGCATATATTGGGTAGCCACGCAGGTATTGATCTATCTCGCCATTGTTCTCGTACATTTGCACCATAGAAATTTCCCTTCTTATTTTTGGACGCGTGTGCCATTTTCATTCGAGTTTGATGGCGGTTTGACAGGTCGTATTTGAGCCACGTAATATCACGTCGATAAGCGTTGCATTGCCTTCCTGCAATGTCCAATGTGGAGGACCATGCTAGCCATGTAGTACATATCTTCGTGCATATACAGCTCGCTTCACTTTTATCTGCAACGTGAGACAATAACGGTACGGCTTGTTCTACACGACGAAGACAACACATCCACGAGGGGACGGCATGTCATAATTGCGATAAGTCTCATATGTGGTTCTATTGTAAAATTTCAACTCGGCCTATAGCTTGCCGTTTTTACGACAGAGGCACCTGGTGAGTCATAATAGAAATAAACTCCATCCAGCACTCATTGGATCTTCATATAAAACTTGTGTAAACCACTCAGAGGGGGATACGCGGGAACAGTCGACATATTCTCATTATCACCTAGCGACTCCAATATGGCCGCTTTGCCAAATCATAACCAATCGGTTGGTTCTGACGGTGAGTCGGACGGCCATTACTCTATCTACATCCACTTTGATGCTAAATCTTGTAAAGACTTTCTCATCGGTACACTCGTTTATCGTGCATCAATAAGCCTGTCCCTCACAGGGTCTGGGAAATCGCGTAGTGGGATTGAGGTTAGCCCACTGTTTCCTTCCTTCATCCATCGTCGGCTTCTGGACTGACCCATATGCAGGCTTCTTTCAATTATGCTTTTCAAAATTTTGACTGGAGTGGCATGATGCATGCTCTCGAAGTTGCTGAAGGACATCCTATCAAATCTATTCGCGATGGAGTCAGTGTGCAAGACCAAGTAGTCGCCCTCATAGGGCACACTTATAGGGTCTGCCCTGAGGCGGAACAGCTTGCTCTTTTATGGAGCCTTGCCGACAATTTCTCTCCTGCTGGCCCCGAACGGGCGTCCTGTGGCAGCAGTGGACCATCAAGTATGGAAACGTCCGTCTCCAGTTCTCTCAACCAACTTTACTCGGGGCCAAATAAAAAGACCGAACACGCAGTGGAACTCTCTCAGTATACTTGCATGCTAAACCAAATGGCACAAAAAGAAAATAAGGCATTTCAGCGGATCAAGGAGGAAACCATCGCCCTTGAACCGCCTTTGTTCAGGGTGACAGTCCAATATGGGGATATCAGCTGTTCTGGTAGTGCTCGGACTAAGAAAAAAGCGGCGCATTTGGCTGCCCACAGTATTTATAGCCAATTGATTGCAAATGAATGAATGGACATTGAGATGAGTAGTCAATATTCTGACCCTCTCTGGAGCTAATCAAGCCAGAGGGAAGAGGGCAGAGATTAGACGTTCTAGGGCTGAGACAATAGACAGGTCATTTATTGAGTCACTGAAGTTTTCAACGAGCAGTGAACCTGTGTTATTGGGAAGTAGTAATAGAGGCCATCGTCATTATATCGTGTAACCTTCTTGAGTAAGCCGTTAAAGGTTCTTCCTTGTCGTGGGATATGATCAGTCATACCCTCGAATGGGTCTAGGATATGCCAGTAAGGTCATACCAGATGATAGGAGTCTGTATTACGTTTGCAGAGAAAGCTCTCAGATACTTCGTACCCTGGCCGTGATGCCACATCTTTTTAACGACACATCTGCCTTAGAATACACATCTGCCTTAGAATACACATCTGCCTTAGAATACACATCTGCCTTAGAATACACATCTGCCTTAGAATACACATCTGCCTTAGAATACACATCTGCCTTAGAATACCGAGCCTCTCTACAGCCCACACTGCAACAAGACACCAAATACAACGATCAACAGGGATAAAGCAAGTAGTAGTAAAAATATAGAGAATACAATGTCCTCTTAGACTATTATTCAGAACGCTCCATTCATGTTTCTGTGCTATTGCACAACTTTGTCCCTCCCTTTCGGATTAACTAAGCATAATTGTGCAGGTGAACAGCTCTTCAGGGCCCAAAGGTTCTCAGCAAAACATATACGAGCCAAGTAGCCGTGTCGATAAACAACTTTCTTTCCAGCTGCTTTGTACTTACAAACGAGGCATTTGGAAGATCACTTATATGTTTGAGCGTGTCGTCGAGAATACTTTCGAATAAAACTAAAGGTAGGGTCAGATACTATACCCACCGTAAGGTCACATCCACGAGAATAGCCATTCCGCCATCACAATCTCTTCTCCCGGCAGTAGTAGGGCTAACCATATAGTAAGCAAGCCATAATCTCATCTGGTGGCATATTGGATTCTTTATATAACCAGTTGCCCGCGTCGAATTGAATTGTGATGTTCAGAATCGCTCATTGCCCTAACTCTGGTGAGATATTGCTAGAAGGGCGACCAGAGACTGGTCGCATAATATAAGCTACAGACACTGATTTTAATCTAATGTTTGCTGTCGATTTCCACCGTCGGTGTATGAGATGATATCGTAGAAGTGGTATTGGTCAAATGTGAACTGATGTATACCCTAGAGTGACCAAAGGCACTCTTCCATCGGACACCAACAAGGCTTTTCGAAGTACATCTGTATCAATCCAAGTCAGGGTCATGAGTAGCCTAAATTGGGTAGCCACAAGTATGCCATGTCAGCTGCAAACATGCCTCTTCACTATTGGCTTTTCTTCGCCGTCTTCATATTATCACATATATGCGCATAAAATAGTGCATGAAGCTGGCTCAAGAGAAGAATCCCACTGGCAGGATCCCAGATAATTCCGCAGGCCTGCATCAAGTGTCGGTTACTAGACAATGCGCTTTGAGGTTTTACGTGGTTGTCAGCAGCTTGCGGACTTGTCTAGTAATGTGGTGTGCGCAGGCAGCTATAGCAAGGAATAGTAAGCGATAATCTCTCCTACATGCATAGTGTAGTGAGTTTACTGACCGATAAAATGAGAGCCTACTGGGTGACTAGTCGAAAACTTATATTTCCAGTGATTGGAAAGACGGTCTTGGGCGACTGGCCAACCATTTGAAGTCCGATGTGCCCCTTTCGGGAGAACTTAGACTGGACAATGAAAATTATTGTAATGGACAAAGACGGAGATAGCTTGGTGATTGTCGGATATGGTGATCAAGTTCACCGAACTAAAAGCGAGACCATCCCGCAGAATTGCTGTATTTATATAGCTGGTAAAGTGCGAACCATCGTTGGGTGTCTCGTAGTATAGTTGCATCTCATAAACTGTGCCGCAGAAAGTCATTGATGCAGTTTGCTCTGGTGGAAATGTCCCTGCAAAAGCTGTTTCGATGACCCAGCCGCCACAAATTCGAAGACACGAGATTGCATAGCGTGTAATTTCTTCCAGGCGGCAGAGAGTTCATACATATACAATATTTCTAGATTTTCGGTAATCAACCTTACGCTTGACACTGAAGTTAAATGTTTCAACTCTCATTTATGTATGAAGAAGCGCGGATATTCTTCAAACTACAGCGGAACCCGAAAATATAACATTATGATACAGCTCCGAGAAAAAGCAATTCATTTCAGCAGCGTTGGTCGAAAGACAAAAGAATTTGAGATCATACACTGCATGCGCCTCCCTGATGGGTTGATGACTGATTAGATCATAATTTTACACCCCCATCTTCGACATCCAACTCGTCATCTGACAGTCGTAATGGCTCGTACATAGGTGAGTATCTTTGGCATTCCAGTTTGATGCTTGATTCACTTTGCTCAGCAAAAGACCCAACAGGCAAGCTTGATCCTGTCCTTGGCTGGTGCTTCCGCAAATCTGTCCATAGACGAAGGTCCGGAAAATCAGAGATTCCGGTCTTTGAATCGGGGTGCCAATGGCTAGCTGGAGCCTGTCCAAGTACTTGGCTGGCGATAAGCTCAGAAATTTCACGGATCATCCGATTCAATATATCCCGCTGCCCAATTGCTGCTGGGCTGGATTTTGAGTAGTTGTGTATCAGTGGCGGGCCCCAATTGATCCAGACCTTGCGGTGGGACTCAGGAATACTCACGCGAGCCGGGTGATATCTGAAGTACATTTCACAACATATGCATGCTGGTTTGCTGCAAGCAATAAAGCGGTCACCTCTTGCAAAAACTAGTTGATTGTTGTGGAAATGTTCGAGAACTTGCACCTCAGCGTGTACTAGAGGATCCAATCTATCATAATCATTGACAAACTGTGAGAAGATCCCTTTTATGGAATCCAAGTGGTGGAGGCCTCGCTCAATCTCCAGTCTTTTATCGTGGTTTTTCCCTAGCATCCGGTTGAGGATACCGTCCAAGTTGGTATGTTGATCGCGCGGTGGCCGAGCCCTGCAATATATTGAATTGATATTGCAAACTTCATAGGATAGAAGCATGTACCTCATATGGGTGGCATCCTCACAGAGTTGCTTTGTTGCGCGAAAGTGGTGAGCTAGACGGCCCAAAAAATGTCTAACAGAGGCAAAACTATCGTATCTTTCTTTCAGACCTGCCCTCTGTTGTGTCCTTGCAGACCACAGTTGGAGCTCCTTTGCAAATACCGAGTGGCGAGTATCATATGCGGAGATACATAGCTGCAAGTTGCTTTGCTCCGTGAGAAATAACGATAGCCAGGTTTCTAGATCCCTGGCTGATGCAGAGTTAGTTGACGGTAGATAAAAAGGACTGTAGAAAATCGAATTACCTTCTTCCGCTCCCTGATTGGATAGCTCTTTCATGCACTGTCTTACAGCACGGAGTAGACATTTCCTCTCTTTTCCTATGCGCCTCGCTGCAAAGTCTATACAGAGCTCTGACAAAGCTCCAATTTTGTCCGTCGCCTCCTCAACCTCCGGGTCTTCACTGATTTTTTGTAGGGAAAGAAGGACCTTTTGAAGGAACTCTTTTGTTTGACCGTTTTCTTCGTTTGATGCAAGCCAAAGTCTATAACAAGTCTCGCATTCTTGAAGGCCGATGGCTGTGCAGGTCTTGCCACCTTTCTCAAAATCACACATATAAGCAAGGTTTTGCAGAAATCTCCTGCGGGTTACCGTTGATTCATCTAAATAGAATGTTCTTGAAGTGTGTTCTCCACGGCTCTGCCCAAGCAACAGGAGGAAGACGAGTGCTTCGTATAACCGACTGAGCAGTCTATTATAAGGGTCAGCTCTCGGGCGACCTACTCGAGCAGGCTTAATCTCAAATTCCTTTAGAACAGCTGCTGTTTCGTGCATTTTGGCAATGTGAGGAAATATCGAGAAGTTTTCTATCATATTCCGATTTAGCACATTTAGAAAAGCAACAGGCCATCCGCTGTCTTACTTATAGGATAATACATGTGATCTAGCGAGGCGCTTTCCGGATAGTAAGGCATTCAATGAGTCGGTAGACATTGGGCAGCCACTTGTGCAGCATGTCGGAAGCCAGCCAATTTACCGGTAAGCGGTAAATCAGTTGTATCAGCCCGTGGTTCTGACCAAGATTGATTTAATGTATACATTTACATATGACGGTAAAGATTGTGTCTGGCATTCATTTTTCTTTAGCATGTGGATATTACCTACTAAAGATTCATAATTAATTTATTCCCAGCTAAGTGATATACTAGCTGATCTTTCACTCATAGTAAACCCCTGATTGCTTCATATGTTCTTCATTCATCGCGAGAAAAGCAATTCATTTCTGTATAGTTCGAGACCGATTGAATAGATGGTAAGAATGTAGCTTCATCAACACTCCGCTGTTGTAACTTATGCAATATCTGATTGAAGGCCAAATAGATATAGTGTAGCCAAAAAGCCATGTGTGCGGAGTCAGCGCAGATTACAGCCTATATTTGAGTGTGTGGATTTGATCAATCGGGTTATCCCTGAGTTATCTCGACTGTTCGAGACCAAGATTATCCGAGCGCAAGCGGTCAACAAGTAGGAAGGTGGATATATTTGATTGGTCGCGTTCAAAGCTTGGGGCAAATAACGGGCTTAGGTCTAGAGCGTTGCTGACTCGGTTGTATTTTCCTAATAACCTGCGTATGATTGATTCTAAACAGAACCGATAGAATATATTTCAACGGCGCCACAAGATGCGCTGTCAAGACTATTCTAGCAACCGCATTTTGATTCTGTAGATACTAGCATAGTTTTGGCAGTTGTTTCTTATTCCCTACTCTATAGCTATTGTATATATCGGACGCAAAATCTTAAATAGTATACGTGATTTCTATCTACAATAGTGCTAAGGTATTGATATTTTGGGGCGGTTTTATCAAGACTCTTATAAGATAAGAAAAGAGATTCTAGTCAATCAAGATATACAGCATTAAAAAATCTGTTACCGGTATCGGTATTACCTTTACCGATAAATTTGTTGAGATTAGACGAAGAGCAACGAACGATAGATTCCGAAACCTACACAGCTCCTAGGCAATCTTACTCGTAGAAACACTTTATGACTATATTACAGCGCTAGGCCGAAAAACGCTACGTCACGTATTAGCGTTATAAGCAATCTAGCTGCAGAGCGATCGGTTGTCTGAACAATATAAATATTTCTACGGCGGAGGAAAATTGAATCTAAGAATAAGTGATCCGCGAACTATACCAAAGGAAGCCAATTTAGGGTAAGCTTATTCGCTGACATACAGCGTGGAGTCATAGCGGTGAAGATGATTTTATAGGACCTATAGACTTCACAGAGGTATTCCGTCTCGATTCTTTGCTATTCCGTTAAATGTGAAATCGATGCAGCTGGGGGTAGCGCCGCTAACTGTTCAAGCGATATTTTAAGATCTTTTCTGCCGGAACGTCCAAATATAAGTGTTACAGAGAAGGCCAGGGACTAGTAAGTACGCTGGTAAAATCACTGTATTGCGCTAGAGAGAGGGAAAGAGAAGAAGCTATCTACAGATGCTAAGACTAATGTACTGGGAGCAAACAGTGATGGTCACGTGACCTTCCAACAATAAGATATAGTGACAGAAATAGACGGGTACGACAATGTATGGTAAATCTGACATGTGTAAATTCTCTAACTAACTAAAATGACAAAATCTGCTCCTTTTCCAATCTAGGCGGATATAGCTGATTAAGCAATGTATGTACTTTTGTATGGTACCGTTATCATAACGGTCCATTGATTTTCCGGTTTGTAAAGACCTAGTAATTTAACCATGCATAAATGCATGGTACTCGACATATAGGTATAGATAGGTATTCAGATCAGTTTACGTACTAATCAAGGCATTTATTTCCTATTCCTCATCCCAGAACATAGTATAACCCATAACTATCGCACATTTTCCACCGCAGTAGGCACAAACTACGAAAATGGAAACGATACTACGCCATATAGCTATCTACATATATATAGTAACGGATACGTAGGTCAATCATCACAGAAAGAGGAACCACAGTTTTCTAAGTCGACAGCTCACTCGCTGAAATGTCCAAGGATCAAGTGAATAGCGACAAGCCACTTTAGCCAACTTCTCATCCTTAGCCAGATTCACCACCTCACCTACCGTATCCTAATACTGCACATTAGACAAAAGAGCAGCCGTTTTAAAAAAGTACCATCGAGATGTATATTTCGCCAGCATGCACATCCAAATCAATAAGCATCTAAACCGGAAAAGGGAAGAAATCTGATGAATCACAAATCCATCATATTGAGGTCGGATAATCGAGGAGAGAGCATCCGACGGTCCACTCAATTTAGACCAGCCCGTTTCTGCATACCGGCGTTCCTGAAGCTCTTCACGTAGTCGGTCGCGATACCATGATAGTTGTGTTTGCTGCAGAAGATTCAACATCTTCAGCCACACGGGTGTTATTAGGTGGACCAGTAATCGCATATTGCTTCATAGTCTTTTATTTTCAGCAGGAAATGAAACAATCACTTGATTGGTGCGAGGTGCAGAAAGGTGTTCGAGATTTAGACGCGCCATTCAATATCGAGGCTGGTGTTTCGGGAAAGGAACATCCTTGCTCCGAACTCTCAGCTCCCGCATGGATGACCTCCCGCATGAACAGCCTCCGGCATGGATGGTCTCCTGCGATTTTGAACATTTCAGCTACTCTCCACATGCCAAAAGTGCGACTATGTAGATAGGAATTCGTCACTCTCTTCTTCATAATTGCTATAAAGCTGACTGGATTAGTACTCTTTTATGGCCTTTTTCGACGAGGTTCATTGCCTTTGGTACCTTTATCAACTTCATTAACTTCTAAAAGATATCATGAGAGGCTTTGTCTCTATGTGTTACAAGCATGGCCCCAAATAAGGATCAAAAGCCTATAGCGACGTCGTCAATGTATCAAGCTCTTCATAATGAGGTGTCAAGGTTGTTGGTCGAGGCAGACCTTCATTTCAGGTTTCACGAGGATGATGACGAGATAAGATGCACCAAAGCGCATAACACAAACATAATGGACCGTTTCGTGTGCCACAATTGAGCATGCAAAGCCAGCAGGTTGTCAAGCAATATGATCGCTATCAGAATTCGTCTATACCCAAATAAAAAATACAACGCAAGGATATACCACCAACGCTGCAAAGCATGTAGCAGGCTTAGTCGACCAAGGCTAGACCAATCATACGCCGAGAGGGTCGTCTACTGGATAAAGCAATGGAATGGCGTCCGGGTAGAGAGACCTCCAGTCTTTCGCAACAGCAGGGGTCCCCATAATCGTCAACTTTGTGAAGGCTGTAAGGCTGGGCACTGCTCACAATCCGAGGCCACCTCCGTGGAGCTACAACAATGTGGGCGTAAACGTTCTCTTCTCCGATAAAAGTTTTTCGTTTTCCAGAGATGATGGGAGTAGTTCTGTAGATCCTAGTGATTTTAGTTTCATTGTTTTCCCCCTGCAAGATCCTTGTATTGAAGAATCTTGTGTGAGTTATTTCTCATTATCACACCCCACAGAAAGATACATGAATAGAAGGGTTTACCCCTACCCTTCACGGAAGCTATGTCAAGTCAACGGGATGAATGAATGAATTATGTTTTAATTCAATGTCATTTTACGGGGTCATATGGAAGGCTCTGTTAGCGAGGCATGGAATTCGTAAGTCAACTATAACTAGATAGCGCATAACTAATCTGTGCCCGCCCAACTCGAACGCGAATCGCTTACGCTGCCCGCCCGAAGAGGACGAGAGGGACTCAATCTCCTCTCTTCCAAAGATTTGACTTCATGTATTCTACTCCATGATTTCATTTTCCTCCTTTCGTCTAGCCGTTGTCCACTTCAACAGGATACAATGTTGATTTTTGAACCCGACAATCCATGAAACCTCATAGGCTTCCAGATAATTGTCACACATGCTCCACCCATGATAATGACGAGAGTGGGTAATCCATTTTTGAGTCCGTGAAGATAAAGAAGAAGCGCTTCTGAACATCCCTAACCCCAAGGCTTTGGTGAAACCCACACGGCTCAGTGACGCTAGACTGTAGATAACCTTGCGGGGACCGGAATGCAAATTTAAGGTATATAACATGACCAAATACACCGAGAAAAAAAAATTATACGCCAGGAAGGAGGTAGAATGACACTTCGCTCCCCAGCTTGTTGATCACTCGACACCAACTCCCGGTTTCTGAGGAATAAGAGTTCAATGCTTGTTTGATTTGACGCGTACTGAATATTTCGGTTGTAGTAACAGTATCAATGGAGTTCATTCTTTGCTCGAATTTCAACTACCATTTCTTGTTCTCTTCTTGGCATTGATTTCGGCAACCAAAAACCCACTTGAATACTATGTATGGTGATTGCCTCGCTATCCACCCAGTCAACCCCTCCTGATGCCATTACTCACAGCAGTATTCTACATTGAATCCAAATTAGACCAGCAGATTCACCTTCAAATTTGCACTTAGCAGAACTGAATATGTCACAATCTGCCCCTGCTTCCACAGACTTGCATAAATTCACTTCTTCAATGTATTTATTCCAAGCGATTTTAACTGTCTGAGATTTAATTTGTATAAACCCCCACTATCTGGCTATCTAATGATGTCTCTCTCCTTCAACCTTGGAATGATTGATTGACATGCAGATATTGAGCTCCCAGATTGATTCCATTGTTCCAATTGGTAGTAAGAGCTTCGCTGGGGGGTTTGTCTGGGTCGCAGCTATGGGCAATTAAAAATTTCATAACCATTGCAATTTACAAAGGATTGACATATATAAATCATTCCCCGGATCGGTGCAGCCCCAAATGGATGTGAGCAGATACTATTGGCGAAATGAGCTAAGGGATGTGAACGGTATATATGCTCTTTGGGTCATAATACCAGTCCTCAATGCACAACGAAGGAAAGTAAACTTACTACCAGCCTATGATGAGAATTTCGATTTACGCACATAGGTTTATTGTGTAATTCATTACTACATCGCTATATTTGACTGACTTCAAATCTTGCGTGTCAAATTGGTGGAGAGACCTCAATATGTGCCCCCAAAAGAGAGGTTTGAAATAGGGTACTCAGTCTTTCGCCGTGCGAATGCTAAATTGTCGATTTGTGCTTTCGAAGAAGTCTCGCGGGGATAGGAGGCGACCATTGACAACCTGACCCATGTGTGTCCTCCCGATCTCCTGACAATTCTTTCGGATCTGTGACATCAGGATCCCAAAGTATTTCAGCGGACTACGACGGAAAGTGCTTTTATGTTCCGAATTGCCTTGCTTGATGAAACCATCTGAGGCAACAATCATTCCCTGTGCGGTCTGAGTCGATGCAATCCCTAGAAAGCCACAGATCTTCTGGTACTCCGAGTAGGAATCAAAATATAGCTGCCCCGAGAAAAGATTGAGATGAATCCGAAGTTCATCGGGCACCGAAATCATCCCAGGCAGCTCCGGAACGTTATACAACGTGAATTTGTCCAGTGGTGGGAAGGTTTGATTTTGGCGCGGTGCATATAGATGCAGAGTGACAGATGTCGAGTTCCGTATGCGAGACATGAGGTAGTTGGCCTCAAAAGGGCTGATGATCACCATATGCATAACCTCACCCCTGCCTTGAGATTTAGGAATTGCACTGGTAAGAATCCATCTAACACTTCTTTGAAAGGCGTCAGGCATGAAAGAAGAAGAACTGGACGTTTTTACGGTTGTGAAAAAGTCTCTGGTGGCTAAAAGTCCCATGGGCAAGTCATCAAAATCCAGATATGATGCTGCAGAGGTATTCTGTAGCGTATGAAACGCCGGTTCGAATCCCTCTGAAGAGCTCTTTAAGTCACCTGTGGTGATGAAAGAGCAGACATGTGGGTGAATGCGATGTGCTTCCGGTATGGCGGGCGAAGGTCTCTGCACCTGTCGCTCGCTTTCGATTTCTGGTACAAGTTCGCGCTCTTGCTCCTCTTGCAGAGTGGAGGAGACATGGTCGAGCTCTTCAAATTCTCCGCATCGTTCTCGAATCAAGCGTAAGTGGTGACTTGCATTTTCGGATTCGGAGGCGCATGTTTTCTGGTAGCTTGGTCTGTACCTCTCTTCAAGAGTCTAAGACTCAACTTCTAAGAACCTTTCTGCATGAGTTGATGACATCTCAACGTACCCGCCCCGATCGCGGATTGGCCATAACTCATGGGGCTATCGATCGGTTGTTTACTCAACCAGTACTCTGCCACACCGCGATTATTAAGCTCCAAAATCTGTGCGCCTACATCTAGGATCACCTGAGCAGGTGGATCCAAAGTGGACACCAAATCTAAAAGAGTGTGTGCATTGGATTGGTGTGACGAATTCGGTAGCGGAATATGCGTCACGGAGTTCTCGTCTTGTAGCAGATATTCAAGAACCAAAGCGTTTGTATGGTTTTGCTGCGATAGGTCGAGTTGATGAACAGTCAAGGGCAGGGTTTTGCGAGAATCGTTTGTCCCACTGAATCCCACTGTGGGATTCATTTTGACCTCTTCAATATCCCAACCTGAGGCAGATAGCTTGTGCGGAAATTCTCTCATTTCTCTAGGAAAAACGATATGTGACAGAAAGTAATCAATGGCCGCTTTTGAGAATCGAAGCGCAGGGAATATTTGACTGACACAGTGCGGCCGGTCGTCCAGATTGACCCCCACTAGGTGATGGTAAGCTGGCTGGAGTTTAGGCGCACCATCAACCCAAGCTTGATACTCTGCATCAGCTTGGTCAGATTTGGCAATATCATCAAAGGAGAGGAACAGGTCACTGTCAGTGAGACCAGAATAGTAGTAGTTCAGGCATGTCAACAAAACCACAACGTCCGGATGGCTGAACTCCGAACGGAGGGAAGGACTGTCCTTGGCTCGGTATGGCACACAAAGCCTTGTCGGTGGATCTCGGTTCAAATCTGGGCCGTAGTTCACTCGCCACCGTTTTCGTCCTAGACAAAACGCTAGAACACCTCCAGCAAGTAGGCCTCGCACCAGAAGAAGGGAACTGCTAGTGCTATCCCCCCAAAAACCTCCTGCGTCACCGCCCTCCACGGCATGAATTTGATCAGCCGTGAGATCTGCTGTCCGAATGTAGATTGAGATTGCATCCCTTACAGACTTCGTCTGTCTAGATATGGCTAGGGAGTTGATACTGTTTTCACATATATGTCTTACCATGTGCTCCAGCAGAGCCTGCTCGCCGTCATCGTCGAGCAAACGAATGCGAGGGAATCCCCCATGTTGGTTTTCGCTTACCTCGATCGAGTGAGGATGTTGATTCTGCACAAGAGGAGCATACCTTTGCGCAAGATCTAGTAATTCCTGTATGATCATCCACCGATGAGGACTATGTTCGATGGGCCGTTGATCCCCCATAGTATAGATAAGTTCGAACTTGACGTTGAAGTTCTCATCGCTCTCGTCTACAATGTCACGACAGAACTTCCGAAAGAGATCTAAGATGCGGAGCAGGGAGCGGCCCACCGTCTCTTTGCCAGCAATGAAACACTCGAGACACATCAGTTTCAAAGAGATTATATGCTCCGGCTGAACCAATAAAACTCCTCCATGACACATACATTCATTGCACATGCGCTCAATCTCCTCCGCCTCTTGCCCGCCCAGCTTCAAAGAGCGTGCGATGGGCATGTGATAGATCCGTCTATCCAGTAGGCCACCGAGTTTCGCGACCAGCATTTGGAGCATTTGCCTTGATTGTGGCTTGGCAACAAGGACGCAAGCAAGATATGATCTGTTCGCAAGATCCGCAGCCACAATCGGGATAATGACTGATAATTTGCCTTCTCCCATATTCAGCTGCATGACAGCATTCCTCCCTGGGGCTGGATTTCTCATGATCTGCGCGATACTCTCTTGCACATCTCGAATCAAAATCCCATTTTCAATCTCCAGCAGCAGGGTCTCGGGGAATTGAAGGGGGTCCCAATTTGTGTGACCAGGATTTCCAAGTTCCTTGGCTAATGCATCGGGCTTGTGGAGCAGATTAACCAGTCGCTCAGCACGCTGCAATGCCGTGATCGATCGCCCGTAAATAACGAAAGCTCGCTTCCAGTCCTTGTTTAAGCATGACCAGCGATTGTGAGACAGTCGGTCCAGGAAGACCATGGGCGAAAACCTCGGAAATTGCCGACTTGCGAAAGCTATGTTGACCACCTGTCCTCTGAAAGTCCCCTTTCGTGCTGAAGAATCCGAGTATCCTTGAGAAGAGCGAAGTTGAGCAATAAGTAAAGAATAAATTCCTCGAGAATATTCCCGACATGTACGAAGGTACTTCTCGATCACTTTCTGTAATTTCATAGCCGCCAAGTCCATATGTGCAACTTTTTTCAACTGTTGTAACGATCCAACACTGCTCCTCAGCTGGCTCACATACCATTTTTCATACGTGGATCTGGCTTCCAAATCCAACGAATCCACTAAATCCAGTAGAGCAAGACTCGATTCTCTTGACTCTAGTGATATGGAAAGGGATTCGTTCAATCGAGGCTCCTCAACGCTAAAAGATGGCGGGCTGTTGAGATAGTCATCAAAGTAGATAAATCTATAGATAGGTGTGATGGGATCGCTTGATTTGGGTAAATAATACGGAGGCATGTCGACTATTTGAGTTTGCTGATCACAAAGCGAATTTGTGAGGTCAACTAGGTACTTTCTCAATTCTTGGTTACCTCTCCAAATATTGAATATCTCGGCAATTCTAGCTGTGGCCTGATGCAAATCGTAATAATCATCAAATCTCGGTGTTTCTATTGAGATTGGATATGACGGCGCTCTTGTAGGCCATTCGCAGAGGAAGTGAAGTAATAGTTGTTCCCGAACCGACATCCGATTTTGCTTCAGAATTCTTTCTCGGCGTGATGTAAAGGCTTCATGGGTCTCATTCCCCTCGGGGAGTATACCTAGCTCTGATAACCCGGCGATCCAGTACATACCCCTCCGTAGGGCGAAAGGCGACTTCGATTGGTGGGGGAAATTGACACCAACTCAGCTTTGACAAACATGGATGCAATGGTCTCAAGCACAATGATCTCAAGCACAATGATATCCAGTTTTCCTGAGAAAGCGATGGTTGAGAGCCACATTATGAGCTGGTATTTGTTATATATGTCGCCTGGGAAGGATGAAAGCTTATGCAAGGTATACCAATTGCTGGCGAGAAATTCATCTGCCCCTTGAAGCCATTTGGAATCATACCGGAGTTTTGATACTTCAATATTAGCACCTGGGCCTTGTATGCCGTGAGGTAGACAGAGGAAATTCCAAAGATGCGAGACGCGCTCATCTGCTCCCAATTTTGAGATATAAGCTCTCTCATCGCAGAGCATCCTGGAAATCGAAAAGCTCCGAGATGAGGAGGTCGATCTGCGGTCGGCGCCGAGACTCGGATAGGCACAATCGTACTTTCGCGAGTAATCCTCCGTACCGAAACCCGAAACCCGGAAGGATGCCGTGCGAATTCGATCACGCGATGACAGACTTGGCTCTAGGTGCGGAATTGCGCAGTTGGTGGGCTCTGCGCTGGGAAACAAAAACTTCGTCCGGCGGTCTTGCTCCAATATCGCTGCTACTTCTTCGCGAAAGCCATGATGATGAGATAAACAACCGAGGTTGCTTTGCCAACGAACGCTCTGCATTACGCATTTATTCGCTGGATAGAATCTCCTTTCAGGTGTCAGAGATGCAATGTATTTCAATAGTTCACTCTCACCCGATCGAAGTTGGTCGAAGGATCGGACGGATGCGGAGCGAAGCATCACCAAAGCTTGCTCCGTGCCTGTCCTGCCTGTAAGGGGATCTGGCAAGAAGGAAGATGTGAGAGCATGTAGGTAGGTGAGGTATAGCTTGCTTTTGAGACTTCCGTTGTCCATAAACCGACCAAGCTGGGTATCTATTAGGTATGCGTGAAGCTTGGTCTTGAGTTGAGAACTGATTGCAACTCGAACATAGTCGTCTTCTTTCGACCATGACACCTTACCCTCAGGGACCGGTAACACCCGATCTCTGGATTGAGATCCAACTAAAAGAAGTTTGTTTTGGAGGCCAATCAACGAATCTAGTGATTGGTCGTTGTCGATCAACATGCCGGGATGTTGCCTGGATTGTAGATCGGAGCATCCAGACGCGAGAGAGAATTCTAACTGAAAATGCAGCAAAGCCACAGATAAGCTCTTTGACGTATGGTGTAGAATGCAATGCAATTTTGACGCTTGTTCAATCGGCTGAAATATACGGGATATAACTGTTGCGGTCCTACTTCGGTTGCTGACTAGGAAAGTCTCATCTCTCGCAAGTTGCCAGGTAGTCGCTGAGTGGCTCTTGTGCAAGCGCCAATTCAAATTCGTTGAAACCTAAGGGGTTTCTATGGATCTAAATTCCACATAGCCATCCTCGACAGAGTACCAATGTGCGTAGTCCTCGACGAAGGAGTCTGGGAATAGACCACTCAAGAGTCTGGGTGGGACAAATTCCCAAATACGATTGTCTCTCACCGCTTTCACCAACTCGCAGTTGCTGGACCCTGGAACCGGTTCTTTTCCTAGGTGCACAGTATGGTTCAGATATTGCCTTTGGCAAGAAAACTGCATTCCCGGCAAGTTACTGGGCATTACCTCCAGCTGAGACTTTCCGAACAGGATATGGTATGTCTCGTTGGACTCAAAATCTGAAGGCAGACGAGCAAGTGGAAGACCGTCCATAAGAAGTTCTCCGCCCAACAGATTATAGTGTACTAACACCTCCGTGTCCGGGGTAGATTGAGCTGCAAATCTGCAGAAGAGCCAATAGCCTGCTTCCTCGGGCAATTTAGACCACTGTGCGCCCGGGTGGTATGCTGCCCAAGCTTCCTGCATCGCCCAGTCCATTCCGGGGTTTTGTTCGTGAGCAATGCAGTCGGCTAGGATAGCGTAACTGCGATAGCTGAGAATCTCCCAGCGATACAGAAGTATATGGGCGATGATCCTGGCTTGATGAGCAGGGAGCCTCGGCCGTTGCAGACGATCGTGCTGCACTGCAAAAAAATTGCAATGTCCATCGAAGAGGCGAATACCCGAGGAAGATTCTCTATGTTGAAGGTTTCTGCACGCACTAACGAAAGGTGGACTGACTTTTCAATCAGGTACGACTTGTGATGAACATCAACTGCCTCACTTGCTTTGTTTTTGACGACTTCCACCCAGTGAAATACCGTCTGGCGAAGGACTTTCAAGCAGTCAAAGTACATTGCCCGAATCTCCTCGGACGGAGAGAGCGCAAAGCCTCTCAAAGCAAGACGAATCAGAACGTTCATTCTATGAATCATCTCCCAATTTTCTTTGATTTTCTCATATATGTCGTTGATTCGTGAGAGCAGTGCAGTTGTGAAGAGACTATCGCTCAGAATAGAGTGCCCTCGTCTCAAATGCGTGTCCAATCTCGGTGGACCAGCCTGGTTGATGATTTGAAGCATGAAGAATGCGGTCTCAACTTTTTTTCATATCCACCGATGGTGCACACAATTCCACAAGAATATTCTGCCACTGAATCTCCACGCCAAGGGGCATCGTTGCCAAGGCCTTATACTCTTCTAGAGACATCTCCAATGGAGCCGATGACTGTGTGGCAATGACAGTATTGGGTGATGGACCATCTGGTTCTTCAGCAGGGCGAAAAAGGAATTGCTGCAATGCCGTGCTGGATTGCGGAAGCTGGTAAGTGCATGCGATTGCAGCTCGATGCGTCGATTTTAACGTGCCTACGAAACATCCCGCGCTGTTATCAAATTATTGGAAATGGAGACGATTGTTCACACATATGTCCCTCTCCGTCACACTGACAATGTGCCGAGACTTACGATGAGTTCTCTGATGTGACTTTGATTGCGAAAGAAGACCGATTCGTGTGCACGAGCCATGCGTATCGAAGAATGAGGAGAGACGCGAATAGCTGTTTAAGCGATGTTCTGCCCTGGGCTTTTCGTTTATCACATAATCCACACCCAAACAGTTACGGAGGAAGAAGAGTGTAGTCTCTCTCCAGCTTCGAAACGGCTGGGGCACACGCAACTTAAACACCGTCGACTTAGTTTGCAAGGGGTCTATCGGCAGGGGCCATTCATAGATGCTAATGTTAATAGACTCAGCCTCCTTTTTTCCGCGTGTCGAGAGCAATTCTGGCTATTATGGGACTCCTTGAAACCAAAGCGTCTGTCGATGATGACATCAACATACTGACAGTCCGTCTCGTCGAACAATTGCACTAGTCGTCCATACTGCTGTTGCTTATTGTGGAGCTCGGTCTTTTTTGCTCCCTCGCGTGATTTGCACTTTCTTCAATGGTTGCAAGAAGTTGCTGGTGTTCGTGGGATTGATTGAAGTACCGAATTGAGAAGCATGACGGTGTGCCGAAGTCACGAAAAATGCCCGCGCCGCGAATTCGAACGTAGTAATTTCTGATAACCGTTAGAAATAGTAGTGGTGTATTGGAATTAGAGCGGGCTGTAGGAGCTTTTACCCCCTTGAGGTGAAAAAGAAATACAACAAGATACAGGTAAGAAATGCACAATTTATGTAGATACGACTCTTCCTATGTTTGCACTGTTTAGTAACCCGCATGGGTAACCCGCATGGGTAACCCAAGCAAACCCGAAACCCATTGCGGGTTATGAAAGTCGACCCGAAACCCGACCCATTTGCGGGTTGGGTTTTTTCGGGTTTGTGGGTTTGCGGGTTTTGGCGCAGTCTACTGACGATAATAACGATACTGAGGATTCTGGGGGTGCTGGAGGCGTTTAATGCAGAGATAACAGTTATATAGGAGTATAAAGCAATGAATCAGCTGAAATGAGCATTCAATTCTGATAAGAAGGGTGCATTTTTCACTATGTAAACCAGAATTCAAACCTGCAAAAAAAGATCCGGCAGAATATATTGATGCCTGAGTAATCAGGCAGAATAAGGCATAATTCAGGCAGGGAGGTGTCCCATTATCCAAAGGGGTGTCCCATTAGCCGGGGGGGTGTCTCTATAACAATCCCCTAAAATTAAATATACCAGAATGATCTATTCTCAGACTCCTTCTAGCTTTATATATCCTAATCTAGTAATTGTCGAACCGTTTAAAACCGGCAGAATTTCCAATCGTCATACCCTTTATACTATAGTTACCTGGGTTAAATATAAAATATATATATAGCCTCAGTCTGTTGAAAAACTAAGTTAATTCGTCATAATTAATATGCAATTGGTTCCAGTTCAACGCTAAACCCTAATTGATTCCACGCATACAAAGATCCCTCGGTCGCTTAGTCTTGCAGAGCTCCTACGGAATCGAGATTAGCGGCAACGATGCAGTTTGACGCCCCTATCACCCACTCTACCATACAAAACTCGAGTATCTCGATGTTCAGGCCTATATTCTAATCCAGGCTGCTTTTAGTCAACGGGATCTCGAAGAATCCAGTTCTCAGTACTGACACATCTCATTGAGCTGATTCTTCATCAGATTTCTCAGCCCAAAGAGTATACTAGCCAGAAAGGAAGATAGGACTCACAGGGGAGAGGTGAAGCCATAAACATGGCTTCATCCCCAGGCAATTAAGAAGATTAGACAGTTTTCAATTCATTTTTCATACTACAAAGTATCCCTTTGTAAAAGATTTAAATCCCAGTCATTACATGCTGTTCAGTGTACTATTCGATAGTATATTATTCCACACATTCTACTTTTTCTAGACTAACCGTATCTAGTGAATATGGGTAGTTATCCGTATCGCCCACTTGGCCTATGTAGGCAACCCCAGGATAACTAGAGTAATTATATAAATTTTCTCACTTATCATCATAATAATATAGCAACATTCCATAAATAAACTAGTTATAAAAAATAGTGATTTATTTAAATAACTTAGTATCGTTATAAACGCTAAGGCCTATCTTTTATATAATAATAGGTTCAGATAGCCCTGGAGGTTATTATTAGGTTATTAGGTTTAACCTATCGGGTTTGGGGTCGCAACCTCCGTCCCAAAGTGGGTCCTGCCGAAGTCTAGGTCTAGGTTAGTCCTAGGTTTGTGAGGTTTCGACCTATGCTTAGACTAGGTTGGATTCTAGGTCGTACGGAAGTCTAGCAACTAGTAAATTGAGGGTATACAAATCGTAGTTATCAGAATAATTTAGACACCTCAGCTCCGCTAATACTCTCTCACACATCTTCTAATTTTCCTTCTAGACCTGGCTTTGAACCTCCGCATGGGTCCCTACCCCGGAACCTCGAACCTCACCTCTTGAGGTGAGGTTCCAACCTTACTAACCTCCAACCGCCCATTAACCTCCAGAGGTTCTTTGAGGTTCAACCTCCATCGACCCGCATGAACCTGCATATACATAATTTCTTGACGCCTTTCCTCTTTTGGCTGGATAAAATTGATGATTCATCTCTGTTTTTTACAGCTGTTCCGTTAAACTATAGACTTTCCACTGAATACTCTATCAATATAATGAATTATAAAGATATAGTCATTGAAAAGTAAATAGGAGGCGTGGTCACCTATAAATTATAGGTAATATCCGATGATATCGACGTGGTGGGTGGTTAATAGAGGTCATCGATAAAATAGCATGTAAAGTTGTAGATATATATATCGCAGATACTGTAAAGTATGTGTATCTTTATTAGTAGAACTACAGTTCTTTAAGAAAACTATAAAGATGCAGTTTAATTCCCCTCATTTTAATATCATTCAAACCATTATATCTTCTTCTATTACTTTGTCTTTTAGAATTCATATTAATTGGTCTAGATATACCGTGAATCCGGATTAAATGTCCCAATTGTTAGACTTAGACATTCTATTTTTCCTACATTGAGGTTCTCGTTGAGGTTCGTTGAGGTTCATTGAGGTTCGTTGAGGTTCGTTGAGGTTTATTGAGGTTCGTTGAGGTTTATTGAGGTTCGTTGAGGTTTATTGAGGTTCGTTGAGGTTTATTGAGGTTCGTTTCTATAGTGATCCACTATACTAGCGAATCAGATATAGATAGGGCTTTATAAAAGTTGATATATCAATTTAAGCATTATGGAATAGGGATAAACAGATGCCCTAAGAAGACCCCGTAACTTCTACAGAATAACTAGTGAGTTCCTTATTATCTTCCCTAAGTTGTACTGGTTTACTAAAGTTATCATGTCTCAGATTACCGACGGCTACGGCTACGCATCATCTAGCTTCGAAGGGTTACCGCTAGACGCGCTACAGTACCTTACCCCTGACGATACGCTATACCAACGCGAAAGCCAGTTTGATTCAGTTCTAGACCTTCCAGACCTTCTAGACAACCAAGTCCGATCTCGTGCAGGACCTCGGGCCCTAGACACCCTTACGCGAATCAAGCCAGATAGTATTAACGAGTATATCGTCTTTACTACCGACATATCCGCGGAATTCGTTAAGTGGTGGCTTTAAACTGATTTTGGTAAGAAGAAGCGGCTAAACTGGGAGGTCAGCCGTCGCGCAGACTGCTGGACTGGGTTTCAACAAGTTGTATATACTAAAGATGGAAAGCCTGGCGTTATGTGCAATCGGTGCCGTACAGTTCTTACGCATCCAGCTACAAATCATACTGGAAACTTATCGATGCAGAAGCATCTTGATGGGCCAAGGTGTCGACAGCGAATTACGAAGAAGGGTAATATCCAGCAACTACTTAGCGACGCGGTATGTTCGAAATAGCCTATACTCAATATCAATACTAATAATAAATTCACTATATTTTAGGCCGAGAGAAGACCAGCGCCTCTCTTTACCCAACAAACATAGGAACAGAAGATTCTAAACCTAATCACTATATCACATTTACCCTTTCTCTTCGTCGAGCACTAAGAATTCCATGATCTCATTTCCTACGTACGGCTAGCACCTACACTACCGAGCGTTCTATCAAGAAAGGTGATTCGCGACCGCCTCCGGGGTTTCGTTACAGAGTATCAACAAGAGACACTATAACAGCTGCTATCTGGTGCAAAAATGTCGATTGCGCTTGACTGCTGGACTTCACTATTCAAGCACGTATTTATGGCTATTATAGGATACTTTCTAGACTAGGAATGGGAGTATCGTGAGGTCCTACTTGGGTTTGAGCCAATTTCTGGATCTTATACTGGCGTGAACCTCGGGGACGTAGTTATCCAGATCCTACAAAAGCACTAAATCGCTGACCGAGTGCTGGCGGTGATAACTGATAATGCGTCTAACAATAAGACACTTATCGCAGCAGTGAATGATTCAATCAAGAAGCTACATATGGAGACGGATTCTACGATTGTCTAAGTGCCTTGCCTTGCGCATGTTATTCAATTAAGTCTAGTTGATTTACTTGGTAAAATCAAGGCTTCGCCAAAGAATGATAACGCCGAGATAGAATGGTCTGATGATTGTGTACGTTTACTTCGTGCGCGCCAGCAGAAATATGAGATCGCCGATACTCTGAACAAGGTATGCTTCTATTTAGAAATCATGAATTATGATTCAATAACACTAACTATTCTGATTCCTAATAGGTCCGAGGTCTTGCGGTTTATATCAACAGAAGCCCTCAACGTAAGGAAGCCTTCCTAAATACCCAGCCTAGTAATACGCTCCGGCTTCTTCTAATCTAAGATATTCGTATACGGTGGAATTCGACATTTCTAATACTCCGACGGGCGAAGAGGCTTTATATCGCATTCAACAAGTTCTGTTCCGACTATGATTAACACCATTTTACATTAAGTGCAGAGGGGTGGCGACAGATTGACTATTTACTTTACATTCTTCAGCCCCTTTTTTACGCTCACTACGCTAGTTTGTCGTACTAAAGACTCGAGTATCCACCTTGTCTTTAGGATTTACAATAAGCTCTTCGATTATCTTAAAAGATCAATAGGTCAGCTTCGTCGAAAGAAGGTTCCCTAGAAACAGCTAATGCTTTCCTCCCTCGATGCTGCGAAAGAGAAACTGAAGAAATACTACGGCGAGATAGATAGTATCGAAGGCAATCTCTATGCAATTGGGACGATCTTAGCGCCGTCGAGTAAGATAGAGTTCTTTTTAACAAGTGATTGGGACCTAGATCCTAAGATAGGAAAGGACTATAGAAAAGAATACCGCGAGAGTCTTCAGTCTTTTTTTGAGAGATACAGCCAACGTATACCATCAGAGATGATACAATCTGATAGCCAGTTATTCACAACTGAATCGGAGCTTGAGAAGGCTCTTGACGGCGATTCTTTATAACGATTAACTGCTCCGCAGTACGACGAGCTCACCAAATATCTCCAGAGTGGTAAGTAAGTAAGCCTACTTTATAAATCATATAACTAACCTTACCTAATTAGAAACTATTAAAGGATCTATTCGGATCTTCTGGAAAGATCATCAGAGGGAATTCCCTATTCTTGCAAGTATTGCCCGTGATATTATGTCAATTCCAGCGACTGGTGCCGGAGTTGAGCGTCTTTTTAACTCTGCCCGCGATATATACCACTACCGCCGGGGGTCGTTAAACCTAGAGACTGTTCGCGATATTATGTTATACATATATACAACAAGATTCGATATCAAGGAGGAGCAGCGGCTGATTCTCCAAGAGTATCTTTTAGACCATAAGATAGCCGCTTCGACCGAAGCACTTGATGTCTAGACACATGCTTTCAAGGCTATTAGTGATAATGAGGAGGATGTCGAGATATATCTTAATGCAACCCCGGACGCACCGCTACTCTTAGTAGTCGCCGCTGGAAAGCGGCCTGCGGTTAATTCTGACGATAAGGAAGAATCTGATGCCGATGAATTTGCGGATCTAGATAAGAATAGGGCATCACCCTTACCTGACTTCCCTGATACGCAGCATCGTGCATCCGGTAGAATAAGGAAGAAGTCGAGACTACTAGATGGGTATATAGCTTGATTACTTGAATCTTGACTCTTGAGAACTATAACCCGACACTGAACTATAGATATAATATAAACCATTGATGATTGAAAGTTGAAACCCTAATTCGACGCTGAGCCAGTGAACCCATAATATGCACTCAATCCTCCTGTAAGGGCATACATTAATGAAGTGTTGTTTTATAATTACGAGAGAATACAGCCTATTTCTACATAATTTATGTAGTTGACCCTAAGTCACGTTTTTTACCTATTTGTCATGCTTGTTGAACCTCAGGTTCACCCGCGGGTAACCTCCATGAGGTTCGGTCCAAGATAGAACCGCCCGGAGGTTCTAGGTCATGGAACCTTAACCTCCGGGTGGGTGAACCTCCTTGAGGTTCGTGAGGTTCACCCGTGGTTCCTGGCCAGGTCTATTTCCTTCAATGTCAGCCTGCACATCAAAGGAGGCTTTTCCCACGCGGTATACGCCGTCTGGTTATACCAGGCCGAAGACTCCTCACAGAGCTCGATGTCAAAGTTCCATAAGAGGCGGGTCAGAATTAAGCGCATCTCAATGTAGGCCACATTTCGGCCAATACAGTTGCGTGGGCCCACAGAAAATGGCTGCACAACATCCCGTTTATCAAGGAAGAATGGCGAAGTTGGATCAATTCTTGCTTCCGGCAGCCATCGCTCTGGAAGGAAGCGCTCCGGCGCGTGAAAATTCACCGGTGACCACGAGGCACCTAGTGGGTGAACTGATACTTTTGTCTAGATTTAATATAGGCAATCAGTTCCGTGTAACAAGAGTAAAGCAGAATAACTATAGGCTGCAGAGGGAGGGAACCTACGCCTGGTGGAATTTCATGTCCCGCGATAAACATTGACTCGAGGGTTATGCGTTGCAGTCCTGTTGGGACGGGTGGGTAGAGTCGGAACGCTTCCTGGATACAAGCCCACATGTAGGGACAGTGGTTGGCGCTGGCGGAGGTAGGAGTGATGTCCGATTCGGTTTGCACAACGGAACGCACCTCGGTAACCACTTTCCTAAGCGTCTCTGGGTTCCGGAGAAGGAAGTAGGTGACACCTGCGAGGAGGGTAGCAGTTGTCTCACTGCCGGCGACAATAAGAATGTTCGCATTAGCGACAAGCTCATCGTCGGTAAGACCATCCTTGTCACTGCGGTTCCGTGTCATTGAATCCATAAAATCGCCGCGGTTGTAGGCCGAGGTGTTCGCTAAGCGTTTTATCACTGCAGCACGAGTATGAGCGTTCTGCTGTCTCTGGGCTTCCAGAAGCCGTTGCGGTATCATGAGCGAGATAAAGCTGAAGAGGATTGGGTAATCGTCGCGCATCTTAACAAAGGGAAAGAGCTTGATCGACTCGAAGATGGTTTTCACTGTGTCGTGATATTCGGAGCTTACCAAACCCCCGAACGGCTCCCCGAAGGCGAGATCGCCGACGATGTCGAAGGTCGTCAACTCGTACCATTTGCTCATGTCTGTGGATGTCTGAGAATGCGCCACATCTTTCAGTCGGGCGAGCAGTTGGTCCACATAATTGTTGATGTACGGTTCCTGGGTCTGCAATCCTTTGGCAGAGAATGCATGCGAAAGCGACTTGCGGTAACGGCTGTGGTCAACATCATTGGAGCTGACGATATCCAGCGGGTTGCTGGCCGAGTTTTTGACTTTTGGCAACTGGCCATACTTGTTGTTGTGACCGTAGATATCCTTCCACGCTTCGGGGTCAATGAACGAGACTTCGTCCCGCCCGAAGCGCACGATAGGGCCGTACTTGAGATGAAACCGGGGGATGTCTAGGTCGACCAGGCCCCGAATGGCGGATAAGTGCCGGAGAACGGGGAAGACAATCCACCATTTTGGGCCGGGGATCCGTCGTAGTGGATGAAAGTATACCGCATGTATGATGCTGTACAGATAGTAGATAAAGCAGAGGGCAAGCGCCGCTTGCACCGTCAGACTAACCAGCATCTCAACTAGCCAGACCTCGGTCGTGATTTGCGAATTGAGATGACTTTAAGGAGATTTTCAGACTTGTTCTTCAAGTTTCGATGGTCGTATGTCCTCTCTTCTATGAGTTTCTCGAATAATGTTGCTGCTCTGTACGTACTATACAAGTGTACACGTCACATTGATCGTTGTACTTGCCTGTGCCCTTGCCGAGGATTCCTAACCTCTCACATTCCAGATAACAGTCCACCCCTTCTTAGCTTGTGTCCTTCTGTCCCTGATTTGGAATTGAACATCACTGTGGGTAAGACATTATTGAGAGAGGGAGAGAGTTGGGCCGGAATGATGTGATCATAGGATAGTGTAAGGAGAAGAGATCGGCATGCATTCTGTCTCAAGGCACCCAGGAAAACTACGACGATCTTATCAAATACAGCCGATGACTAGGGATTATACTCATTCGTTTCACACATACTATACTGTAACTATGACTGACACTCAGAGTAATCACACTGTGGATGGAATTACACGTGAGACTTTATAGGGCTAGATATTTGAAACTAAGGGGTATGCTTGTCATTTCTTCATCTGTCAAATGGACGCTCCGTTCAGTATACCATTCCCAGGATAGGTGAGCAAAGCGCTGTGTTCCTTGATCGCTAAAGGAGATCAGCAAATTGTGCTAGGTAATCTCACTTGCATTGCTGGCGGGGAGGTACGCTACGCTTTCATGAAGCAGGGTCGCTGTATTCACTTTTTATTTGAAAGTCGGTGGAAATAACAACGAGGAAGCACCCGCTAGGTCCCTCCACCACTACAAAGCACTCAGGCCATCCGTGGTAAGGTGGATACCCTTTCTGGGCAGATATGCTCATCAAATAAGCCGCGTTCTAGGCGAGGGCGACGCCCTTCTCATGCGGATGCGGGAACGGGGTGAGTGACTAAATGTCCTCGAGACGGATACAGATCCTGTTATCGTAAGATTGGTGTTCAAAGGCGGATCTTGGGGTCGCGCGTTATCGTTGGGCAACGAGGTAAAGAGGGTTGGATCGGTCTCGAACACTTTCGCAGATACATACACAAGGTCGGATGGCATCGAACAAGCCATTCGAGCCAAGATCGACGTTGAACTTACCTCTTCGGTCATCGCTTGAGGCAGTCTGCATGGCTGTTTAACAGGCCGAATAAAAAGGAATAAAAAAGAAAGCACGGCTCTATCGTGCCTCGGAACTCTCACCGTGCGCACCAGTCTCCCGTCATCTCAGGCTGCAAACATGCCTCCACCGATCATGTAGTCAAGCCCCGGGTTCTCAGCCGCCAAGTCAGGTGTGTGGAATGTTAGCTATTAAACGCTACTGTAGATCGGTTCCACTGTAGACCCGTCGAGGCGCGGAACGGGTCGCTACCCGCGCCGTCCAGGACGCCCGGCCTGTCTTGACGGTCACGTCGAATGTTTTTAGTAAGGTGGGTGGTGGGGGTGCTGTTGGTCTTCACCTCTAAAATCCCAAGCTTGATGGTGCCTATCGCGTCATCGTTCCACAGTTAGTAAATTCGAGCACCTTACTACTCTATGAGCTTTGATCTTCGGAAACGGACCAGCAAAGTAGCTACGACAAGTCGTTAGGCGAGACTGTCTGATGCCACATTTCCGTGTTTATATACAGTATTGGCCTGCTCGGCTCACAGTGTCAGGATCTTCTGCAACCGAGAGTATCGCCTGCAGCCTTTGATTGCACGCAGACCTAGTTCAATCAGCCTTGTATACGCTTACCCTGATGCAAGAGGCCAATCCTAGCATACCTTCGTTATATTGTGGCAGCTGGCTACACCGCAGAGTGGCTTTGAGGAGCGCGCAGGACAGGCGCTTTACGACCAACATGCAGGTTGGGTGACGTGTACTATTTCCGAAAATCCTTGTTTATGCAGAAGCCTTCAGCCCATGGAATGAAGCCACCGAACCCCCTTGCATATCCCACTATGATTCCGGGAAACTGCCAGTTGAATGGCTTTCATACACTCCTAGATGTGGCCCCCGCTTGTTCAAGAGGCTAGCGATTCTCTCTGTGGTTTTTTTTTTTATCTATCACCTCCAGCGCAACACACCATAACTACCACCACACTCATCGCAATCACCAAAACTATGACTAGACAAGAGATCCCCCGTGTTTCTGCCATCAGTGAATCTGGCAAGATATGGCCTACCGTCCAAGAGCATGGCGCCGCCATAATCAAAGACTTCCTTCCCTCGGATGTGGTGCATCGATTCAATCAGGAGATGGACCCTCATGTGAAGATTGAAACGGTACCGGCTGCACGAACTAAGGATCGTCCTAATCATGTTTTGTCCACCACGACTCGAATCATGAATGTCCTCGCCGAGTTGTCCAAGACTTACCGCGAGGACATCTTGAACAACAAAGTTCTGAATGACATCTCCGAGGAGGCCTTCAAGGTGTATGGAGACTACTGGGTGCTGATGGGCGCGGTGATGGAACTCGCCCCGACGAATCCCGCTCAACCGCTCCACCGCGACATGCGTTACAGCCACCCCATCGTCGATTATCTCAAGCACGATGCGCCCCCCACTTCGATAAATCTGCTCATTGCCCTGACCCCGTTTACCGCGGACAATGGCGCCACCCATGTCATTCTGGGAAGCCATAAGTGGACTGATCTCAGTCAGGCTACCATGGGTCAGACCGTTCGCGCTATCATGAACCCGGGTGACGCCCTGTTGATTACGGACAGTACTGTTCATTGTGGAGGTGCCGATATTACTGGCACTGAGACTCGGCGTGTCCTATCCTTGACCACGGGTATCAGCCAGCTTACTCCGTTGGAGAGTAACTTCACCGTTCCTCGTCCAATCATCGAGAGCATGACCCCTTTGGCTCAACGACTTGTGGGGTGGAACAGTCAAAGATCGTCTGTGCCTAAAGATATCGGGTTGCTAACTATCAGAGGAAAGTCGATTCAGAAAGTGATGGGCTTGAAATCCGAGCAACCCCTCGAAGAAAATATCACCATCTGAAGGTCTAGCTGGGTCTCAATCTCAGAGAAGATTGGATAGCATTTTAGTGCTGGATGGTGATCGTTCGGTCTACAACTCAAATGATAGTTGATAGGGCGCCCATTCACCACGGCTATTACATAGATTAGACCCATAGAAAACAATAGTGAGGAATACAGCTCGAGTAATCCGTACCAATCCTACCCACACCGTACGGCAGTTGATCCGCCCGTAGGGCCAAAGCATCCAATCGAAAATATAAACCCACTTTATCACCGGTACACCCTGTTACCAACACCCCGGGAAACTGATTTCTTATCCCAATCAGATACCGGTACTTACGAGGTTCATGGGTGAAGGTTTATTCTGTTTTGGGTCTGAAGAGACATTGCGATAAAACCTCGTATTATTAAACTCATAGTACTGGTTTATTATTAATTACGTCTTACTATTCTTGATTTCATACAAAAAATGTGGAGTGGCCAGCGTTGTAGAAAACGAATTTTCTGATGTGGTACAAGATTGTTGAGATATATATTCATTACCACCTTATCCAGGAACATCCTACTTAGGTATGTAGGTAGTTGGTATGTATGCTTGTGTTCTATATTCTATATATTCTATATATTTCTACATGTTATATATCCATGGATGTTCTATTCCGTAGTGTATTTGAATTGACATGGATCATAAATATGAGATAGAATACTAGATTAGGACTAGATTACCACGAAAGTCAAAAGTGGCGAGCTGAAATATCTGCACTCGATCTCCGTATAAGCATGCAAATTAGCCTGGAAGTTGGTTGGGCTGGGGTTGGGTCTAGGTTTTGGTGGGTCCCGACCTCGGGAAGTGGCACTCCCGTTATTCCCGAGGTCTCTGTTGCAACTTCGAAACCAACTCCAGAATGTTCACCGTAAGGTTCACATACCCCCTGGGAGCTACTTTGATCTGCCTTGGCATTTCATCCAAGTTTTGAGTCTCGTGGTACGACATTGTGGATCCGTGCAGCTGCAATCTGTGCTTCTCTGGACTGTACTTCCCAAGGACGGCAGTGCAACTGTCATACCCCTTCCATCACTACTTTGAACAATGGCGGGAACAAAAGCACACATAGGTCGACAGCTGATGTTTACCGGTAGATCTATTTCTCAGAGTGGACGAATGTCACTCCCTGGCAGATGAATTTTGGTGTGATAGTTACACAGGAACCCAGGCCCCCTTGCTGTAAGGCCTACCATACCTATATCAGCAAGAATGAGGCTTGAAAAAGGCGATCTGACATTTCACCGCTGATTCAAACACATTGGTTTCACTTTCAGCACACCATCAAGGTGCGGAATGATGTGGTTCTTTTGCCTATTCGGTTCGAACCCGTCATATCGGAAAACACCGATGCCTTGTCCGGCCATGATCTCCTATATATTTGGATATCGACGATTTGGTCCACCGGAACAGCCTTTCTAATACTCCGCTTTCAAAACATTTCCGTGAAGAAGAACAAGATTCCGGTCCCTATATTTTTGGCTCCCCTCATTCGGCGAACACTTGAGACTGCCCTTAATTGCACAATGAAGCCCTCAGCCAATAATTATGACGTGTTACCTGAGCTTTGTGGTGCTTGCACAAAAGATGAAAGGGTATCTTCCAACATCACACATGTCATCAAACAAGGCCCGACGCACCCCAAGAGCCTTATTGGCGAAATCGAAATTTCTAGCCCGTCACCCCAAAGCGCGGTCTCTGAATGCAACAAAAATAAACAACAACAGGCGTCTTTGCTTGAGGTAATCCGTGGACATGCAGAAACCCGCCCCCATCACGTTGCCGTTTGCGCCACGGACGGAACACTATCGTACGCGCAACTAGAAAAAATCACGACGCGGTGGGCCATCTATCTTCAGATCCAGGGGGTCGGACCTGGATGCCTGGTTCCACTGATGATGGACCATTCTAAGTGGGCGGCCGTTGCGGAAATCGCCATCCTGAAGGCCGGGGGGGCCTTTGTGCCATTGGATCCGGCGCAGCCAGTAGCCAGACTGGAGGATATTGTCCAACAAAGTAATGCCAAACTCGCTGTTTCCTCTCGCAGCCATTTTGATAGGTTATCGAACCTTGTGGCAACCGTTATTCCGATATCAGATGAGACGACAACAGGTCTACCTATACCCTCCCTAGGTACTCTGAAACCCCCCACCCTTGATCGTACTGCTTATGTTCTCTTCACGTCTGGAAGTACGGGGCGTCCCAAGGGATGTGTCGTCAGCTACAAGGCTCTGAGCGACGTCATACATCAAACTCCAGCACTGAAAATTGGCCCTCTCAGTCGGGTGCTGCAATTCGCTTCATACACCTACGGAATGTCTCTGATTGAGATATATTGTACATTGTCGGTTGGAGCGACGATATGTGTACCATCAGACGATGAAAGACTGAATGCGTTGAGCAGTGTTATACAATCCATGCAGACGACATGGGCCATCCTCACCCCTTCAACAACCTTGTCCATTACAGAGTCGGTGGGCCACCTACAGACATTAGTCGTTGCAGGTGAGGCCTTGACGCTCGACCGGGTTCACGCTTTGGCGGCGAAGGTTGAGCTCATCCAGGCGTTCGGACTAACCGAATGGGGTGGAATTTGCTGCGTGTCACAACGAATTACCTTGGACTCCGATAGACGAGTCATTGGCCGTGCGCCGACTGCGCGTTTATGGCTTGTCGATCCCAATGACAGTAATAAACTGGCCCCGGTCGGCGGAGTAGCTGAGCTCCTGGTTCAAGGTCCAGCCCTCGCAGAGGGGTATTTAGGACAACCCGAGCAAACAGCCGCAGTCTTCCTAAAGGATCTGCCCTGGTTGCCACCATTAGCCACTGATAGCATTTTATACCGATCCGGCGACTTGGTTCAATACACATCCAATGGAGACCTGCGATATATTTCGCGAAAGGACAGTCAAGTCAAGATCAGGGGTATGCGTGTTGAACTAGCTGAGGTAGAATATCAGATCCGCCAAGCATATACCCAGTTGGACCAAGCAATTGTCGAAGCCGCACCCCCGAAGGATTCCAATGGGATACCTGTCCTCGTCGCGTTTTTGTATTCGGAGAACCAAAACGAGTTATCGGGACAGACCTTCTTGAACATGATTGAGAAGATCAAGAATTTCCTAGCTTTGACGCTTTCGGATTATATGTGCCCCAGCGTTTATGTACCGTTAGACTCAGTCCCCGTGACAATCTCCAGAAAGGTTGACAGAAAAGCTCTTAAGGAGACTATTCTAACTTCCACACGCAAAGAGCTGGAGAGGCAGCAGTCTGCCCCCACGTCGATAGTCCGACCACAGACTGACGCTGAACGACTTACACTGGAGCTAGTCGCCGAGGTGCTCCGTTTAGAGCCACTCTCCTTTGGTCTGGGCCACAACTTTGTGAGCCTTGGTGGTGATTCCGTCACGGCTATGCTGTTGGTTAATAGATTGGCGAAGCGCAACTACACGGTCACTGTTGGGGCACTCCTTAGCCCACAAAGCCTGTCTGATGTCGCATCTCTCCTCCAACAACGGACCAGAGCCCCTAGAGATGAAGGGTGGCAGAACAATCTCGCAGTCGAGGCGAAGTTGAAAAGCCACGCTGAACTAAACGGCAGTGTCACTATCCCCAGGCTTGTTCACCACGGTCCTATTGAACAATCGTTTTCGCAGGCGCGAATGTGGTTCCTGCAAGAGATGCATGCAGACTCGACATGGCTACTCCTCCCCCACGCCACGCGCTTTCGGGGTCCATTCCAGCTCAAAGCCCTAAATGCTGCCCTTTCCGCGGTGGTTGAACGCCAGGAAGCCCTCCGAACCACCTTCACGAGCCGCAATGGGGTTGGGTTGCAAGTTATCTCCCCATTTCAGCATCTGTCCTTGAAGGTTGTAGATTTGAACTCTGCATCGGATGACGAATTCCTGGGCCGCATCCACCAGCAGCAAAATACTCCGATGGACTTGACCAAAGAGTGCTGGCGTGTCACCCTCTTCCGACTGTCCCCCACGGACCATGTCCTTTCAATTGTCCTACACCACATCATCGCGGATGGCTGGTCCTTCGACATCTTTGTGAAATCCTTAGGAAGATATTATAATGCGTTCCTGCGAGGACAGTCTCCGCTCGACGTCGACGCGCCTCTTTCAATTCAGTATCGAGACTTCACCGTCTGGCAGCGACATGAGAAAGCTAGCCTCCATGATGAGCAGCTCGCTTACTGGGAACGCCAGCTAGACGGCAGCCAGCCGCTAGAGTTTCTGTGTGATAAACCCCGACCTACGATGCTCTCTGGTAAGGCTGGGTGGCTGCCGGTGGAGGTTGACGGGTCTCTGTATCGGGACCTGCAGCGCTTTTGTCGCTCTTACCTGGTCACCCCCTTTTCGGTCCTGTTGGCTGCCTTCCGGGCGACTCATTTTCGGCTCACTGGTGCCTCTGACGCAACAATCGGCATCCCTGCTGCCGCTCGCACGTGTACAGAGCTGGAGGACCTGATCGGTTATTTTGGCAACGTTCAGTGCATCAGGACTAAGGTCGAAAGTCAAGATCAGTCCTTCCACCAACTTGTGGATCAGGTCCAATCGGTCACCACCGCTGCTTTTGAAAACCAAGATGTACCTTTTGATAAAATTGTTTCACGACTTATGAAGGACCGTGATGTTTCTCGCCATCCATTGGCTCAGGTTACGTTTATTCTCCATCCGCAGACCAACTTTGGTCAGCTACGACTGGACGGCCTCCAAGTGGAACAACTGCATCTCCCACAAGTCTCAAGACTCGATCTCGAATTCCATCTGTATCCAGCAGATGACTGCCTTCGAGGAGATATCCACTATTCCGTGGACCTGTTCTATGAAAAAACGATGCAAGGAATGCTCTCAGTGTTTTATGACGTGCTCAGGGAAGGCCTCCGTGAGCCAGATATGGATGTTGGCTCCCTCCACCTGACCGACGGTTATAGCACGTTAAATGAGCAAGGTTTGATATATCCAGACCCTAAGCCTCCTTCTCCAGCGTTGAGTATTATCCACATGTTCCTTGAGCAAGTGGCTGCTCATCCACATGTAATTGCGGTCCGAGATATCAAGACTCAGCTCACCTATTCTGAGCTCGATCAGAAATCCTCCTTCCTGGCCGCCTGGTTGACAAAGCGATACTCATTGCCATTAGAAACTCCGGTCGGGGTCTATGCCCCTAGGTCATGTGAGGGCATTATCGCTAATTTCGGTATTATGAAGGCAGGACTGACGTATGTCCCTCTGGATGTCGATGCTCCGATGGACCGCGTTGGGACTATTTTGTCTTGCCTCCCCGCGTGTCACATTGTCTTATTGGGATCTCATCAGGTACCCCCTAATGTCTCTGCGCCGGGTGTGAAATTTCCGTATATCGCGGACTCATTGGGCGAAGCGACAGCGCAGGATGTGCGGACATTTTTGAGCACCACACCCATCACCCGTCCGAACAGCCTGGCATGTATACTATTCACATCTGGTACGACTGGAAAGCCGAAGGGAGTTATGATGGAACAGTATGGCATCGTTCGGCTGGCCAAAGACCCCGAGATCGTGGCCCACGTCGCCGCCTCTAGGGTGTCGTCGTACATGCTCAACCCCGTGTTTGATGCCTCTGGGTTCGATATATACCCTGCCCTGTTGAATGGCGGCACACTGGTGTGCATTGAACGACAGGCCGTCTGGGACTACACTGCGCTGGAAGAAGTCTTTGTCAAGAACAGGGTACGGCGGGCCGTGATGACTCCTGCCATGCTGAGCCAGTGCCTCGTCTCCGCCCCGGGTGTACTGCGTGGGCTGGATATCCTGTACGTCGGGGGCGATAAGCTGTCACCAGCCGACGTTAGGAAGGCGCGGTGCTCTAGGGGCAACCCACGGATCTTCAATTGCTATGGACCCACCGAGAACTCGGTCATTAGCACGCGGTACGCCGTCTCCGATGACGAGCCCGGCGTCAATGGCATCCCAATAGGACGCACAATAGTTGAATCGGGCGCGTACGTGATGGACCGCAACCTGCGGCTGGCACCCATTGGTGTCCTGGGCGAGCTGGTCGTCACCGGATTGGGCCTGGCCCGCGGGTATGTCAACCCTGAGCACGACCTGAACCGCTTCGTGTCGATCGATATCGGCGGCCGCACCGTTCGTGCCTATCGCACTGGGGACATGGTTCGTTACCGGCCTAGTGACGGACAGATGGAGTTCTTCGGTCGCATGGACCAGCAACTGAAGATCCGCGGTCACCGCATCGAGCCTGCGGAGATTGACAATATCTTACTTAGCAACGACTTCATCACCACCGCTGTGACAGTGGTGCAGAAACGAGCCACGCAGACGGAGTCAGAGCTGGTCAGCTTTGTTACTGTGCAGGACTCCGCCCAACATCTAGATCGCTTGGAGGACAGTGTTCAGAATGGCCATGTCGACGCCTGGAGGGATAAAGCGGATGCGGATGATCACTACGGCGGCGTTAATAACATCCAACCGGAAACTCTGGGTCGAGACTTCTTAGGTTGGGTTTCAATGTACACAGGCGAGCCGATTATGGAAGCGGAGATGAATGAGTGGCTGAATGATACTATCGCTGCTATCCGCCGGTTGGAGCCCAGTCGGGTCCTGGAGATCGGAACGGGCACGGGAATGATTCTATTCAATCTTATTGGCAGTATAACACAGTATTTTGGCCTAGACCTGTCCAGTCAGGCAGTTCGCTTTGTTCAGGAGGCAGTGGGTTGGGTTGATGGGGCGGCAAAGAAGGTCAATGTGCAGGTCGGCACCGCAGCCGACCTGGCCGCTGTGAAGGGCGCAGGGCAATTGGATCTCGCTATAATAAACTCCGTGGTGCAGTACTTCCCCTCGATATTTTATCTGCGCACAGTGATATTGGATCTTATCCACACCCAAGATGTCAAGTGTATCTTCTTCGGTGATATCCGCTCGTACGCCCTCCACCAGGAGTTCCAAGCCAGCAACGTGCGACATCTCTACGGTCACACCTTGACCGCGCCAGAATTTCGGCGGCGAATGGCGGAGGCTGCCCGCTCTGAGCGAGAGCTTTTGGTTGATCCAACTTTCTTCATTGCGCTGGCTGCAGAACTGCCAGGCCTGATTGAGCACGTTGAAATCCTTCCCAAGCAGATGAAAGTCACCAATGAACTCAGCTGTTATCGATACACCGCAATCCTACATATCAAACGCTCTGACCAGCCATCGTTGGATATTCGAGAGGTCGACCAAAGTTCATGGATTGACTTTGAAATGCAGGGATTGGACTCCCGATCCCTGGCGCAACTGCTGACGACGCCCGAAAGTCCTCATGTCCTCGCCGTTAGCAACATCCCCTACAAAAAGACGATTGAGGAGCGATTTTTAATCGATGCTCTTCGGTGCTCGATACCGGGAACCAATAGCGCAGGGTGGAGTCTGGATGCCTGCAAGCGAGCCCATGCTTACCCGGCCCTAGCGGCAGTTGATTTACTGGATCTTGCGCAACAGACAGGGTGGGAGGTGGAGATCAGTTGGGCAAGGCAAGGCTCGCAGCGCGGGGGGTTGGACGCGATCTTCCATCGTCCTACCGCCACTCAGACCACAAGGCGTGTGCTATTCCAATTCCCAACAGATTGTCACAATCCTGGCCCCGTCGACATCTTCAGTAATAGCCCGTTGAAACTGCGGCGGAATCAACTTGTCGAAAGCCAACTCCTGGAGAATCTCCGTGCCAAGCTTCCGTACTATATGGTTCCCCAGCTGGTCCGAGTACTAGACCAGATGCCAATGAATAATGTTGGTAAAGTGGACAGAAAGGCTCTCGGGCAACGGAACGACCTGGGCTCCACACCTGCCGGCGCCACCAAGTCAAAATTGCTCTCCGGGCAAGCGCCGTCTTCGTTCTCAAATGAGGCGGAGCGTACATTGTGGGAAGAGTTCACGAGCGTGCTTGGGGTGGAGGTGGGGATCAAAGATAGTTTCTTCGATCTCGGTGGCCACTCCCTGATGGCCGTCAAGCTAGTTTCCAGGATTAACAAGCGACTGGGATCCACATTGCGCGTGAGTGAGCTCTTTCAGTATCCTACAATCAATCGTCTGGGCCAGCGTTTGCAAGGGTCCGGAGTTCCTCCGTCCGGCGTTGCCGTCACCAACACCTACACGCCGTTCTCTCTGCTAGATGACAGTAGCCTCACTTCGGTGCAGGCAATCAATTCATCTCACTTGTCCGAAATGCAGCTGCCCTCTACGGTTGTCATTATGGATATCTCCCCTGTCACCGAGTGTCAGGCTTGGCTTTTGAGGGACTGGAGCTTAGTGTCACACTCTTTTACAATCTATGGAGACCTCGACGTCGCTCGGTTCCGGTCCGCCTGTCAGATGGTGGTGCGGCAGCATTCGATCTTACGGACTGTCTTCACCACCTTACAGGGGCGCTTGGTCCAGGTCATTTGTGAATCTGTTGATGCGCCCTTCGTGCACGAGACCGCCGACCGCATCCCAGATGCACGCAACACCGTTGACAATGAGAAGGGAGTGTTAGCCCCGGCCCCGTTGACGACCAAGTTTACCCTTAGCTCCGATCTGGAGACAAACGAGCATCTATTCACATTGCAACTCTGCCACGCACAGTACGATGGACCCTCTTTGTTCTCCGTTCTGTCGGACATTGCCTCCACCTACAGTGCCCCATCATCCCCGCCCCTGACTCGTACCCTGCCTTTCTCCCACTACCTATATGCATCTCGCGTCTCTCGCACAGACGCCTCCCTCGGCTTCTGGAAGGAATACTTAGCTGGCTCATCTGGGCTGACAGCCGTCCCTTCTTCCACCGGTCTAGGGGAGAGGAAAGGTCATTCGCCCATGAGCAGCGTCCAAGAAGCAATTGGTGCAGTCCCTCCTCTATCATCAGACATCACCTTCCCCACCCTCGTCAACGCCGCCATCGCCCTGTCTCTGGCCAATCTCACCCAGGCCAACGACGTTACCTTTGTCTGCGTAATGAGCTCGCGCGATGTTCTCGCCACCGCCGCCTCCCCCAAGTCCCAAGAAGTTGATCTCCTCCTTGGTCCGTGTATCAACCGCACCCTGCTCCGCGTCCAGCTTCCTGAGGCCACAACAAACTCCTCAAGTCTAGACTTCTGTCGCCAGTTGCGCAGCGACCAATCCCGTGTTTCGGGCGAGGGACACCTGGGATTAACTGATGTGGTCGAGAACTGTACCGACTGGCTTCGTCTTTCTTCCTCCACCGCTTCGGGTGCAGACCAACTCCTGAAAGAGACCCCATTCATTATCCATCTCCCTGCTGACACCGCGACGCCTTCCTTTTCTTTAACCGAGGATCTTGATGTGACATGGAAGTCAACGGACGTCCGTATCGACCCCGAAAATCAGGTCTTCGTGCGGTCGACCACTTCGACGACCACAGAGAACAAACTGAACGCCTGCATCCAAGTCCAGGCTTCTGATGCAGTGCTAAGCGCAGAGGATGCTTCTGTATTAGCTACCCACATTCTAGAGACAGTGCAGCTGTTATCGGCAGCCCCTAAGGTGCTAGTTCGAGATATTTTACATTCGGGCGAGATTTGAAGTAGGTTTGTGGTTCCGTTAATGGTGGTTTTGCGAGCTCTGAAATTCTTCAAATCCCACACTCCAAAATGACTCTGCTAAGCAACAGGGCCTCGGCGGAGTACTACTATCTGGGGTCGCGCTGCGAAAAGTCTTCCTAAGGCTGGTCCATGTAACACTACATAGCTATGTAGTATAATTAGGGTACGGTCCATTCCGGAACCGGTGGTCCGGGCCGGTACTAAACCTTACCTTACGCTGGATTAATAATCAACCGTTCGCATGTATCCCAAGTAATCGCAAGATATGTTTTAAGGGTAATAGCTCAGATGATATGGGTAGTATAGAAAAGACACTACAGTGTGGCTGGAACACCGCTACTTCAACAAACCTGCTTCAATCACTATTTCCGGGCACTATACTGTCAAGAGAGTAGATATCAGGGACATGTAGAGTTATGGAGATCGTTTAGCACCACCAGCTGTTCTGAAAATAGACTTAAGCGTATCTAGACACACCGTGATTTATCTCTGCCATGATCGATATGTTAAACTGTAGATTCGTTTAACTTCAAAGCATACATAGCGCGGTGGCGGCTTTTTTTGTCTCAGATAAAGATGTGATGACGAATACGTGCAACCCCCGCTACTTCGCCAGGAACAAGTGAAATACTTTATCCATATGATATCACCGCATCCTATGGCTCATAGAAGCCATACGAGAAGAAATGCTAGATGATGACCGAGTCGTGCACGTCAATATTGAGGCCTGACTGTCACCCTGGCCAGTTGATTACTAGGTCAGTGCAACCATCAAGATCGCATGAAGTACTAATGTAGAGATCCACACCTTTTCTCTGTTTCTGTGTAGATGAGTGCCTCGATGTAACCCGATTGGGGGTAGTCGCTATCCAAACCAGTATATAAAGCCCCCCCCCACTGATGTTCAAAGTTCTAGTGAGATTCATCGAACAGCTTCAGATTATTCCATCTATCTTCAGCATATCTGCTAGAAGTCTTCGACCACTAAATACAATGTCGAATTGTGATGGATTTCCTCCGGGGTACACTGACGGCAGGCAGTGCCCCGTGAGTGCTTGTGGCTCAGGTCAAGCCGGCAAATCCAAAGTTGAGGTTAATAAGAACCTCAAACACGTGTACTCGCAAGCGAGCTCTGATCACCCGGAGTCATACATTCACACAGCGCATAATCACCGTAATGTACTAGAGGATGTTATCGCGAAGCTGCAGGGGGCCGGACCCAAGGTCGAAGATGCGCTCCTCGAGATCAAGGAGCATCTCAAAGCCGGCTTTAACCCCGACCTGCTCCGTGAGGCAATGAGTATTCACCTCACTCATTCACCGGATGCCCAGAAGCGCCACATCCACGCACCGGCTCTGAAGGAGCATGCCGCCTTCAGGCACCACAAGACTGGGACTGAGTCCAAAGCGGCGGACCCCGTGCCGACCACAGTTTCTGGTGAAATTGTCACCACCGACACCCTTCAGGGCCCCGGACTGCTGTCGTACTGGCGCGATGACTATGACATGAACGATGCCCACTACCACTGGCACATTGTTTACCGCGGTGCCGGCGGCGACAATGCGGTCAACACCCGCACCATCGATCGACAGGGGGAGTTGTTCCTATACACCCACTCGCAGATGCTGGCCCGCTACGAGGCTGAAGGTCTCTGCTGGGGTCAGCCGCTCGTTCGTTCTTGGAACCTGTACGACGAGGTACTGGAGTGGGGATATCAGCCAGTACCCGCATTGCAGGAATACTACTCGGGCTATGGACCTTTCTCCTCGTGGTACCGGGTCCGCAACCCTGACATGGCCGATATTCCCGGGGTAACCATCGGCGTAGGCGATATGGAGAAATGGCGCGACAACATCTACGAAGCGATTAAAACGGGCGTCATCATAACCAAGAAAGTGACCCCATACGGGACCCAGTCCAACCCCTTGCTGCTGACTGGCGAAAATATTCTGAACTACATTGGGGGCCTGCTGGACGCGCAATACAAATTTTTTGATAAAACGGACGATGGCTTTGAGATTGACAAAGACCTCTACGGTATCCTCTACAACTACGGGCTGGGAAAGTTCGCCGAGATGTCGTACCGCGCCGCTGAAGACGGACACTACGGCCTCATGATCTCCAACTTCGGCGCCGCTCGCGACCCCTGTTTCTACCTCTGGACCAAGCATATGCAGGATTTTGGCCGGCTGGCAGGTTCTCGTTATCCGCAGGACATCAACGAGCATCGCGCTCAGGTCACTTTGTCCAACTTGGTACTGCGGCCGCAGGATAAAAACCACCCTCTATACAAGAAAGGCGGGGTAGTCAGTGTCCTCGGGCCCCCAGCTACGGACATGCTTGAGACCAAGGCGAAACTTGACCATGAGCCGTATGAATGGAGTGTGGATATCACCAGCACCGAATTCCCTTCCAAAGACAGTCCTCAACATGTGACACTGCGGTTTTTCATCGCGGCCAAGGAGCTGGTCAACCACTACCACCACTGGATAGAGATGGACAAATTCACCGTAACCCTAACAGACCGTTCGGTCATGACTAAGGTGCGGCTAGACAAGGAATCATCGGTGGCGCGAAAGATGGGCAAGTACAGCGAGCCGGACCCGGAGCACGCCTCGTCGTGGTGTCGGTGCGGGTGGCCACAGAACCTGATGCTTCCAGCAGGACGGACAGAGGGAATGTCGTTCGTGGCCTTCTGCATGGCCACCAACGATACACTGGGCACAGATAATGTCCCGACCCCGTCTATCAGTTTCTGCGGTGCTAACGTCAAGGCCCAGACCTATCCGGACCCGCGTGGCATGGGTTACCCCTTTGACCGCGCCTGGAGGCAGCTTACGCTAGCCCAAACCGGCAAGATCTCGCTGGCCTCCATCATCGCCCCAGACAACCAGGAGTACCCCTTCCTCACCAGCAGTGACTTCAAGATATTCCGCACGTACAACTGGCGCGACCCCAAGGCCGTGATACCCCCAACCGACGTCACCTGGCACAACACCATCAAGTACTACTTCAAGGAACGGGACATCGCGTGCATGCGCAGCGAGTATGGCTACAATCTTGGTCAGTACGAGGATGTCGTTTACCACCACGCCAACATCTATGAAGCCACGGTCAGTGGCCGCATGCCGCTCCAGATGCCACCGGCTACCCAGCAGAACCCCGATCCTGACCACCCGCTGTGGACTGTCGAGATGTGTGAGAATTTCCGCGCCTGGATGCTCAACAAATGTCCCAAGGGTGAAGAGAGTGAACCCAAGAAGCTTCCCGTTCGAGGTGGTAAACAGTAATCTTTTACAATAGTAACTTGTAACTTAGGGATGTATAATTAGTGGGTCGAAGAATCATTAACACTTTTGAATATCGAAGTTTTATCCGCGGGCTTTTACGTACTAATAAATAGTTTGATTGATCACTCTACGTAGCCGATGCGTCTACAAAAATGATCTGTTTTCTTTTCTTTTCTTGACATAAAGCTCAGGCAACTCGTAGGGACATTCTTTGCTCACATTGTCCAAGGTCATATCAGCGTCTCTTTGTATTTGCCTCAAATCAACCCTTTCGAAGAACACATTATGTATTCCTGTCTTGGAGATTCAAAAACATGCCTAGTCTTAAGTCTGGCTAAGCACACTCCCGACCTCGTGACTCATGTAGCCCTTCCCTTCATAAAGGTACACTTTAATCGTACAATACCTCAAAATTGTTCCTGCATCGCCCTGAGCCGGGCATCCATGGATGTGGACTACATACTTCTTAAAAACTCAAACTGTCGGAGTGTCACTCTCCCAGAGTAACGACTCTCTCGGATGGAAAATGAAATTGGTAAACACAGTCGTTGGCTTCCGACTAAGGGTCCCCTCAACCTCCTCCTTAGTGTACCCGAACTCGCGGTGAAGTCGCTGCCAGAATTCCGACTCCTCTATTTCGGCCTTAGCCTTGTTATCTAGAGTTTGGTCGCAGTCTTCCTGCTCTTCATTTCGTCTGTTAATAAGGGGTGTGCTTTGTCTGATCTGATCTTTGATATGAAAAGGCTGCTCCGTCGCGTGAAAGGCTTTCCGCGGGTGAGATATATTTTACATTTGCTTCGGTCGTTAACCTTCAAATCCGTTACAGTGGACGAGGGCCGAATTACTCTTTCACTCTCCTGCAATCTTTGGGTGTAAGCAGCTAGCTCGTCTAGAAGGTCTTCATTGATCTATTTCTTGATGCTGGGGTGGTCACTATCCTGCTTTTCAGAGGTAGTCCGTAATAAAATGCCCGAACCCCAGAGTGGCAGCACAGAAAGGTTTTATCCTTACCTTATCCTATTGCTGGGGCAGGCCATATTCAATTAGCGCTTTTGGACGTATGTACTGTCGATATGTCGATAAATCTGATTTTTAGGTTATGTTAGCGGTCTCAAGAACACGGGGCAGAGGTCGTTCCATCATACCCCGTAACCCTGATATATCTTAACACCTTTTTCTCTTGCTCTTTTTCTATCCCCTCGAATCTTAGAGTTAGCTAGGGCACCCCTCTCATAACCATAGTAAGTGTCCTAGCTTTAAGACGTTCAATTCCTTCAACGGTGGTACGGTACTCTGCGAACTGAATCTACCCGAGCGCCCCTTCGCTGTAGTTACTCGTGGCGTCTAGCGCTTTATATTCATTATTATCCAGAGCAGCTAGCTGATTGAGGATATTTGGGTCAAAAGATCCATTCCACTCTTTAAGCCGGGGTTTTATTGGTGGGATCTGGGAGATTTACACTACAGGCATCGTAGGCGATATTGATTTGATGGTTTGTAATAGACGCCCGCGGGGATAAGAGATTCAATGTCGTTGCTAACCATACGAGCGAAATATTGGGGAATGAGGATATAGTGGTGATCTAGAAGAAAAAAATGGTTAGAATATCTCTAATATATTATGCTATCAGACAAGATCTTACCTTTCTCTGGAATCGCCATTTAGGGTGGAACCCTAAACCCGAACCAGGAACTCCTAATCCTCTCTAGAGTAGGCAACAATTGCTGTTATGCGCTGAATATCCTTTACCGTATCTATCTATATTAGCAATAGACCTTACAACTATTCCACAGGAGAAAGTAAGGGTGACTCGCTCCCTATCATCCTTCTCGAATAAGCCAGCATAGCGCCGATCTCCTAATAGTATATACGGGTTCTAAATACTGTTGTCAACATAAATATTGCGCTCACATAGACATACGGATCCTCCAACTACTTCGTAACTATTCCGAGCAACAAGCCACCCAAACAAAGCCCCAAACAAGGTCCCAAATGACGTACTCTTGAAAGACTAAGCGCAGGGGAAAGGGGGATAGTAACGTTCCTTCGATTCGTGAACAAATAGACCTATAAGGCCCTACATAAGGCCTAAACAAACGGGTGCCAGGGATCTTAACAGATACAAATAACCACACAAATGGATGCTATATCCAACACCAGCTTCATGTTCTTTGCACCCCCTCCCCCCACCCTTCAGCGTTCCTCCATAAGAGAACTTTGGGGTTTTTGCAATCATCGAAAGAGCAAGGTTGTCGTAACCCCACAAAGTTGGTATATGGGCCGAATTCAAGCCAAAATCCTAATCAGGAATCAAGAGGGTGTCCATCTGAATATTTTCACTTGCCCAGTTGGATAGACAACACTTTAAATAGCTTGAATATCTTGGATTTGGTCACTTAAGGGGGATCTCCGTGGTTCTGGGGCAGTTCCAAGATATCTTTAAGTGAGGAGAAAAAGTGCTGTCAAACTGTAGCTATGGCCCTATTCGGGTCAGCCCAACCTAGGTGCACTTCCGGTGATACACCAAGAAAGGGTGGCCATTTTTAACCAATTCTTTGTTTCCGCCTCACCCAAACCTCTTGGTCCGTACTCTCAGGTGCCGCTGAGTCGCGCAGCTGCACTTCCCAAACCTTGAGTGTGTAGTTGCCGCGATCGGCACGTCCTGAGAATATATCAAATGACCAGCCATGCTTGGGACACGTGAGACCCGCGCTGAGAACGATCCCAAAGTCTTCAATATCAAAGAGGTTGCCCTGAGAAAGTGGGAACGACGAATGGGGGCATTGCTAGAAAGGATAAGCCCAACCCTTCCGACTACAAGAAACGGAAGAAACATCTAACTCACATGATCAATGGCATGGTATTTGCCCTTGTATTTGAATACGAGAACTTGGTCCTTTAGTTCTCCTGGTAGGTCAATATCTTCGACAGGTTCTATGGCGCCATTTGTCTTGGGAATTTTGAAAGCCTTGCATCTTGGCACAATCCGGTTGTCATCATCGATGCTCGGGAACTCGGACGCAAGGCCAACCAAGTGCCAGGCTGCTGTTGCCCGTGTGAAGGGATTCATATGTTGTAGTGTGAGAGGTTTGGTCTCGGTTGGTGTCGGGAGAAATCTCCAGACTCCCACTTCCGCCCCACCAATTCCGGTGGGGTCTTTTACAACAATAACCGATATTCAACGTAATGTACGGAGTACAATATAATCATATAATCATACAATCATATAACCATATAATCTATACGATATACAGGTTGAATAAGTTAAATATATGAATGGAAGTGTTAGGGTTATCAAGGCTATATGTACTACAAGTTACGTTCATGATTTATTCCATGATATAGGGATGAAAGGTGGATTCTATCAATTCCTCTCTAAAACTGCTTTTACATAGAGGTGTGGGCTTAAGTTAGCCTGGGCCGAATCATTTGATACACATGAAACCGCAACCTTCGCGGGCACGCTCGCAGGCCTTCTTTAGAGCCTGTTCCTCAACATCGGTCCATTTGTATGTCAGTTCATCCCAGGGCTTGCCAGACCGGAACTCCTCGCGGTGCTGCTTGTGGATGGATTGTAAACGGCCCACTTCACGGGGATCACCTGTTCCCGAATAAACAATGAAAAGCGTACACGGAGGGAGGGAGTCATAAATGCGCGAAATATTAGAGACGGTTCGGGATACAGCGTCCGCCAAGGCGTCGGGCTGGGGTAGATCTATCGAGTGTCCATTCCCAGTAGCTGTAGTCGGTGTAGTCTCCTCAGGAGGAGGGAAAAGGGTGGTAGATTCGTTGGCATTGTTCGGATCGGGGAGGCGGCTACACCAACCACGAAGATATTCGAGATCACGAATGCGAGCCCAGGCAAAATCAACCCCACCTCCAGGAATAGAAGGATTGGACTCGTCGCCATTGATTACCGCTGAGACACCGGCGACGACTGCATCATCATCCCGGCATCCAATCGAGACAGTTGCCTGGGCACCAAACCCACGTTCTGGGTTGCCCCAGTCAACCACAGCTCCTGTTCGTTCCTCGCCGGGACGAGGAAGATGACTCGGTCGGGTAGAGCGCGATAGTCGACGGAATATGCTCTCGTTTGAAGCTTCACTCGTGCCCCATCGCTCGCCTTTCTCGCACTTTAGCTTCACAAGCTCAAGCACCGCACGGGCATCCTCGATGGAATCATGCCCAGCCATGCCGTTTTGTATTTGCTTGTTCTGGTATTTCTGGGTAAGCCATTTCAGGCTACATTTGAGTGGGGGACCACGTGGGTGTGGGTAAATAATGCTCGTATCGACAATGAACGGGTGGACAAGCTTGAGCGCGGTAAGATCGGAATTAAGGGAGTGTCCCACGAGTATCGCACGCGGTGTGAGGATAGTCAGGAGACGTTGCTGAATATCATGAAGGGTCGTGGTGACGGGCTCAAGCATCTCTGGGGTGATTCCGGAGTAACGTGTAAGATAGTTTATGACCGGCCGTGCTGGTTTGACCAGTTCATCAAGGACCACCTCGCCGTCCCAGCCGACCATGCTGATGCGTGTGAGTTCGGACTGACCACCCTCGGTAATACACATCTCACAGTCCAGCGCAAAAACATCTCGACCATCAGTAACACTGCCACTTTCAATTTCAGCATCAGGGGCTTGAGCAGACTCCAGAGTTGGAACATGAGTATCCACCCATCCATCTTCCACCGATTGCCCGCCTCGCTGACGAGCCTCCACCTGGGAAGATTTTTCGTTATCAGAAGAGAAAAAAACGGGATGCAAGATAAAGTCGTTTTCCAATAGATCGTCACGGGAAGTGACAAAAGCTGTGATTGGTGTTCGTTTCGGGACGAAACCTTTCTCGACTTTTGCGGGCCGTGCGCCCTTCGCACGGGAGTCATCATTTTTGGTCTTGGGGGACGCGGACATAAGGATTGCCTGCAGTGGCGAATGGACCTTATTGTATTTGTTGTCGCCTGGCGCCTTCACGGGCCAGATATGGGGGAACATGTCGGCCAGGGGCTGAAGTGGTTCGGGGAGGGTTTCACGTGTGATAGATCGAGGATTGAAACGATGCGAGCGGTCCGGCAATGGGAGGCCCTGTTTCCATCGCTCATAATCAGCAGCATGTTCGTCTTTAGGTGCCTCATCGGTGGCTCCCTGCGCGTCCATCTTGGGATCCTGCGTCTCTTGTTCCTCGGTAGCTGATTCTCGTTGCACAGAGATTGTCCCATCAAACATGCCCATCTCTAGGCCAGGTACCATCAGTACAACCACCTTCCGCACATGGCCAGAATGCTTCATGGAAATCCATTGTGGTGCGATACCATCGGCGAAGCAATAGAGAAGCAACCCCTGCAGATCGGCAATTCGGATAGGGGACACTAATTTTCCATCGGCATATGTGAGATCTGGGTACTTCACTTTCTCGCCATCAACTCTTTTGCGCTTTTTTGACGCATGGCTACCGTTCGAACCTTCGCTGCTCGGGTTATCGCTCTGGAGACGGGACAAGGTATCAGCGACTCCGAATGACTGAGGTGTAAGATCACCAGCCGGGTCGTCCGAGCTGAGCTTTCTCTTCCTATCTCTTCCCATGTTGTTGTCTTCGGGTTTGTTTCCTCGCTGGACTCGCGGCATGGAAATTCAGGATGATACGCGATAAGATCATGTGCTTCAAAAGATTACAGTCACGTGAACATCGGAAAAGAGCTGTCCCGGTGCCGCTGACCGTTTTGGCTTACTTAAAACAAACGGCACGCCAGAAACGCCAGAGACGCCAAACGATCTGATAACCGGAAGATTGCAAATCTGGGATCGCCGTGCAGGGGGGCTTATTTTGGTATCCATCACGCCATTCCTCCAACACGTTTTCTTCGCCTCTCAACTTTGGTCTCACCTTGAAATTCGTTCCACCTTTCGCAGAATACCTCTCACCATCAATTCCGGGGTTTGCCATCAGTTCCCAGTCGTCTCATCCTCGTTTCACGCACATCCCACAATGTCGACACTCACCGAAATCACATCTGAGGCCGACTTCTCGTCGCATCTCTCATCTCTATCGCCTTCTGCATTGGTAGTCCTATACTTCCACACTCCATGGGCTGCCCCTTGCGCGCAGATGGGCGCTGTGCTTTCAGCCCTCGCTTCGCAGTACCCCGCCACCACCCCGCCCACCATCTCGTTTGTCAGCATCAATGCTGAGGAGCTACCTGATATCTCAGAGGAGTATGATGTTTCTGCCGTGCCATTCGTTGTGTGCCTCCGTAGCGGCCAAATTTTAGAATCGATCAGTGGAAGTGATGCCGTCAAGGTTCGTGACGCTGTCGAGCGCCACGCTGGCCGCGGAAATGTTGCGGGTGGCGTTGGTCCGATGGAAGGTGCCAAAGCCAATATCCCCCCGCCGCTGTCTGCTGTCCCTCGTGAGGATGGTCCCTTGACTGCTACTCAGGCCCCCGTTACCGCTTCTCAGCCCCCTTCCGCTGATGCAGCTAACGCAACCGCCGTCGCATCTGCCCCCGCTCTGACACCCGAACAATCCCGGGAGGCACTATTTGCCCGCCTCGAACAACTGGTCAAGGCAGCATCTGTCATGTTGTTCATGAAAGGCACCCCGAGCAGCCCACAATGCGGATTCAGTCGGCAGCTAGTTGGCATTCTACGTGAGCGTAGTGTAAAGTATGGCTTCTTCAATATCTTGGCCGATGAGGATGTGCGCCAGGGTCTGAAGGAGTATGCTGAGTGGCCAACTTTCCCCCAATTGTGGGTGAATGGAGAATTGGTCGGTGGTTTGGATATTGTACGCCCCCCTCTCCCCTCCCAGGGCCGATGGTTTAATTCAATTACTAACTCAATGGTACAGGTCCGCGAGGAAATCAACAGCGATCCCGATTTCCTCACTGAACACTCAGTCAGCAAGCCCACTACGGCTGCTTGAGTGGTTGGTTGATCGTTGCACGATACCCATGACCCCCTGTCTCTGGGGCTAGATGCTATAAGTCTAACATAATGATAAACGTTTTTTGTCTTGATACGGATTATATGCATGTCTGATTATATCGTATCTTTCTCATTGTTGCGTGACGTGTCCTTGCTATAATTTGTAATAAGCGGCATCGAATCAAAGCAATCCATTGTCACAGATCATCCCTGTTGGCCATGACAGATTCAACGCATCCTCAAGAGGCTGGCACTGGTGGTTCAACCCACCTTGTATCCCAACTGTGACTGCACTAAAGCTGCTCTCTGGTTTCAAGAATACGAATACATTATATTTACAACGTTTAGATATACATATATAGGCAGTGCATCATGGACCAAGGACTCGAAATAGTTCAGACTAACAATATGTCACATTCGTATATTCAGTCGACTGCCAAGAAGATGGGAGTGATGCCCAGTCCTAAGCACATTCGGATATTGGGTTAATCAATCTCCACCTTTGGAAATGAGTATACTCTCTTCTCTGTTGTTCTCATGAACCTGATAAATCCCTAGTTCTCCCTCAAGCGTTTTTCCGATCCTCTTCGGCCGCTCTCTTAGCCTCTTGCTTGTTCTTATGGTTGCCTACTTTCCTACTTATTGTCTCGGTTGTTGGCCGCCAATTCTTTCTTGGCTTTCTTCGTCCAAACATATGGATGCTGGCTCCTACAGACCGCAAAGCGGGATAGGAGAGCATCGGTATCCACGTAGGCGCCTGCTAACCAGCGAGATCCCACGCTAGCATTGAATTGGCGGCGGGCATGAACGATTCTTCTGTTATCAAAGATGACGCAATCGCCCGGGTTGAGTTTGAGCTCAAAGATGCGCTTTTGGTTATCAATAATTGAAGTAAACCTGGCAAGGGCATCCCGTAGCTTGTTAACAGGCTCAGCATCATGGCCTTTCCCGTCGCATGGTGGGAGGGGAGACTGGAAAGGGGGCGAGTAATTGACGTGGCGCAGCTCGTCTGTGTAGGAGTCATGTTCAAAGACGGGTCGTTCGTTGTAGTAGATGTGATCCTTGTGCCTGTACTCGTATCCCAGCCGCTGCTCACGAAGCACTTTATACTCTTCTGGGTGTCGCTCTTTCATGAGTTTTGCTGCCGAAAATGTGTCTGCGAACAGCGACTCGCCCCCCCGAACATGAGTTCTCCAGACAGTGGAGGAGCTGGTATCCCGGTGGCTCGTTCATATACATCAAATCCATGTGAAAGCCAAGGAATTGGTTTGTATATGCGACATTTTTGGCCTGTGGAACGGTGCGCACATCGAATGTTGAGCCATAGAAGGTGTTTCGCAGTGGACCCATGCGTGTTGCAATGGCTTCAACCATCGATCGTGAGTCTGGAACATCCTTCACAAAGATAAGGCCCAGGCGCTGCAACTGCTGCATCGCCGAGGCAAATTTGGAATCGTCCGCGATATATTCCGGGTAAGACACCCAATGTTGACTTTGGTCCATTTGAGCTCGTCCCCATATGATCGGGTTGCAGTTCGCACTCCAATGTTGACGATGGGTGTTGAAAATGGGGGTTTTTAGGAAGTCACGGTCCCAGGTTGATTCATGCTCAGTCGTATACCCCTCAATGTCGTTGGTCCACCTAATTGAAAGTTTGGTCCCATCCCAGTTGACCCAGCGTGGAGCAATGTCCTTGGGAATGTCACTTGTGCGGAACGAACGCTGCTTCGAGTGTTGATCCTTGCACACTCCACACTGGCAGGAATCGCGCAGATAAGTATATGGCAGTTTGATTGTTGTGTTTTTATCCAAACGCAAGTACAATTCCTCTTTTCCAGCCCAGATCGACTCTTTTTTGCCCACTTTTAGAATGCCATTCACACGGGCTTTTCCTCTAACCACATCAGTGGTGGAGTTCCGCACATCACCCGTGGAATTGCTGGGTTCTTGTGATGTAGGCAATGAATGGTCGATTTTTGGGATGACAGGTTCCAATATGTCGTGAGAGTCTGACTCTACAGGGCTGTTGAACCTACTAGAGGGAGCTATCAAGTTACGGCACGGGACAGAATATGACAACGCTCGTGGCAATTGCCAGAGGGGAGGTGAAGTTCGGAGACGATGCATGAAGGGCCTTTAAACCCGTTCAGAAGTAGAGATGCTTAGTGAAAGGGTAGAGAGGGAGGATAAAATCAACCTTACGGGACACGCGGGACAAATGGAGGGGAGCTACAAGTTACCTCGGCTTGTGATTCTGTGGGGTTAGTGGTGCCTAAGGCATGAGATTTATACCTCAGGCTCCAAGTGACACCCCAGGCTGGAATTAATACCTCAGGCTTTAAATCACACCTCAGGCAGAAATATCATTCTTCCCGCAATGACATTCCCCGGGGCCAGCCCGGGACTTACGTAAATTGCCTTTTGACGTTGTTTTTGTTTTTTTATCATTCCAAGGCAGAGTCAACGAATCAACATGGATCTTCTTACTTCATTTTCTTAACTTGACCAAACCATACAGACATCTTTAGTCTGTGAGATAAAAATCAACTCTCACCTCATGTCGGCCGGGGGCGAGCATCTCAAAGATGAAGGCACCAAGCGACAGGTCGTATTGGCCGGCGGCATTGCAGGGCTAATCTCACGGTTCTGTATTGCGCCGCTGGATGTCGTTAAAATCAGGTTGCAGTTGCAAATCCATTCCTTATCAGACCCTGCGTCCCATCACAGTGTCAAAGGGCCTATATATAAGGGGACATTGTCCACTATGCGGACGATCATGAGGCAAGAGGGAATCACTGTACGTTGAAAATATTACCTCACTTCTCAATGCCAATGCATATAGCCTAACCTGGATTTCTTCCCACAGGGCCTCTGGAAAGGCAATATTCCTGCCGAACTGATGTATGTCTGCTACGGAGCCATTCAATTCACTGCGTATCGGGGAACAACCCAGGCCCTCGCTCAACTCGGCTCCTACCGATTCCCCCAACCCGTCGAATCCTTCCTCTCGGGTGCATTGGCAGGCGGATGTGCCACGGGAGTAACATACCCGCTTGACCTTCTCCGCACACGATTCGCCGCACAAGGCCCAGACCGCGTGTATGGCTCGCTGCGAGCCTCAATTGTGGAAATCGCTCGACATGAGGGTGCACCGGGATTTTTCCGGGGATGTTCTGCCGCCGTGGCACAAATTGTGCCATACATGGGACTATTTTTCACAGCATACGAGGCACTCCGACCTGTCATGACCTGGGATGTTCTGCCGTTGGGTACAGGGGACGCCGCAGCCGGTGTGGTGGCCAGTGTCCTGGCTAAGACGGGTGTTTTCCCACTAGACCTCGTGCGTAAACGCTTGCAAGTACAGGGTCCAACAAGGACCCGCTACGTTCATCGCAATATCCCGGAGTACAATGGAGTTCTCCAAAGTATTGCCATGATTGTCCGCACCCAGGGCGTGCGTGGTCTGTATCGCGGCTTGACGGTCAGTTTACTCAAGGCGGCGCCGGCAAGTGCGGTGACAATGTGGACTTATGAGCACGCATTGAAAGCCCTTCAAGAGCTCAATGTCGCAACCGACAGTTGAAGGGGATTCTTCAACTTGTATCAACAGTAATAATTTTGCATGGATCATTTCATGGCGTTTTCACTAGAGGGTTGAAATTATTGGTTATACAATGAGGCGAAAAGCCTCACAAATAGAAAAGTCGATTTCCACGCTTTAAGCCATCTTCCCCTATATTCTATCCACTACACCAATGACGCAGGAAATATCGAAAGAAAAAAGACATCTAAAAAGACTACCAGGGAAATCAAGCCTTCCTCTGATTTGATACTTTTTTTTAGGGTGATCTTGTTCAGTTTTGCTAACATCCTCTGTCCTTCCCTCAAATGTGTGCTGAAAGGAGCAACAAGACAAGTGCAGGGTCAAAGTCAGTATTCAACCCCTTCTGGGCTGCTATCCTCAGCGACCTCCTCATAATCTTTCTCCAGGGCCGCAAGATCCTCACGGGCTTCAGAGAATTCACCTTCTTCCATTCCTTCACCAACATACCAGTGGACGAATGCACGCTTCGAGTACATAAGATCGAAGTTATGATCAAGGCGGGCCCACGCCTCGGCAATAGCGGTAGTATTAGACAGCATACTGACCGAACGGTCGACACAGGCAAGCTCATCGTCAGGATGACGCACCGGCTTTTGGTAGTTGATGCCTAACTTGAATCCGGTAGGGCACCACTCAGCCATACTGAAAGTACCCCGAGTCTTGAGGGCATGAACGGCCATAGTGCAGTCATGAGGTACAACGTCACCCTTGTAAAGTAAAGCCACGGCCATGTACTTGCCCTTTCGTGGATCGCAGTTCACCATCTGATTGTTGGGTTCAAAGCCTGTGGCTGAGTCAGAGGAAAAATACACCATATCGGAAGAGTATCCACGAACACTGGAAGGTGAGATCCTGAACCTTGAAACTCTCGTGAGAGCTGTGCTGGCGATTGATCACCGGGGCATACGAAATCAATGGATAGTGTATACGCGGGTACGGGACAAGGTTGGTCTGGAACTCAGCCAAATCGACATTGAGTGCACCATCAAACCGCAAGCTGGATGTGATGGAGCTCACTATGTGAGCAATAAGACGGTTGAGATGCTCATATCCAGGACGAGGAATACCCAGGTTACGTCGGCAGATATCGTACACGGCGTCGTTGTCAACTAGGAAGGTACAGTCGGAGTTCTCAATGGTGCTGTGGGTTGAAAGGACGGCATTGTAGGGCTCTACCACGGCAGTCGATGTACGTGGAGAAGGGTAGATTGAGAATTCCAGCTTGGACTTGCGCCCATACATGCTTGTCAGATGATCCAACAGCAATGAACCAAAGCCAGATCCTGTACCACCACCAAAGGAGTGGAAAATCAAGAATCCCTGCAGGGAATTGCAGTTCTCTGTGAAGGCATTAGCTGAAAGTCATCGAGTTGAGACTCGAGTTAGCAGGTTCGTACCAGCCACATGACGAATGCTGTCAATCACGGATCCGGAAATCTCCCTGCCGACAGTGTAATGGCCCCGAGCATCTGCTGCATGTTAGCTCATCCGTTGCCAGCTTTCGCCTTCCAGTTGGTTTGTTCATACAGTTGTTGGCAGCATCTTCATTGCCACTGATCAGGTGCTGGGGACGGAAAAGATCACGGTAGGTACCAATGCGAATCTCATCGACGGGCTAACACAGTTCATTCAGTTGGTGGGTCTGACAACTTTGTGGTCCGTCACATACCGATGGGTCAAGATCGACGAAGATGGAACGGGGAACATATTTGCCACTAGAGGTTTCAGTAAAGAAAGTCTCGTAAGATCCGCATCTTGCAGCCTCATCGGTAACATCGGGATTGATAAAGCCATCGGGCATCAGACCGTGTTCGAGTAGATACCTATGTTGCATCTTGATCAGCAGGGATATCGTGGATACTAGACAATGAAGAGACTTACAGTTCCCAGGCAGCATTACCAAGCTGTGTGCCGGCCTGGCCAATGTGTATATGACAGATCTGGTAGGTTCAAGTCAATGTGAGTCTTTCCTCCTTTGGTTCGGTTTTAGGTATTGAGTGAATGAGAGCCAGTGTAGCTTGCAGTGTATGGACAGGTCGACACCACAGAGAAAATAGCAGTCCGGGAGAATATTTAACCATACATACCTCGCCTCGCATGGTGGAGTGCACTGACAAGTTGATAAGAGGTGTTAGGATAAAAATGGGGCTTGAGGACTAGGGGGAAGTCGTGGGGAGAGATGTGTTGGTAAGAGAAGCTGTCCGGGGGAGAGGGCACAAAACAAGTCGATCTCTTTGACATGGAAGCAACCCAGGTCAGACTTACACACTTGCTATTAGTCGACGACACAACCAACTATTCAGGACATTTCCTTCAAATTTGTCTCAATTCATGCAGAATTCTATGATCTGGTATGGCCATTTAACATCCATAGACTCAAAGCCTTACTTTTGGTCTCAAAATCTCATATATATGATTGGACACCAGCATCACCGGCATACCCCAATGAAAGCTCTTTATATTATCCAGCAGGCCACATAGCCTGAATCCTCGTCGTTTGGCCTGAACTCAGATCGTGTGGCTAACGATGTCTAAGATTGGTCCTACTTCATCAAGGTGATACGGTCAAATCCATATACAAAAATCCACAGCGGATAAAATGGTTTGAGTTGCGAACTCTGGCTTAATTATGGCTTGCATCATGTTTTGTTCCTAGTCCACATTAGAATATACCATGAGTCCACAATATCATCCAGGGAATAGTCGGATATCCCTGTATGCCTGTTGGTTGCTTCGTCCAATACTAGGATTGAGCTTTTCGTCACCAACATGTATACTAGACAAGAAGCTGGCGCTCGCCTACTAATCTAAAATCAAAAGCTGGTTGAGGCCTCGTCCCTGTTGGCCTTTTTATGAGACATTCATCTAAAACGGGGCCGGTGGCGGAACCGCAGTTTATGTTGAATCTCAGGGTTCCAGGCGTGAAGAATGGTTCCTGTGGTATACTCTCGTTGGAATACATATGGATGTAATGCACTATAAAACAGGTAGAAAATGAACGTTTTATTGGTCTCGTCACCAAGAATCGACATGAATGCTATATATGATCAATAAGCCACCGGAAAATAATGAACAAGAGCTTCAAGGCCGATATAGGGATATATGTATCGTAGAAAGAAAAGTTACAGATATGTTGAGACACGGTGTCTCGCGAAGTATGAAAGGAAGGGAAAGAAAAAAAAAAGATGGCAATAGTGTATGTTCAGTGAATGAAGATTGGAAGATGACCAAGATGACATCAATAGACGAGATTGAAAATGACCACATCTCAAAATCAATTGGGGTGCTGCTTGAAACCAGGGGCAGTAGCCGGCAGAGGCGAAGTAGGCTCATCGAAGCGGCCCTGCTCCATCAAGTCATCACGATCGTGGCTCACGCTGCTGCGATGTTGGAAAAACCGGTTGCGACTGAGTGATGACCGGCCACTACGGAAGCTGTGAGCATCGGTCGACCGGCGACCGTCGTCATTATTGGAGGGAGCGCTCATGCTCATGTTGGAGGGGCGACGATGCCGGGAAGAAGATGTGCGGCTCCGGCGCTCCTCCTCATCCTCGTTCTCTTCCTGGATGCGGCGCTCTGCAGCATCGCGGTTAGCGGTACGGACGACATCGTCGACGACCACACCCCGATCCTCAAACACGTCTCCCATAACATCGTTTGAGGCCATGTTGGACATGCCCAAGGAGAAGTCGACGTGCTTGCGCTGTGAGACAGACGGGCCGCGGGCACGGGCGTTGGCAGTGTGCATACCCTTGCGGAGAATAGATGGGTGACGGATAGCGCTGCCGCTGCTGGTTCCGGTATTTTCTGGCAGGCTGTGGGACTCTTCTGAGATTGGGACCTCCTCGGCGTCGATAGGAATTTGTCGCTCGGTCGAGGGTGCATTGCCATAGTTGACGTGGAAGGGAATGTCGAACTTGGCACCCTGGAGGTTCATGCGTGGGCCCTCGATGCCAATCTCCTGGAGGGCGACCATGAGCATACATATGAACTTGTTGCGGCGTTGCAGACGTAGACCCTCGTTCTGCCAGTTGGACTTGTAAAAGAAGACGATGTTGAGTGTGAGCGAGAAGTTCTCGGTGACGGCACGCATTTCGGTGAGGATGTTGCTCTGGAAGTCGCGTTTCTCGCTGCGCACAAACTCCAAGAGGCGCTGTCGGAGGGCGTCCAGTTGGTCGATAGTGGTGCCATACTTGATAATGATTGGAACTGCCTCGGCAAGTGCGCCCGAACGGCGCTGGTTGAGAATGAAGAGCCCATTGAGGTAGCTGTTTGGCGCCTGCACGACATGGCCTTGCATCTTCTTGAATTCGGTGTAAAGAAGAGTAATCTCCTTCACGAAGTAATCATCACCCAGACCGGAATCACCAGCGTTGCCGTAGATAGTCACGCGGTCACCCACATCGAAGGGGTGTTTGACAAAGACAAAGATAACCGACTGAAGGAACTCCTGAGCAGTAGCAGAGAACAACCAAGACAGGGCCAGAATAGCGGAGCCCGCAGAGGTGAGCACACCGGCGGCCGAGGTCGAGATAAGCGACAAGAACACAATCAGCACGATCACAAACACAAAGAACATGAAGACATTATCCAACTTCGATACAACTGAATCCAAATCCTTTAGGGATGCGGTGATGGACTTGCGCTCACGGCCAATGTCAACGCAAACAGCTTCAAGCTCCTCCATGGAGATATCACCATTCATGTCGCGATCAAACATGGCAAAGGCAGCCTCGGCTTCCTCGCCATCGTCAAATGCGGCTTTCAGGTCACCACCAAAAACGGTCTCAAAACCGTCCCTCACAAAAGTGCGATAGAGACGACGTGCCAAGACTTGACAGCCTCCAGTGGTTCTCAGGAGTGCCAAAATGACCTGGTAAGCATCTGTGCTGCGAGTAGCCGCGCGGCCCGTGACATCAGCCACTACTGCGCCTGCGACATCGCCAACCCGGTTTCCAACTTTGTTCAGGGCACCCTTAGCTTTGCGTTGGGCCAAGCCAGCGTAGTGCAATGGGGTCTTGACTCCAGAAGGGGTCGGTTCCTCTTTCTTCTCCCGAAACGCATCGTCTTTCTCGCCGAGCGTGGATCGAGAGAATTCGTACAGTTTGGTCAGACTGCCAATCTGGAACTTGTTGATTTCGATGCGGTCCGCATAGGTCCGCATATGGAAGCTGATAGCAATCAGCTGGATGAGGATCTTTTCGATGAAATTCAGGATAGTCCACACAAAGATAACAATGATGATTTTGTTAAGAGTGATTTCCCAACCCCTGGTATTCTTATTACCATCTACATGATGGTTTTTCATTGTCGGCAGGAAGGAGATCTCCACACCGAGCCACCAGAAAAACAGTGCCGCGTGGAGCTCGAGCTGCTTGGCCATGTCGCGCCACTTCTTCGCGTTATTGGTGAATACACTCGCAAAAAGACCAACAACTGGAGGGAAGCACTTGCTAACAAGCTAAGAAGAACGATATTAGTATAGCTTCTTGACAAGGAATAATGATTCACTAGAACTCACCCGTCCTGCCCAGAGAGTCAGCCAGACAATCTCCAACCAAATCGAAAACCACATCAATTCGACACCACCCACGCTAGCATTGGGATACCTGAGAGCGCCGACCAGCAACGGAATCAAGAGGAGGACGACGACCGGCAAAATGTAAGTCAAGTAGCGCACGAGGAAACTCGACTGGTGCAGCTTCTTCACAAAGACGGCAATCTGGGTATTTGGTTTCTCGGGGGGGCTTGTAAATTGCGGTCTTCTCATGCAGAGGGTTTGTAGCTTCATCGAACTCATCCACCGCTTCCGAGCGACGCGAACGGGAGCGTTTGATCGAACCATGGTCGTGTTCATCGTCTGGTGCGCCGGTCGAATGGGAGGTCATCCGCTCAGCTTGCAGGAGCATCAAATCATCTTCCAGACGAGTAGCCTGTTCCCTACGCGCGGATGGCGTGCGCATGGGCGGATGCTCATCATCATCACGATCATAACGCGTTGTGTCAACCTTCAAGCGACCCGCGTCGCGATCAGTGTCGGGCTCGGTCACGTAGGTTCCATCGTCGGAGGTGGGGGAGATGTCCGACTCCTTGCGCTTGTCCTTTGATTCGGTATAGGTTTTTCGTTCCTCCACGGGGGACGACATAATGGCACCAGGCCAAGTATAAAGAGGGGAACTTTGGTCAAGGCGGAAGGATTTGGAATGTGGGGGATGTATATAAGTATAGGGTGATTTGATAACACCAAAACCAAAAGGGAATGAAAAAAAAAAAAAGCAAAGAAAAATGTAGAGACAGAGAGACAGAGAGACGGAGAGAAAGAGAGACAAGGGAGAGGGAGAGAGAAGGCAAAAAAGTCAAGTGGAGTGATGGGAGTTGAGGAGACCCATAACAGTGCAGAGTCTGGACCTGGTCTTCTCGATTAGTCCGATTTTACGATGATCTCGATCTGTATTATAAAGTATTCTATTTATGGGAGATTAGTCTCATTTTAATTTCAATTAAATTAATAGTGTAGATTAGCCAAATAGGGGGATATTCATATCTTATACGGGTCCAACTATGGAGTATATGATATAGAGCATAGAAGGGACTACTCCGTACCTATATACCTATATACACACATCTTCATTCCAATACTATTCTCAACCTATTCCAAAACTTCCAAACCAAATCAAGTATTTCAGCATACGCAATCCAGACCAATAGCCAATGACCTTGGAACCCCTCTGGCCCATCACGGCCCGCCAACGTTTTGCTGATCCACCCGGTGGCGATAAACGGGTTGGATCTTTTTTTTTTTTTGGTGGAATTGTGCGCATAAAAAGGAAGAATGTTTAAACAGGATAATTATCCATAGGATGTTTGATTACTCCGTATTTAAATGGGCTTTGGGCTTTATGCTTATTATTGAGGTCTAAATAATAAATCACCCTAAGGGCGCCTCTTTATGTCGTGCAGTCCCCCTGCGTCAGATCAAAGTAAACAATCACTTTGGGTGAACCACGTTGTTCAAGTCGAAGGAAATTATTTAACGTGTCTGATATGTGATACAACCATGACGTTGCCTCGAAGAAATTCAAACATCTCCGAACCTATTATTTAAGTGACGTGGTCATTCGAAATCACAATGTCTTATCTTTCTTGGCGCTCTTGATGATCGGGGTTATACCATATATTCGTATATATATACGTATATATATATGCACGATTACGATCATTATTGACCAGGGAAAAAGTTGAATCTACAATTAGGCATTTAATAGAAGATTAGTATACGAAGTAGCAGAGCTCTTGTCTAGGTATGCTGTAGGACCTGGATCTTCACGAGTAATGAGAATCGTGTCTAATCACAGTTCTAGAGTGGAACGATCATCAGAAGGGTCGGAGGTGGCTGTGAAGCACTAGCACCTTTCCAACATTGTAGGTGACTACAATGTAGTACAAAATACATATTCTAAATATCGGAAGCCTCATGAGAGGTATCCTATATATATATATATAAAAGAAGAAAACAGCATCAAGCTGGTGTTGGAATTTCGGTCACATGGTGAGAAAGATGAAAAACGCAACTAACGTCGCTGAAAAGAAAACCAAAAAAACAAAGAAAAGAAAAAAGACTGGCTCGTCAAAAGAAAAGACCGGAACACCTTGCTCCGAGAAAGAAAACATTCAGACATAAGAGACGTGAAGGAGTGGATATGACAATGCATCCACGGGGTACAAGGTATCCCCGGGAGTAGATAAAGACAGGAAGAAGTTTACAGGGAAGACAAAGTAGGTGGGCAACAATATGTAGACAGAATAGAAAGATATCGCAAAATCTCGGGTAACTTTTGCCGGAAACAAGGGAACACGGCATCTATCTTTTGAATGTCAAGCCCAAGTCGGAGCGATGTCGCTCCGCTGGACGAGGCGTCTCCTCCGGATCAAGGTTGGGGGAAGGGTGAAGAGGTCGTGGCGTAGCTTCAGCGTCCGGGGTGGGACTACAGTCGGCGTCCACACTCGAATCAGCGGCTCGGGTCAGCCCGCTGCCGGAGATTTTGACCTCAGGGGTGATCGGTGGGCCAATGGGATGGGAAAGAGTGCTCTGGGGTAAGTCCCATGGGGGTGTGGTTTGACCCTGACTCAACATTGCTGGACTACTCGTCGATGCACAACACTGGGAATGTCCAGAGTAGATCGAGGTATCCTGATGCTCCAGAGATGGCCGGTGGTGTTGAGAGGCAGATGCTGTAAACCTTGAAGGGGACGTACGAGGGCTGGGTGGTTCTTCGCCTTCCGATTCCTCAGGAATGCTGAGGGCCTCGAACCGATCATCTAGGCTCGTACTGGCCGGGGAACCTAAAGAGCCATCGCTGTCGTCATTATTGGCGGACTCCGCGGCTTGGTTACGAAAAGCTTCCCTCTCCTTCTTCAAGAGTTCTTCGCTGCCACTGACAACGCTGCCCCGACTATTGGTCCTCATCATCTCGATCCCCAGTTTAGAACCAGGACGGCGGTTTCGAGAGGGTGGGCTGCGACGGGTTTGCGAATTGCCAAGCTCTTCGTCTTCATCGTCGCCCGATTCGGCGCCCTCATACCGCTTCTGCTCAAGGGATTCCTTTTTCGCACGGATGGCTTCACTTGACCGTTGCCTCCGAGGTGTGAGCCCACCGGTTGTATCCATGGCCGCGGGTGCCGAGGCAGCATGGAGAAGGTGGGGCAGGGGTACAGCGTTTGGGCTTGGGCTCCCAGGGTGTTCCGCTGGTTCTTCAGATATCCCCAATCCGCCGTGGCCTTGATCCCAAGCATCAGAATTTCGATTGATGATTACTGGAATCTCCTCGGGCTTGAAAGACTCCATATCTCCGAAGACACTACTGCTGAGCGAATCATCGCGGCTGGATCCCCGGTAAGAGCTGGGGGGATTGAGGGCGAATCCAGAAGATGCGGAACTGGGGCTATCCTCGTTTGTCACGGCGCTAGACCGAGCCTCAGAGCCCGGAACAGGAACAGGTTGGGAGGGGACGTAGTCCGTTGGAGGAGGTTTCCACATGCACCACTGGGAAAGGGCCTCGGTGAGCTTGGGTAGGGTCGGAGGCTTTTGAATGAGGGCATCGAAGTTGTGATTCTCCGGAAGGTCTTTCAAGTAGCCCGTAACAGCAATTATCGGAGTATGCCTATTAGCGCTACGGGTCTCCCGCACCATTCGAGCAAAATCAACCCCGTTGACTTGGGGGAGTCGATATTCAGTCATAATTATATCGAACTGAACCTCGCTGAGCGCGTATCTGACAGCTTCCGCGCCATTTGTAACGGTAATAGTCCGGCAGCGAAGTTTTTCGAATAGGCGTTCCATGACGAGCCGCGAGACAGGATGATCTTCACAAATGAGCACATCCAATGGCCGGAAAAAGGGCCCTTCGAGGACATTGATTTGCGATAACCGGCGAGAGCTTTGTCGCCGACGTTGGACCTTCAAGAGTGCTTTGGTGCGTGGATCCTCGTTATCAGAAGACGAAGGCGAGATATCAAAGAGTTGACTCCGGCGCTTGTGATGATGCGGCACGAAGGGTTCTTTCGGGAACGAGGGAACATCTCCATCCTGAGAGCCAATAGTGTGCGATCGGGTGCGGCTCGCTGGCACGCTGCCATGGCGTTGATTATTCCCCACCTTGTCCGGGGAATGGGCTGGAATTCGGTTCGGTTTGACAGGAGAGGATGCCATCGAACCCAGTCTAAGATTTGGCATGCGCCCCTGGTCGGCAGAGGAAGGCTGGAATGTCCCATTTGATTGATAGGAGGCTGACGAAGAGCCCGACGTCTTGCGCCGTTCTTGGTTAGTCCCAGTGCTGAACTGGACTAATAGGGGGAAGATGGCTGCGACGGCCTGCTAGGGGATGAGTTTGTCTGACTTAAGCCTGATGGGGAAGAAGGTCGGTTATTGCCTTTGTTCTGTGACAAAGTCCGTTGAAGTGACATGGGCAGTGGGCTGCCTTCCAATGAGGGCTGAGATGAAGTGACGGACGCCTGAGTGGCAGACGATGGATTGGATTGTCTGTGCTGCGCCTGCAGAGCCTCCTGACGCATCTTCTGGATCACATCTTTGTTGGCCTTCTCCAGCATCGGAAGATTCTTGAAGTTGAAACTGCCAAAATCATCGGCCAACGCCGGTTCGCTAAGCCTTCGACTTCGTGAATCCCGAGCATCACGAACATGAGGAGGAATGTGTAGCGGCATCAAAGGTCGTTTCGATGAATTGACCTGGGAGCGGACCTTGAACAGTGCGTCATGAGGCCGGTCGGGGCCAGCGGCAACTGACGGTTGCGGTGAGTTCTCGTCTTCTAACTCTTCTGCAAAAGATTGCAGAGTCGCGCCACGGGCGTCAAAATACTCTGTGTCCTCCGGGTTCTCAATATTGGGAACGAATTGTGCTTTATCCTCTAGCAGTGTATCCCAGTTAATGTCAGACAACCAAGGATGACTGCAAATCTCTGCACCGCCACTTGGAAACTTCTCTTCCACGTTGGCTCCAATTCTGTCACGAGGGTTGAGAGTCATGAGCTTGTTCATGAGATCCAACGACTCTGGTGAAGTCAATTCTTCTGGGTCGTCGGGCCAATTGATCCTGCGATGGAGAATGTTTTCGAACACCTGGTCTGGGGTATCCGCATTGAAAGGTGGGTACCCAAAAATGAATTCGAACATGATGCATCCCAATGACCACCAATCACTGATCTCATCTTGCCCAACGCCATTGATAGTTTCCGGGGCTAGATAGTCAGGGGTGCCGACAAAACGGCGATCGTGATCTTCAGGATCAAAAAGAGCCATCACGGGAGGCATCATACTCTGCTGGGGAGGGGTATTCTGCGCCATTGGATTGCTAAATGTTGACTGCAGGGGCTGAAGGCGAGGTGACTCGCCAGCTTCGCTTTGACCCTCCTCTTCAACCATGCTGGTTGAAAACATGCTGGGTGATGACGCATGAGGTTCGTGGGCATTGTCATTGAGCGAGAATGTCCTGAACATTCCATTGAGACCATCGCTGCCCATGCTATCGCTGCGGTATCCCGAAGCTCGACGAGAGCTTTGCCGACTCAACCCACTCTGGTTGAGACTGAAGTAAGATGGCTGAATGGCATTGGCAGACACCTCCGGGGTAATCAGTGGAGTAGAGCCGGGTGATGAGCTTGCCTGGAAGTCGAATGAGGCTGATCGAGAAGATGCAATCGATATCGCACGGGGGAATGAATTTTGCTTCAGCAGATCAGGAGCAGACTCGTCAGGGTTCTTCAACACCCGTTTCTGACGACCGACCAACCCCATGCGAGAAAGTCCAAAGTCAGTGAGCTTCAAATGACCCGTTTGGTCGATAAGAAGGTTATCAGGCTTTAGATCGCGATGCACAATGCCTCGGCTGTGAAGGTGTTCAACTCCGAGCACAACCTCGCCAATGTACTTCTTGGCCCAATCCTCGGGCAGACCTCCAAGAACCTTAACAAGTGATGAACAATCACCTCCGTTGAGATATTCCATCACCAAATAAAGATAATCCTTACTAGAAAATGTCCAATAAAGCTTGGCAACGAAGTCACTCTCCCCTTGCCACATCATAATGGCACGTTCGGCTTTGACGTTGGTGACCTGGTTCTTGGCGATCATGTCGGCCTTCTTCAGAACCTTCATCGCATAATACTCGCCAGTGGCCTTCTTTTTCACCAAGTAGACACTGCCGAAAGCACCTTTGCTAATTGGTTTGATTATTTCAAAATCGCGGATGGATAATGGAGCAGGTCGAGGCTGTTGTTGGCTCATCGAAGGCAAGCGTGGGGAGGGTGGTGGCTTCGTAACATCCGAAGAAGTTGCTGAGGACTGCCGACGATGGTGGCGGCAGTGATGGAGGGCCAATTCACTTGCGTATGCAGATGGAGATGCCATTGGGGACGGCAGGCTTTCACCGCCGCTAGACATTCGGGGTTTCGGCATGCGCAACGGGGAATGCGGGCCTGAAACTCGAGCGGGAGAAGGCTGCCGACGAGGAGAACTTGAAAGTCCGGGTAGTACCAAGCTCCGGCGCTTTCGATCGAAGCTCCTGTCTGATGAGGGTGAGTCCGTTCTTACAGCTCCCGGGAAGACAGAAGACGGTAAACTGCTATCGCTACTGTCACCAGCATCAATCTCCGCTAGGGAAAGGCCTAGTCGAGAGGGTTGTGATGTACCCAGAAGTCCTGCAGCACTCTTATGAGATCGCGGGGTAGGACATTCCAATGGGCTGTTAGAACCCGTGGATACTGCTGCCGAGGATGGTCTACGTTCCGATTGTGAGAGCAATGACCGATCTGGTGAATTGCGCATTGACAAGGTCAGTGCAGACGTCGGTCGCCGCGGAGAGGCTGCCGCTGGATACGGCTTTTGTTTCAATTCGTGGCTCATGGCTTGTGAGAGAGACTCTTCCTCGACAATGCTATTCCTATCGCCCAGGGCAACATTTCTGTCGACAGTGCTCTCGGGCGCCACCTCCTCATCGGATGAGCACGAGGAATCGCTGAGCTGACCAGCAGCTATGCGCTCCGCTTTGCTTAGCGCTGCGCCAATGCATTCCTCGACTAGCACTGTGTATTCTATACGAATTCGTTCGGCATATTCGACAATCTTGCGATGACGTACAACGGCATCAACTTTTGCCTTGGCAACTTGCTCAGTGTCTGCCGACAAAGCGGCCAGACCCTGCTCCTGTTCCAAGGTGTTAGCGCTGGGAGATTGCCACTGAAGAACCTGGGATATCCGCGATTCAGATTGTGGCGATAAGGTCCGGAAGTCCTCTGCGTCTGTCCGGGAAGATTCCTTGATCATTGGCATACTAATCTCTAGCGAAGTGTCGCACAGGTCAAGAACAAGTTCCACGATGCGGGCTAGTGGTCTCCGCACTGTGAATGAGCGGGGACGGTTTGGAATAGCACCAGATGCAGAATGTTCTCGCGACCGAGGCGGCGTGCCGGGCGCTGAATTACTGCTTGAAACTAGACCGGACGACGGAGTAGAGCTGGCAGACGGCGGGCCAATGGCTAATCCCTTGTACTCCGCTTGAGGGAGGGGCATTGGATTTCCGTCACTGGCGATGAAAGGTCTGCCTTGTCGGGCCTCTAAAGCATCCAAAACCTTGACAATGACATGACGATGCTCATTGAGGTTTTCCTGTGCCATTTGAACATCCATCTCAGCCCGATGTTCTTGCAGACACAGATCTGAGTGTTTCTCAAACCACCATGGCGTAATCTGACGTTCGCAGATGCGACAGAGGACGGGGGTCGGGGCGGGATGCTTGGAAGGATCGGGTTCTGTTGCTGCAGCCTCAGCCAATTCGGTCAAATAATTTGCCAACACCTCCGCTCCAACACCCAAAGATTCCACCAGCAGGGGGGGCAGATCGATTGTCACTTCTCTTGGCTCGGTAAGCGGTCGTAGCATCCACATGGTCTGTATTCAGAAGGTGTCAGCGGTATAAACGGCGGTAGGCGTCAAAACAGAGAGGTACGCACATGGCCAGCTTCGTCATCTGTCCGGTCATAGACCATGATTCCCTGTCCCTCCATGTTAAGCACATTGTGATTATGCTCTTCCTCCTGGGACTTCTCAGCACCGTCCTCCGTCTTTGCTTGATTCTCTGTAGCCGCCGGGGGTGGTTCAGGCGCGTACTTCAGAACAGAATCCGGTCCCATCTGGAGGGCAAAGCGAATGAAACGACTCCGTGAATCATCCTGCCTCATGGATTCGATGGCATCACGGAACACATCCTTGTTGCCCAACAGAATCTCCGATATCATGTGGCCCTCAACTGACTCAGGGGATGAGCCGACCACCTGCCTCCACGATGGGCTGACCCATTTGACGCAACCCTCCAAGTCCATATCCACGATGATGTTCAATGTCTGTTCAGCCGCTTCCTTCAAATCTTCACGTTCCTCTCGCATATTATCGCTCAATGTTCGAACCATCTTCGGATCGATATTCCGAGCCTCCTGCCGCAGCGCTGTGACGGCCGGAGGGGCGAGGAATTGTGGTTTGGGGGAATCATTGCTGGCCATACTGACACGCTCGGGCGACCGAGCGGGATTCGACGTTCAAGGGGTAAAAGGGAGGGGAGAACAGTACGATAGATCAAGTTAAATTGAACAAAACAATAATAATTGTAATATTGTTCCAGCCAAGCAGAACCGTCTGCTGGGCAGCGCGGGTGCCCTTAATCGAGGTTATTGATTCATCCGTAGCATCAACTGTCCATAGCGAAGTCTAAAGACTCGGGAACTGATCAATTCAAGAGCTCCAGAGTGATGGCAGTCGACTAATCCACCGTTAAATTCGGGTGTTCAGAGGTGTCGACACAACACACAGGCTGAAACACGAAACGTTAGACGGAGGATAACGGAAGCCGTGTCTCTGCGGGGAATGGCGCGACAGTGACGCGCTGTATCGACAACGTCAACCCCAGGGGAGGCTGACCCGAGAAAGGGAACGAAACTTGATCAAAATTGAGACCTGAGGGTCACAGAAATGAATAAAAGCGAAAAGGTTGAGAGAATGTTTTAAGAGGAAGAGTCGTGATGGAGGGGGGGAATTGAAGGAGTCGAGGGCGGTGATTGGTGAGCTGTGCGTTTTCCTGCACCACGTACTTCCCACCTCTCTTTTTTTTTTTTCTTCTTTTTTTTTCTTTTATTATTGGTTTTCTTTTTTTCTCTCTGTGTTTCCTATTCTTTATTTGATATCTTGATCATTCTATGTATACAATATAGTATGTATCAATGTTGAAATATTATATTATATTGATCACTTCTACGGGAGATATCCTATCGAGAGCTCCCACCCATAGTGTACATACCTCCCATGTTTGTAACTCAACGTCATGACCTTTGAAGTAAATATGATGTTAAAACACCTATCTATAAGCACTATAGCACTATAACACCATATTATTAAATAGATAAGGGTTAATGCTGGATTTAGTACTTTTGTCTACAACGATCTCACCCATGTAATCCATGGATGTACTCCGTACCATAATAGGGAGTTTATTTCCAGATCCCTTCATACCAGACAGACTATCTTTCTACCATAAACAGTAAACCAAAAAAGAGAAAAAGAAATTATTCCTCCAATTTCATTGGACGCCACCGGATGTGGTTCCTAATTCCCCATACAATAAGAACTTGGATTTCCTCTCCAAATGCACCACTTGCATCACTTAAACCACTTGCATATTGTGATATTGTGATATTATGATATTATAATAGTAATATATTCGACTAGGTATGGAATGCTTCCTATATTACACCATTTGTTGTACCGGATGTACACTTGTTCCACAGGAAAAAAAAAGAAAAGAAAAGAAAAGAAATCATTGATGTAGGCCCTTACTGGCATGAGATCCATATCAGCCTGAGGACCAGTAATATGGCATTATATTACCACAATTGGAGATATTATACTCCGTATATGACTCCAATTCTACAGGATCCCGCTTTTTAGTGCAAATGTCGAGTTATACATTTGTAAACATGGGAAAGTCCTCTATGGTTTATGCTGTTTACCTTCGTATATTGTATATCGTAGAGTTTACTTTGTGCTACAACATACATGCTATTCCTATTATTACATTTCCATTCCTGGTATTTTCGGTATATAGTCACGTATTTTTATTTTTATTCTTATTTTTCTAGAGCACCAAGAAAAAGAATTTAAAAAAGACATCTCAAAAGGCATCGGAGTGTTATCTGCCCAACATATAACATCCCTCTATTATCTTGAACTTTCGCCAGATAAATCAAAGTCCTACCTTGGTAACTACAAATGCATACACAAAAAAAAAAAAAAAAAAAAAAAAAAAAAGCCATATCCCTAAACCTAAGAATAGGCCCGGAATGTTCGGCATTCAAAGTTGCTCCGCCTTTTTTCTTCATCTCGGATCTGCGGGGTAGTCAGCTGGTTGACTTCATCCTTTCTGGGATTCTGGGATTTCTGGGGATGATCTTCCACTGTGTTTTTTTTTTTTTTTTTTTTTTTAGTATTAAGACAAGCTTGGACTACAGATATGCATAGTCTATGGAAACCTCCATTTCGCTGTGACCTTGGAGCTAACAGTAGATACGCCCCGAGTAAACTTTACTCTTCCCCCTTTCCATATAGCCTGTACTGATCTGCTTCTTTTTGGGTTATATCTGTCGAGTATGAAACTCTACTAGTCTATGACGAGAGGTAATTACGTACAAGAGCATGTCCGCTGCTGAGGTATGGCAAAATTTGGAGAAAGGGATCTTAGTACAGAGTAAATTATGGGATATTCCCTCAAATAAGGGCGTTCATTCCCACAATATATATCTACATTTGATCTTTTGTTTTCTTTCGTGAAAACTCCCTGGATGAAATATAAACTTGTATTCATTGAGTCTATCTATATATAGTTTAGAGACCAACAAGCCGTTGCGTGATGCTATGTACATATATACCTGATTTTAGGCCGCGCGACATGGCGTTCCCTTTCCGCTTTAGTGCTCACATCTTGCCGCTCTACGCTCACTGAGGAACCTAATCCCACTCACTGAGCGTGATCTGAGCGCTAGTTATAACCTGCTCACTGAATGACTATGACTTAATTATTTCATAAGCTCAAGGACTTGCCCAGGTGCTCAGTGAGCAGGTAAGTTAGCAGCTCACCTGAATAAAATGCCCCACCCTAGCCCCAGCATTCTTGACCGTTGTCCCTTTATGAAAGGCTGGTGTTATCAATGTGGCGGTCGATCCTGGTTATTTCGCCTCCGGCTGAGAGGTAAATTGGTAGTGGGGCCATATTTATTGGGTACTATTCTATTTAACTCGCCGAACCTTGCCTCCACGATACCTTCTCTATATAGTTACGGAGAACATCCAACCCACAATTTTTGGTTCTACAATATCTAGGAATGTCTTAAAAATCCCAATTAGATAGTGTGTAAATCCACTTTTATATTTTGTTCCGATTTTGTTTCGCTTGAATAATAACAGATTATCGCTCTTACAGCCTTGCTGCTTGCCGCTTCTAGGAATACGACTTCAGCTCTAGTAATAGATATTTGTAAAATACTCTAGACCTATCGTTTATGCCTATTAAATGATCTAGCCTCTTATAACGAAATTTACGGCCCCTTATTTACCTAATATATTCTAACAAGAAATTAGAAAATATCTTGTTCTAGCTAAAGTATAATAGGACTTTATAGGAGGTCTTAGGCCTTTCGTATCACTATAGATGATTGGTGAGATGATATAGATTCTAGGAGCTTAAGTGCTAGTACCTATTCGTGACTATAACTGCTAACACTAGAAGTCGAAGCATATAAAAGAAACACTGATCCCTCCTAGAGTAAATATATTCAAGTTTCAAGTATTTAGCACTAAGGTCTTACGAAGACTACTTATAAATTCAAGCAACGGTCAGTATTCCGGGCCTATCTCTTTCTAGCCCCTCAGCTAGAGCAAAAGTCTAACTCGTATACGTATTTTATAATACTACAAAGCGAGCCGACAACCGGATCGATATCCAATGTTTCTATCCGACGAGAATTATAAGACCGTTTCCTATTCACTCCTAAACTCTAAGTTTGTTATATATAGCTAAGACCTAATAGGAAGATATAAGTGACTCTCACTATTGTACTAGGCGGAGCGCGAGAATTTATAGAGGTCCTGACAGCTATGGCCGACTGATTCGGTGCGGTAGTATAAAATCTACTAAGGTTACAGTGAGAATAGATTATACTAGTTTGATTCCTCGGTCTAATTATACGTACTAAGCCCCACTTTACTTACATATGCTCTTGTTATCATTTGCCCTGACGCAAATAGTGTACCTCACTCGATTAAGCTAAACCAACAATAGCCCCTTCAACGCGCCCGTTCTTCTCTATCAAATGCCAGACATCGATATAGACCAATGGCTGTGAGATATAAGCCTTTCGCGAACTTGGTTTATATGTTACTTATTTAAATGAGATTTGCATTGCGCTCCGCAAAGCCCACAAAACTCACGACCCAACCCAGCCCAACCCGCAAATGGGTTGGAATTTGGGCCCTATCTTCGGGTCTACCGGTGGGCTATTGGCCCAGGGTGAAAGTCCACTGGGCCTTGATGGGGGCCCATTAGGGCCCAGAAAGCACCAAACAATACAAATATTCCGAAAAACGTGACCTTTTTTAATTACTATAGTTATGTATAGACCATTAATAATGAAGTATATTAATCACTTTTAAACGCACGAGAAAAGGCGCCGTTTAAAACGGTTATAAATTGTAAAGGTTCACTGAGAAAGTTGTAGTGGCCCTAGATGAATATAAAATACATATCTGATATTAAAATGTATACTATCTACGACCAGCTACATGCGGTTGCAGTTTGGGCTGCGCAAGCTGTTGACACCCGTCTGGGGCTCCTCCGAAATCCCGCAACCCTCTCTGCCAGGAAGTTATGCCACAGATTGACCACCCCTGATCCTCATCGGTGGTAAATCGCTTGTCACCTATCAGCTTGCCAATGAGCTTTCGATGGCGCTATCCTCAAAAATTTCCTCCTTGGTCCTACTTCCTTCTATCGAGCCTATCGATACTGTTACCATCCCCGACGATGTTACAGTTCTTGACTTGTCCGAATTAGATGACCTTCTGACGCGAGAGGTGACCGACGAAAGGATTGAAGCACTCACAGGACTGTGGAGAACTGCAAGAAAAATTTTATGGGCATCGAGAGGTGCCCGGGCTGAACAGCCATATTCATACATGATGTTCGGTATCGGGAGAGTCGTCAAATTTGAACAGCCGAATATCAATCTCCAGCTACTGTATCTTGACATCCTGGACAAGGAGACCAGCTCTATCACCTCAGCTTTGGTTTCAAAACATCGGCTGATTGATGGCTTTTCTCGCCAGGGAGCTGTTGATGATTTGCTCTGGTCTCCTGAATCAGAAGTCTTCATTGAAAACAGGCAGATACTAATCTCACGTCTGTACCTGAGTTCGAGGCAGAATCTTCGGGCCAATTTCTCTACTCGTGCAATGTTTAAGCAGGTCGATCCGGCAAGGGCAGATGTGAAGCTTGTGGGCTCTGGCGACTCTTTCCAACTTGAAGATGTCTGGCCGCTAAGGGTACCCCAATCGAGGTCAACCGGCGGTGCTCCGGTTATGATCCGTACTCGCCAGTCCCTCCTGCAGTTTGTCAAACTTGTCTCGATAGGTTCACTCATGCTTTATATGGGAACAAAAGAGGATGATCCCAATTCGGGTGGAATTGCCTTGAATCAGGTTTCGGAATCACCCACGCCAGTCAAGCTATTGTGCCTCGTTGACATCCCGTTGTCTCTCGAGATGCTACGAATGGCTCTCCTTTCTGTTGCAGCCTAGCTAGCTTCCCAGAGAATAGTGTCTCTTATACCCAAGGCAGGTACTGTCCTGATCCACGAGGGTAGTAACTTGATCAAGGCAGCTGTTTCCCAGGAAGCTGCCAACGCCCGTGTCAATGTTCAGTTCACGACATGCAGTCGTCAATATGGCAGAGAATTGGTCTGGATCCACCATGCTATTGCTACGCGTCTTCTCAAAGAGAGACTTCCACGACGTACATCGGTATTCGTCAACTTTGCAGTACCCGATGGACCTGACAAACATATGACACGAACAATGGAAACCTGTGTGTCTGATGACTGTGTGATAGCAAGTATATCTTCATTATTTGATTACAGGCTGTACACTCGCCGTTGGGCGATTTTCTTCAAGCTGCGTAGAAATCTGTGATGGAGAATAGTTTACCTATCGGATCGACGAATCTTATGTTACTTAACAATATACAAAGCCATAGTCCGACAAGAGAAGTTCTTCAGATCGAGGACTAGACTGTTCCAAGCATCTAAATTCGTCTCCGTCCAGTGAAACATGAGGTGATATTCCGCTCCGATAGAACATACTTGTTGATTGGTCTTGCCAGAGAGGTTGGACAGTCAATTCGTCAATGGATGGATGGCTTAACATGGAGCTGGCTGCATCGTTCTGACCAGCTGCAATCCCAAGGTTGGTCCAGAATTTATTCGGGCCGTCGATAATATTAAAAATGACGCCTTCGATGTCCAATAGTGACCCCGGATGATATGACGATATTCTAACATAAGATCACGAATCACGGGACTCGGTACGCCATGCCGTAAGCCTAAGCCGAAGCCTACCGAGACAACAGTCCCGTCTTGTTTAGGGGCAAGTCAACGAAGGTTAGACAATTGCCTGGTTACTACGGAGTAGTCATTCTGTAGACCGAAACGTTTCACTGCATTGTGAACTAATTCGTTAAGGAAAATGTAGGACTGTATTTGAGATGCACAAACCTAACTAGAGGGCACATAAATAAGATATACGAAGCACAAATAGAGTGACCTGGTATAGACAATTGGGCTGTATAGTCAATCGGTGGAGATAGATCACGTAGGACAAATTAGTTCTCGGCAGTCCGCAAGCTCACGGAAACCTATATAAGCGAGGAAGATGTGCACTCTCTCCATTTTGTGCCAGGACACGCTTACCCTCCAAAGAATTTCCATTCACCGGGATGGGAGTAAATATAAGATTCACCAATTGAGCGCGAAGTTGAGAACAAAAACAAAAGAGTTACCATGAAGAACCTACATCATGAGGATCATGTCAAAGACATCATCGACATTGAAAATAGTGCACTCCATAATGAGGAAATCATAAACTCCTTCACCCCAGAGGAGCAGAAGAAAATTATCCGAAGAGTTGATATTCGCTTGGTTGTTACTATGGGATGCTTATTTATTGTCAGTCTGTTGGATCGAACAAATCTCGGAGCTGCCTCGGTTGCAGGGTAAGCCCAATGGATCGCAATTTCCTGTACAGCAGGTCTGTACATACATACTCAGCTAACCAAACATAGAATGCAGAAAGAGCTGGATATGAACGCATCGAACAATGGCTACAGTATCACTTCGTTGGTATTCTTCGTCACATACACCCTCTTCCAGATCCCTACCACGGTCATTATTCGCACACTTGGACCTCGAATCTTCCTCGCAGGCATTGTGACTCTCTGGGGAGGCGTTATGATTGTAAGTATGGATGACTTAAAGCAAAAGAGTTTTGCTAATGCTCGTAGGGTTTCGGCTTCGTCAAGAACTGGGAATCTATGGCTGGCTTACGCGCAATCCTCGGTGGCCTAGAGGCTGGACTGTTCCCCGGTAGCGTCTATCTTCTTAGTACTTGGTACCCTCGCTACGGACTACAAAAGCGCAATTCTGCGTTCTTCCTTATTGGAAGCGTTGCCTCCGGGTTTGGCGGTATCTTAGCCTACGGGTTATCGCAGATGGATGGTCTAGGCGGGCTTTCCGGTTGGCGGTGGATTTTCATTGTAAGAATCCAGATGCTCTATGCTCTTTGATAATCGTGGGAGATCTGATTGTCACGGGAGGAAGCTATACTGATGATATATGGAAAACAGATAGAAGGCCTTCTTACGTGTGTCCTAGGCCTCGGCTCCTACATTTTGCTAGTCGACTTCCCGGATAAAGCTCCGAACTCCTGGAAATTCCTCAACCAAACCGAAGTCTCATTTATTATCACGACAATCGAACATGATAGAGCAGATACCACTCTTGAGCCTTTCTCTCTCCGAAAATATTTAGCAAACGGCAAAGACAGCAAGGTCTGGGCATATGCGATCTTATATATGTTAGTTACTATGCCTAGCTACGCGATTGCATACTTTCTTCCGATCATCCTCCAAGAGAGCATGCACTTTTCCGTGGTGAAGGCACAATGTCTTGTGGCCCCACCGTATGTTTTTGCGGGTGTGGTGATGTACATCCAGGCAGTTTACTCGGATAAATGGCGTTTGCGGGGACCCATTATTGTTGGAAACGCGCTTGTGGTGATTCTTGGGCTAGCGCTGCTAGGTTTTCTTAAGAATCCGGCTCCCCGGTATTTTGGAGTCTTCTTAGCTACTGCGGCTGGTGAGTGAAGACTATTGTCTCGTGGCTATAACTACTAATACCTGTTATAGCAAATGCAAACTGCCCGGCAATAGTATCTTGGCAAAGGTAATAGTGATGCTTTCAGATGGTGGTTTTATCTTTGTTTCTAATAGCCTCTAGCAACAACATCCGTGGCCAATGGAAGCGAGCCTTTACGTCTGCGACATCGATCGGTGGAGGCAGTATGGGAGGTATCATTGCGACAACCGTATTCCGCGCTCAAGATGCTCCTGATTACATATCAGGTCTAATCGCGGCTATATTGGCCAATGGTTTGATTGTCGTGGTTGCAGGCCTACTCACACTTAAGTACAATCGGGCAAATAAGCGAGTCGATGCTGGGGGAAAGCCGATTGAGGGAAAAATTGGATTTAAGTATACGTATTGATGATGCTGTACAGCCAGTACAAGGGATGTGAAGGAATGTGAAGGACAGAGAGTTGTATGAGGAAACAGGACGAAGAGACCCCAGACTATATACCAATTAGTTAACTACCTAGGCAATCAATCAATACTGAATTGAGGGATTCCAACTATGGCTGATCGATGTTCTTGTAGTTCTCCTTTGGCTGTTATGGCATGGTCTGGCAGGGTTCAGTATACTCAAAGAAATTCATTCCGCCGGTGCTGGTGTCATGTGGGCATGGGACTCGACACACGACGTATATCGCCGAGTTTGCTTGCAACTGGGGCCTTTTGGCTGGCTCGGTTATTTGTGCTACTCTATTCATCTGTCTCAATAGCAAGGATTATGTTGATGTCAAAGAGGATTGGTGGGCACAGACGAAAAGCTCGAGAATGTGATGGCTGTTGGTACAGAAATGCGCGAACGCGTAGGTTGATACTCAGGTACGGTATTAGCAGAAGCAATCGGAAAAGGACCTTATATCTTGACTTTAGCTAGACAATGCAAAGGACCTATCAATCTTGTTGTAGTGGGGGCACTACAGTGGGGAGATAGATGGATGAAGAAGAGTTGTTATTTGTAAGAACTAATTAAATGAAGGGTTTAAATACCCTTAGCACCAAACATCATCTGAAGACTGCTCAGTCTGTCAAACATCCATGCCTGCATGTTCAACAAATCTTTTAATAGGAGCCTGCTGAATCAGCAGAGATAATGATGTCCATGGTTTGCCTTGGTGTTGGATCCATGCGAAAGGAGAGAGGACATGTATAGTTACATGGCAACAGGATATATAACAGATTTATATTAACGCAACACTACTACCATCCGTATCCGCTTATATCATTGTCTTCCATATTATTCTGATTAGACATCACGAGAGCAGATATATTAGATGGACAAAGCCGTCATTAATTCTGGTCACAAGACGAGGAGTCATGCAAACCAGGCATAAAATTCATGATTTTGGTCTCTTCCTTGCTTCTTAGAAATATAGAGAGCGTGCATCATTTATTATAATTTATAATGCATTAGTGCTCCAAGTATAATAACGTAGATCCATGCTTAGTGTATGATTGAGTAATGTACTGCTTGCAGTGTTAGAAATTGCAACGCAGCGTTGCTTTCTCCTCGTCTAGGATGACTCTAGAGAATAAAATAAAAGCAATGATGGATGAGAAAAGGTTACTTTCTATTCATATAGTGGAAAACACAAGAAAGAGTTTTCTTCTTTTTCTGTCAAGCAAATGCATCCGGAATATCAAAGTCGGTCGGTAAGAGAGCAGTCTATATCGATGGTCCTTTTTTGCCGTTTCTTCCACTTGGGTCGTGACCTCCTCTTCTGTGAGGTCGCTCTGCTCAGGGCCCTATACTCTGATCATCTCGCCGATCAGGCTGTAGAGAAGTTGGGCGAAGTCCGGCTTTTGAGGGAAAGAAATAATTGACTGCATTTAGCTAGCTAGTAGAGAGGGGGGGGGCGGAGAGAAAAAGGAAGATCACTCCAGGTGAGAAAGCAAGGTCCTATCTACTCAAAGCAGAAACGGTTTTAACACATTGAAAAGGGCTCTCTGCAAGACACGGTCGGCCTGGTGGAGGGAGACCACCTAGGTAACGCGAAACATGTGCAAACTCTTGCGGGGCGAAGTGTATAATGGCCGCCACTGGAATAGCCCTGTCATGAGACTGTCTATATAGCGTGAGAGGATGGATGTGTGTGTCAGTATACAAAGAGTCGGGTTTCAACCACCATACTTGCACTTAGGCCCTGAGACTGGCTTCAGCTAGCCAAAGTAGTGTCGTCCTAGTTGACTGGTTCCTGGGCCGTGATGTATGCTTATTAAGCAAACTGAGAAACGCGTAGCGTGAGAGGCTTCGTCGACCTCAATAATCCTTGGGCGTTGAAAATTGGAGTACTAGTCTACGCAAGTAGACCTGTGAAAGCTATGTTGGACTTTATTTCTCTCTGCACAGCTTCGCCCTCAGACAAGGGAGACAGCCGATGACTGCCGAATAGTGCCGAGTTAGCCGGAACGGGAGCTAAGAGGATTGGAATTAATCTGAATGGACCAATGAAAGAACCACCATTTTGGCTAGGCCCGATCTATCAAAAACGCCATCAACGCTTAATAGTGCTAATAATACATATTTCCCTAAGCACCTACCCGTATTTTACAGCTGAGTCTTCCGGTCCAGGATTGGTCAGGTTCTTACAACCTTTATTACGATGTGCTACTTTACTAGCTCACAATAGCCCTTGTGCGCTTCATGGAGTATACGAGATGCCGAGATTAATTGGGCTGGGCCGTCCCTCGCAACCTCAGGAATCACATGTGCAGCAGCATTGATTCATCGGAACAGAGGTGATAAATTCACCCTACACTCCCACATATTCTACTCTAAAAATTTCGGCTACGTAACTATGCTGATACACTGTTTTGATCGCTAGTTAACGGTCATATATTCAACAAATCTCACTATACAAAGCGTAAGAGCGAAACCAAGGTTCAGGCTAGAAACCCGTCAATTAGAAAAAAGCTCTTATGCTATAGCAATTGCGCAACAATAGAGGAGGAGGAGAAGGAGAAGAAGAAGAAGAAGAAGAAGAAGAAGAAGAAGAAGAAGAAGAAGAAGAAGAAGAAGAAGAAGAAGGAAAAGGTAACCAGTTTAGGCTGTCTTCCAATTCGGTAACTAATTCTTGACGAATCTACGTCTCATCCTCCCGCGAAGAAGAGAAGATATCTTAGTCTTCTGGCCATCACAGGCAATGCAAATTGGGCTTCCGCATGTCACATGGAATTGTAGCTATTCCAGTAATTGTGTGAGACCTTCATGTCTGCCTCGAGTATTCTACGCATCCACCCATTACACGAAGCCCCTCGAAGCATCTAATGCTTGATCAATAGAGTACATATATACGATATCCGATATTACTGATTCTTGCGAATAATAACATGCATGAAGTATTGGTATTTTGCGAGGTTGTAAGGTTGTGTATTGTGTATTTGGACAACTTCCGTCTGCGAGCGCGGATTGGGTGAACGATAAAACCACCCCCGCAGTTTAGCGAATGTTGGTACTTACCGGTACCTACACTGCCCATAGCAGTATCACATCATCATTAGCTTTTTTGTTCATATTTAGCTATGAATGATTCCAAATGCCCCTTTTCACATCTGTATAAAATCATAGCTCTCATTACAATGGCAACTTCTGGTCCATCTCTTCAAGGTGTTCGTGATCGGGCAAGGATCGTATGCTGCCAGTGTCACGCACGGAAAGTCAAATGTGATCTACAGACTCAATCAAAGGCACTTGTTCGAATTGTTATAAATATGAATTGGCCTGCCAGTAAGAATTATGGGGTGGTAAGATAACTACGGCATTGCTGACCATTTCTTCCAGACCTCGTCCCACTCGAAGAATGACCGTTAAAGAGAGGTACACAAGGCGAGCGGCGAGATCTCCAAGATCTAATGCACCAGCTTGTCAAGAGAAACCAATGAATCCAGAAACCTCAATCATTCGCGAGAAACAAGACCAATGGCCTACTGTTCCAACATCTGAACCACTGCATAGACAGTACCTTGGCGGAATGACTTACATGCTGCATAATGCCCCTGGTATTCCCCCAAACTATCGCCGGATCACAGCGACCTCAACGACCAAGAACCAGGCGATCTTGACCATAATAGATCCCATGTCACCACCACCGGCAATTTTATTAAGTGCCTACGTTGACGCCTACTTCCAACATGTTTTCCATCGATTGCCTGTTATCGATCGTGCCGATTTCTCTTCTAGCAGGCCTTCGGTAGCTCTTCAACAAGCGGTTTGCATGGTGGGAACTATTTTACGACATCCGAAAGGACGAGATATTCTGGCTGAGAGTGAGAAATATTATTACAATGCTAAGACTCTTATCCACACCAATCACGAGCAGGACCCAATGACAGTTCTTAAGGTCATGTGTCTCTTTTCAACACGCAACATTGCTGGTCCTGTATTATTGACCATCGATTCCCCGTGGCAGTGGTTGGTTATAGCAATAAGATTGTTGCAGCAAATGGGCCTGCACCGCGAGGAAATATGTGCTGCTTATGTCAATCCAAAGATTGCACGGAGGATTGCCTGGTCCCTCTTCGTGCGTGTGTCTCCCAAATCCATCTTTACTTTTACTAATGACATCCAGGTTCAAGATATACTTGTGTCAGCTGCATTTGGATGGCCTACATCTATCAAAAAACATGAGTTTGACGTTCGACCTCTGACAGAAGAAGATTTCGAGTCTTCTGGTATTCAATCGTTGCTTTTCATCGAGCTAGCCAAGATAATTAGCATTCTCGGTAGTATATTAGACCTCCGGGGTCGGAGTACTGAACATGTGCGAACACAGGTACGTGCGCCTCGAATCATTTAGCACAACATCATTGCTCAAAAAAAAAAAATCATTCATACTTACTTCTTCGGCCATGACAGCATATAGAGATCTTCCATTCCTTAAAAGATTGGATCCGCAATCTTCCAACGACTATGCACATTTTTGACGCGAATGGTCTTCGAACATACCGACAAGATGTCTTTGAATTACACCTCACGTATTTTGGTACTATTATATCATATTTTCACCTATTCAACAACCACGATATGACATCTGCCCCCAACATTGTATCTTTGGTGGCCTCTTCATGCATGGCCCGCCTATACCAGGAGATTGACTGTAGGGACGACCTCAGTTACCTTCTTGGTGCACACAATTGGCTGATAATGGTGGCCTCAATACCGCAACTTCTATACAACGCCGCTGAGTGCTCACTAGAGTCAGATAAATACTGTTCAGAAGAGCTTGAAATTCTTGTGTCGTCCTTGGAGCAGCTTCAAGCAAGACTTCCCGGGGCAACAGTGGTATTGAACGCAATCAACAAACTGCGAACTTCACGCAACAGTGGTCGAGTCCAAAATACGACAACAATCTTTGAACCGCGAGACAATGCTTTTTCTAGCCAAGAGTATGACATGTTAAGTTTCCGCGACTTGTTTCCATTTCCAAATTCACTGTCACCAAGGCTTTCACTGTGGGATTCTGGGGACATATTCCAAGAGGTGGAATCTCCCACGGGCGCGCCCGACGAGCTTGACCGGATCTTAGAAGAGTTCTCGGATCTTTCTCGATTGGCATTTCCCAGTGTACCACAAGGCTTTTTTTAATATCCTCTTATCATCGTTGTCGATTTTGCTTGGATATCAGGATGTTTGATGTTTGTAAATAATCTAGGGAAGCCGCCTGAAATATGCATATGTAGTGGGCCCGTTGGAATGGTCTAAGGCCACATGTGTACTGAATACTCTGTAGTGTTGGTCTTGATTTGTTAGACGCTGTTATTCAACTCTTGCCCGACGCATTCCTGAGAAAGCCAAGCTGCTAGTCCATCACACCCTGCACCCTGTCCTCGAATGGGCACCATTTCATTTATTTCAGGTTCTGTCTCCGCCTTCGTTGCATTGGTTCGGTCCAATACACCTTGCGCATCCTCGGTAATGACTGATCCAGCATCTGGGTAATGCTTTTTAACAAACCGCGAAATCTTTGGCACTGTAGTGCTTTCTTTAACTAGTAGGTACTTTGAGACATCTACAATCTTCGGGTCTAGCGCTCTGATATGCGCTTCGATCAAATCCTGAATATGCACTGCCGCCAAAAGCCTAGTCGGGGTGCTTGCCATGACAAATCCCCATAGACCCGAGTTAGACCCTCTCATAATTCCTGCCGGAGATGTCTGCACAATATTGGGGCTATACATAAATCCTGGATACATTGAGACCAAGGCGTATTGAGGTATGGCTGTTTTCCAGAACTCCCAGGTTGCACTGTTTGCATGCAGCTTAAAAGCCATATGCAGTATCATAGGTGTTGCAGCCGGGTTTGCGGGGTCTTCAAAACTTCCACTTCCATCGACTGAGAGGTCCCAGTCATTGTCCTCTGAAAAAAGTGTTAGAGCCATGCCGATGTGGAACCAGAGAAAGAATGTGGCCTACATTTGACAACTTCACCATCTGGAAGACTAGCCAATGGAATTGTAAGCAACTGAGAATGAAGTAACAGAGTCTAGTGTGCTCTCTCTTATACCTGAGTATTCTATTTGCGAAGTTGGCATTTATAGTAGTTTTACAATAACTCCCGACATATGAAAAATGACCCTCTAAATACTGAACTTTGAAAGCCGGAGCTACTGTGTCGGCAGGCATCAGCTTTCGGCATCTGACGGCCCGACATAGAGTGCTGACATAACGGCAAATCATTCTAGATTATTCACTATATAATTTCTCTCGGTAGACGTCGGCTGTTGGGATATGGAGAGGCATTGTTCGGATGTCATTAGCTTTGCCCTTGTACCGCGCCCCTTGGCGTTTGATCGTATGGTGGTGATCATTTTTGTTCTAATCGCCGGCAACACCCACTCAAAGGCGTGCTGTTACATCACTAAACGTTCTAATCTCGGGAAGGTGTGTGTGATTGGCGGATACGCTATTTCTGGAGTCGATGTCGAAATAGCCTGCCTATCACAACACACCCTTGCCCTCTTCTAAGCTTGCCAAGTTCTTCCTTTGTTAGTCTGCCCCCACTTTTCTAACTCGTCACAGATGATGCTTGACCCTACCGAGGGAGTAATCGGCCTCTAGTAGCACTCGGGTTCACAATAATTCCATCTACCCCTTTACCAAGATCTACTTTCGGGGGGCGGGTGGACGATATTCGTCGGTATTCATCCACAGCGGGGTTGTGATCAAGCATGGCAGAACACTATAGCCGATGCTAGATATCGGAATAGAGATACCGGTAGATTTGATGAAATAAGATATAAAACGAACTTCCTTCCCCTCCATTTTAATCATCACGACTGTATTTCAAGATTCTAAAAGCTCTGGGCAACGAGTGAACTCCTCTTTACAATCATGGCCCCCTCTTTTACCTCCGAGACCGCAGTCCCTGTTTCACCAGGCCCCGGACAAGCGCCTTTGAAACTCAGTGGCGCTTTAGATGCTTTTGAGTCCTTTGATGTCACGCCAGTCATTGGACGCGAGTTTCCCAATGCAAATCTGAAGGACTTTTTGTGTTCCCCGAACTCCGATGAGCTTCTTCGAGATCTTGCCATTACCAGTCGGTCAAACATCATCTCTCATAATAGTTCTAAACTCATAGCCCTATTCTAGTTTCCCAGCGAGGAGTCGTCTTCTTCCGCAAGCAGGATGATATAACAGATGACATGCAAAAGGAATTGGCTCAGCGACTTGGAGAGCTCTCCGGAAAGCCGAAGACTTCTGGATTACATGTTCACCCAATCGCAAACTCACGCCGAGAGAATGGTGTCAAGGACGACGAAATCAGTGTGATCAACTCACAGGAAGGGAAGAAGCTGTACAAATCCCGTGTTACCCGCCACCAGACTGCCAGAAAGGAGTGGCATAGCGACATCACATTTGAACCTATTCCGAGTGACTACACGATCTTACGTTTGACCGTTCTCCCAAGGACTGGCGGAGGTAGGCATTAATCCTCCTTCTCTTTATGATCTTATAGTGCTCATACACAAATCTAGATACTCTGTGGGCTTCGGGATACGAGCTATATGACCGCCTTTCACCTCCTTACCAGAAATTCTTGGAAGGGTTGGATGCAACCTTCTCGCAGCCTCAATTCAATCAGTTCGCAAAAGATAACGGCTTCGAGGTTTTTAAGGGCCCTCGCGGTGCCCCTGAGAATGTCGGAGAAGATCTGCGTGCTGAGCACCCAGTAATCCGCACCAATCCTGTTACAGGATGGAAGAGTGTCTTCGCTATTGGCACTCATGTGGAGAGAATCAACGGATTGAGCGATGAGGAGAGCAAATATCTCACCGACTGGTTCGTAAACTTGATCATGGAGAATCATGACCTGCAAGTGCGCCACCGTTGGCAAAACCCGAATGATCTCGGTATGTCGTCTCGTATTTATATTTGGAAACTGCTTGTAGCTGACATCTTTAATAGCTATCTGGGATAACCGGTCCACATATCACGCAGCGACTTGGGACTACGAAGAAATTGGTCCACGTGCTGGCCACCGCGCTGTCAGTCTTGGAGAAGTGCCGTTTTACGACCCAAAGAGCACTGGAAGACGGGAAGCGCTGGAGAGAGAAGCACTTGAGACAGGCAAATAAAGCAGTCATCCCCTGATACCCTCTATCAAGGCGATCGTCAAATATCGCTTGGGATTATCTGTTACCGTAAATGGAAAAGAGTATGTTGATGGTTATTTTGGTTGATATTATTACTGCATACTAGCATGGTATTTTTTTTTTGAATTCATTTATCGGTCTGCTTAACTTCCATAATTCAAAGTTCAAAGTAGAGTATACTGACCCAAAGCCTCTCTGGTCAGTTACGATTTCAATGCGCGCGTTTCGCCATAGAATTGTTCGTGATCTCTTTATAGCAAATGCCTCATAAAACTTGGTGTTGGAGAGACAACTATAGATCTCAGAGGAAAAGAGAAGAATGGAATGAAGATCAAGATCTATCTACACTACAGCCCTGAAACAAATACAATCCATAATCCATATGCGTCTGTATATTACGACGAGCCCCTATTTTCCAGCCTAGGTAGAAATTCAATATTTGGAGCTTTCCTTGTTGGGGGAAACTAGTGATTTTTATTTTTTATTTGGGTCTCAAGACTTGACACATTTTGAGGTTCCATTGCTTTTCTCCGGGAGGGGAACGAGTTCACCAAGCCGGGACTATAACACGGCTAATTCCCGCAGTTCTCATACCCGACCGTCGCCGAACTCAACCGAAAGGTCAAATTTCGGCAGCCAAAAGATCCCGCGAGAATGTGGTACTAGTAATTGCTGCCCAGGGAAACAAGTTACGCAACTGGTTAGCATCGATAGCATGGGGCAAGGTCGGACAATATATTGATCGCGAAACAAACCCTATTTTTCCTATCCTAGTGGAGGCTCAGGCTCGGCATCTTGCTCAAGAATCGACATAATTAGTGAGAATGGCATAATTAGTGACCCTTGGAAACTGCAGGTTGTATACAGCTCAATGTTGAGTCGCGGGGCATAAGAGTCCTCGTATATTTCCCGGAGTCGTGTCCTCATACCCTTAGTACCAGCTCATTCAGATACCAGCTCATTCAGACATACTTCAGGACTCTCTACTCTTTTACCGACAGTCTGTGCGTCCCTCACCATGTCGTCTAATATCACACTCTATACCTGGAACACTGCCAACGGCGTCAAGATCTCTATCACCTTGGAGGAGCTTGGTCTCTCCTATAAGACTGAGCCAATCGATATTGGAAAAAACATTCAGAAGGAGGAGTAAGTGTATTCTCGACATCCCTAACACAGAAGGCTTCCTGCTTATCACGATCAAAACCCAGGTGGTTCTTAAAGATTAACCCCAATGGCCGCATCCCTGCCCTAACCGACGGTCCACAACGCGTTTTTGAGAGTGGTTCCATTATGCTCTACCTCGTCAACAAATACGACACCGACCGCAATATCAGCTATGTGCCTGATACTCCTGAGTACATTGAGCAGGTGTCCTGGCTGATGTTCCAAACAGGTGGAATTGGTCCAATGCAGGGTATGTTGAAAGGATGAGAGAGGTTTCTCGGGCTTTGTCTGATTGTCATGTCTCTAGGCCAAGCAAACCACTTCCGACTCGTCGCCAGTGTCCGCTCCAACTACGCCATCAAACGGTATATCGACGAGACCAAGCGCCTTTACTCGGTCCTGGAATCCCGTCTGAAAGAGAGCGCCTACCTGGCAGGCTCTAAGTACACAATTGCTGACATCGCCAACTACACGTGGGTCTGTCGTGGTCCCCAACTGCTGGAGATCGATCTATCCGAGTTCCCGGCTCTCAAGAACTGGGTAGATGAGATTGGCAAGCGCCCTGCGGTGCAGAAGGGCGCGGATGTGCCTCACCTTGACCGCACAGACGAGCAATGGAATGAGATACTACGAAACTCCCGCGCTAGGATTGATGGAATGACCAATTCCGATCAGTATTAAGCGATTGGGATGTACTTTCTTTATGTGCTAACCTGTCACGAAAGGCATTGTCTTGCGCAGTTGACGTCTTGTTTAGTAATACAAAATAAAACCAATATAATACCACGTTTAATGATTTGGTGTTCCAAGAGAAACGAGAGGGTTCCATTCCCACATTCCTAGCGAAGTCAGAAGAAGCAAGAAGCACCGTTGTGTGAATGTTGTTTGGGGTTGAAAGACCAAACATGCTCACAGTATGGTCGACTAGGAGACTCCTTTCTCGGCGGAATCGGATCGGTCAGAAATTATCGAGTCCAGGTCTTCAAACTGATTTAACTCGCAGGTTCTGCGTAGAATTCCACCCATTTAAGGTATATTTTATTATTTTAATCAATTCGATGTGCTTTATTAGTCAAGTTACTTAAGCCTGCGAGAAAAAAACACCTCATTATTTAGAAAAGTTTTAAATTATAAAGATTCACTTGGAAATTGGTGGTACTCCCGCACGGATGCTATAATATATATCAAGTATCAAATACATATTAGCCTTTTTCTCCCTCCGCCAGTCAAATTTTGTTCAACATTGGATAATCCTATATGTTCTGTAATTTATGTTACATGATTGAGACACATTTCGTTGGTCTTGGTTGTCTTTCCCGGCCCATGCCAGTGCTATATCGATGTCGCCGAGCTCTGCCGTGCCCGCCGTGGATTGGGAGTCTGTGCTCAAATGTTATTTTTTAGGGGGGTTGCTTTTCTGTTAATACTGATTTGCAGATTTATGAGGGAGAATAGCCTCCATATTTCGTCCATGACTCCCGCTTGGCTTCTTCCAATTGCCTCTTGTGTTGTCGCGTCGGCGTCAGGGGCTATTGTCGCAGATATTCTGTCGAACGCACCGCTTGCCCTTGCTGCCATTCCGGTAAGCTATATTCTCTGGGGTTTGATTGTCGTATATG